TGTTGCCCGTGAGATTGCATGTCTTTGTATATGTCATCCGTGTAAACGACAATCAACAGACTGTCCGTATCCGTATACATCAACCTGATTTGATCTCCGTACTTGTCTTTCAATCGGTTGTAATAAAAATCGTACATCAGCGTCTTAGAGAGATCTAAGATGCTCACTCCGCAGTAAATGGGTTTGTTTAACAAGGTTTTAGTCTTGTACGTTTCGACAAACGACAGGTTACATTCTGAAAACGGCGTTGTTGTTTTATAGCTCGGTTTTTGAATTATTTTTTTGTATTTTTCTTGATCGCTCTCGTTATTGTCTCTCAGTAGGTAACCGTCAATCCTGTTTCTGACGTTTTCCATCGTCTTACCAAACACGCTGTTATTCATCAGTTTAAAAAAGTCTTTCTCAAAATCAGAGGTTGCTTTGGTTCGGAGTTGCGTGTTTTTATCGATGTAAGATTTCATCCAAGGCGCTTGTTTAAATTTTAACACGCGATGCACCTTTTTTAATTTCAAACCTAGATTGAGGTATGACTGCAACGTAACGTAGTGCAACACGTATTTTTGTTTTGGATTAAGCGTACACGTTAATTTTTGTACGTCGCTACTAGGTTCGGTATCCAATAAGTCATTTTGATAATCAGACATCCAAGCTTGGGGTATGACGATGTTTTCTGGCGCTAGGGGATAATCGTTGTGCTTTGCGTGTAGATCGTGCGGGTAATCGAGGTCTACTTCGAAAAAATAACCGGTGTTGGACGTTTTCTTAAGCGTTAATATTCTTTCTTCGGTAAACGGTTTCGAGGGTGTCCATTTAAAATCGCTGTACGGTAGATATTGACTCATAGCCCAACCGTACAGATTGTTGGCATCCAGATAAGCGATATAACTCGAGGGTTTGTTTGAATCGTAGTCATCGAGATATTGATTATTGGCTTTGTGATGTCTCATTCCACCCACGCTCGATATGCCTCCTCGTTTTGCTTTTTCAAAAAATAAATGTTTGTCTACGTCTTGCAATAGTTCGAGTTTAACTTCCGAGTGTTTTAATAGAGCATCCCACGACAATCCGGGTGCGGTAAAATAATTGGCTGGATCTAACCCGTAGTTTGTAATGCACGTTCTTCTAAAGTTTTCAAATACGCCTGCAAGTAATAACGTATCGGTCGTCACGTACAAGTCGTGATATTCTCCTAGATTTTGTATATTAAACTCGTTCCACACGCGTTGAGCTCTGTCGTAGTCTTGTTGCGATATATGTTCGTCTTTTAGTCTGCTGTAAAACTTGCCGATGGGTGGTAGGCTGGTCTCTTGAAACTTATCAAACGAGTTCATATATTCGTAGGGATAAATTCCTTTTTGTAATAGCAAGTCAGGATGTTTAAAATGCTTTTTGAGTAGCTGAAACGACTCTTTTGGGCAAGCTTTCACTAATTTATCCAACGACGATGCCATAAAACTAAACGAGTCTAAAAATCGTAGATTTCCTATCGAGAACGAAATATACTTTTCTGAATTTTTAGCGATCACTTGTATTTCTGTTTGACTATCGTATTCTGTCATTCCCTGCATGATTAAATGCGCGTCGTAATTTTGTAAATTGTGAAAAAAGACTGGTATCGGTGTACAACCGGGTTTAATTTGTAGTTTGAGGTTACAATAGGCGTGTGCGGCACCTCTATATTTACCAGTGACGTGGCAGTGATCTCTCACCTTTCTAAATTTATTAATGCTCTTTTGGCAGTCGAGACATTTAGACTCGATAAATCCCTTACTATTTTTGTACTGATATTCTTTCTTTTGTTTTATCGTCTTGGGTTCTCTGGGTTTCTGGCACTGACAGTTGCTCGAGTAATTGGGATAAATTGGTTTTTCACAAATCCAACACGCGTTTGTTTTATCATGATGGTCTTTAGCTCGCTCGTTAAATTTCATGGTTTGGGGTTTTTCAAATATGCAATTAATATCGCTTTGTAATTGTAACAACGTCGTTATAAATCTAGTTGAAGCGTCTTTGCCTCTATAAGTCTCTTGATACACATTTTTACCGTCGCATCGGACGACAACTAGCGAATAACCGCTAGCTTTGTGAACGTTAATCTTTTTTGTGTTTGTCTCTTTGTCTGAGTGAGTAGGTTTAGATGTTAGTGTCTGTGTGGGTGTTGTTGTTGTTTGTAATATGGATTCAAAGTCAGCATAAATGACAAATGGTGCTTTTTGTTTGTGTCTATAGTTTTTAAATTCTAATATCGGTACGTCTCTTTCGCCCGGTTGTCCGTCTATGTATTTTGGTTTACCCATAGGAAATACAATCTTTGATGGATGCGCATCTATACCCTTACAATCGGCGATATGTCTGTCCAATTTGTTTTGATTGGTAAAATGGCATAGACATCTTCTACAAAAATATTTCTTACATTTATGTTTTGTAACGTCGTACATCAACCTCGTAAAATATTTTATCCAACAATAGTGATGCTTGTCACCTTTAGAAATCAAAAGCAGATCGATCTCTTTTGCCCCGTAGTTTTTAGACACGTATAATGGATATATCTCACCCTCATAACCGTATACGTTTATCGATAAATTATTTTGTCTTTCTATCTTGGGTATCTGATCGACCGGTGTCGGAAAGTCAACGCCTTTAAAACTGAGTCCGTCGTCTTTGGTGTAAATCGACGGTCTGCTTTCGTTGATTTTATATTTAGGATTATTTCTTATTTGATTTTTTACTTTATCCGTGTACAACCCAAGAGCAGCTCTCAAACACCATCTCAAACACTCGTCGTCTTTGTTTTGTACGTTGATCATCGCCTGTTTAATTTTAAGATGTTCGGGTAGGTTTATGTAAGAACTACCTCTCGCTGGATTATATCTGTTGATGTTGATGTATAACGCGAGTATTGTATCGACTGCCCAACCCGATCCTTGATTCGTATACCTTTCATCCTTTTTGAATAGCTCTTCGATCTCCTCTTTTAAAACCTGTTTTATTTGACTTTGATTTAAAACGGCTTTCGGTTTGCTATAATGAATAGCTTCGATCGTTTCGATTGTACCATCCGGTTTGATTTTTCGATACCTTATTTTTAATACAAGCTCTACTTTTAAACCTCTGAGCTCTCTCAATTCAGACTTGATTTTATTGACTATTTGTTCCTTGTGCGAATCAAAAAACTTGATTAAATCGTGGTTATAAAGTCTGGGATTTAATTCCCAGTTTCTGTAGTAATTTCTAAACCTTCTCGTTTCTCTAAAAGCTGACTCTGTAAAGTATTCGGGTTGTCTGTATGTTTTAATCGCCGAGAGTAAATCTTTTTTCAAAACTCGTCCTTTATAACCCGTCGGTACGTATTCTAGATTTTGTTCGTCTACAATCTGTTTGAGCTCATAAAGTTTCTTTTTCCTCAAGTTTTTAAATTGACTTTCATAATTTTTTATCCCCTCGATGTAGACTTTACGAGTAAGAGAAACATTTTCATTGTGCGGTATATTATACCGCTGCACGTAATCACGCAGCGTAGCTTTGTTCCATTTAGAATATCCTTTGACGGTCGGTCTGAACATATTACTCTCCATTTTATTATAAGAAATATAATATTTTTTTTCTCATTTTTTTTTGGAGGGCGATCAATTATTTCATAAACCATGAGAGCTTGACTGTAGTAAAAATTCCCAAGGTCACGTGGTGGTGACTCACACATTTTTCAAGGTCGCGTGGTGGTGACATCATCTCATTTTAGCGACGTCAGATTTTTTTTTTTTTTTTTTTTTTTTTCTCTCCCGGCGTCAGATTTTTTTTTTTTTTTTTTTTTCTCCCGACGTCAGAGATATATTTTTCTCTCTCTCTCTCTCTCTCTCTCGGCGTCAGATTTTTTTTTTTTTTTTTTTTTTTTTTTTTTCTCCCGACGTCAGAGATATATTTTTCTCTCTCTCTCTCTCTCTCGGCGTCAGATTTTTTTTTTTTTTTTTTTTTTTTCTCCCCCACACCCGGCGTCAGATTTTTTTTTTTGAGATCGGGGGATTCCCCTATATTTTTCCCCAACTATTTTTAGAATCGAGAGCGGCGTGCTCAGGCTTGCCGCAGATTTTTTCCATTTTGCTCCGGTTCCCCCACCTCCCCTACTACTCCACCGTACTTGTACATCTTGCTCTGATAAACAACACTGCAGATTTGTGCATTCATGCATAATCAGGCATACTTCATATCGCACACAATCTCAAGAGTGGTCAATAAGCACCATCTACTGTTCTTGCACCGAGTCAATTGGTCAAAGAAGCACTGGGTACCGTAAAATACCTGCGTGCAAGTGTGGTACCACCTTAGTGATGGCTTACAATTTTGAATGCAGGGATAGCAACATATTGCAACATTTGCTAGTGCTGTAATTTCAGAAATGGATGGACTTGGGGGTTAGTTTTTTTTATAGCAAATATAGTTACACTGGCCTGTTCAAAGTTTTGTGTTCACAGATGCTGGAAAACCAAGTACAGAAACGCTAAATTCTTGTACTCTGGCTCCCTGACACTACTTCAGATGAAACAGAGCAATTCATAGACGTCTGGGAATTGTCAGGTCTGGGAACCAGACTAGCTGGCTTCCACCCGTTCAAACAAAATGTGGAATAACTAAATTAAGTAACTTGGGGCCAGTTTTTGAAAAATATCAGTTTTTTTCCCAATGATGGTCAGAGTTTGAAATTGATACAAAAAAATAAATTTTTCTTGAAAAAGACAGAACTCCGGGTGCCATGATTTCACAGGATGCTTTTGACTATTATTCACTTACAGTCAAGTAAGGTATTTCCTAATAATTTGGGAGTTTTGTTTTTTAATGTTTGCAAATGTTGTGTATATTAGCTTTAATGATTTCAATCAAAATACCTTTTACGTGAATTCACTGTACACTATTTCTGCTTAGAACCTCCATAAAACTTCACTCAAATTCGTCAATAACACACTAAATCTACAACAAGACCAAAACAAAAGCAGAAAATGACATACTTTTTTCGCGCCTCATTAAGCTCCGTGGCCAACTCCTGATGGTGATCGCTGACAGAGTCCAAATCAGGGTGGCTCCCTTGCTCGTGATTCAAGTACTGATCATACAGGTGGATAGGGTTCCAGCCCGTCAGAATGTCATACACTATGACACTACCCAGGGAGTGGGCAAAGATGGAGACTTTGCCTCCATTTGGTTCAAAACCCGGGTTACGAGAGCAGAAAAGGGAGTACAGACGACATAACTGGAGGTGTAGGCCTTTCACAATCTAAAAAAAACAAAAAAAAGATTGTAATGTAAATGAATGGATTCCTTCATTATTGTTCATCAACTATTATTTGTGACTGGACTTGTGATTCGCTTGTGACTGGGCCTAAAATGGACAACTACAATAGTGTCCTATTTTCACACAGATTTGTAGCTCAATAGAGAATATACAAATTTGAATATTTACTGTACCTCAGATCTGTACAACGGGCTGGTATAGTACAATATATCCATTCCAGTACTGTTGAGGACGTGGCGTAACCCTTTGAGTTTCTGTGGCGTTATGGCAGAGACGACACCGCTATCTAAACTCAGCGACGATCTCCACTCCACAGGGAGGTACTCGATGCGTTTGGTGCAGGCCGGGCCTGTCAAGTCAGGGAAATGTTTGTTGATTGTTTTGTCTGCTCCTTTGCGCAAACTGGAGCGTAGAGAAAAAGAACAGATGAAGTTGTTTCATATATTTTGCAAGAGGGATGGATATACCATGTGATTTAGTTCAAGAATTAGATTAATTAGGGGAACAATAAAATTTGAACTGACATTTAAGTGTTCTGCATGTATCTACCCCCATTCACAAACACTGTACGAAAAAAAACTGTACAGAAATTGCCTAGTATTACAGCTAGATTGTTGATTTTCATTCCCTCAACCCCCCCCCCCTTTTAAAAAATGTGGCTCCAACCCCTAAAAGAGGCAACATTCTTGTATATTTGTTTGCTCATGATGTAGCACTTGGGTCATCCGTCCAGTTAGAAAAGTGCAACTATCAAACTATTGTTAAAGAGCACTAAACACCCACTTTTTAAAAACATAGCCCTGGCCCTAAAAAGGTAAAAAAAAAAAAAAAAACAGCTACAAGGGGTTCTGCACTTGTTGAGGTATCCATACATGTAGGCGATCCTGAGAATTTCAAAGATTGTACCCAAAAATGCATACATGCCCCCACAAGCCTGCTGACTAGGGACCACTTTTTAGAACTCACTCTGAACAGCTCTTGATAATGCTACTCCTATCCATGATCTGGCCGACACCGTGGACTACAAAGACCAGATGACTGATTGGTGGTGGCTTGTCATCCAACGACGCCTCCTCATGATAGCCACGAACGATGCGATACCCGCTGGTAGAGGCTGCAAAATATCACACATAATTAGCCATTCACAAGTGTATGGCTTCCGACTAGCACCCTAAAGATACCATCATGGATACTTTGTTACATACTTACATGTAGATACTTATAAAATCTGAAGTTCTTAGAATTGTGCATTTCCTAGGTTACAAATAGGCTGTTGTTACATCAATTGATTCAGGAAAAAGTCTCATGCCAGAAAACTGAAGAATTTTAAAATTATATTGAGTCAAATATTTCAACAAGTCAGTGTACCAGATATTATTCACATCTCACCCACAAGCGTCACAGGTCACAACGCATTATCAAGTCTAAAAAAGTAGAATAAATATAAGTATCTCAAAAATATTTTCAGAAAAAAAGTTACCCATTTTTTTCTCTCTCCAAAACTGGGTTCAGATTTGTATTAATCGCTTCATTGCTAAAAGTGAGAGTTTGATATAAAATATATTTTGGAATATTGCGAGTAACAATCATCAATTTCTTTTCTTCTCTCTGTACTGCATATTGTTGAAAAGGTAAATTCCATGTCACAAGATATGGAGGTACCCTGCTGTATCGATTCAAACTGGCTAGCTGACCTTAGCAAGCTCGGTGGATGAGTAGGCAGGAAGTTAATTTGTAGGTCTTATTTTCTTACTAGCTCTCAGACAGCATTGTGTCTTGTTAAAATTACACTGTAAGAATTACATCTCCAACATGAAACATTCAATCCTACAAGATATCAGTTGTGGTAACCTTCCACTGTATTTAAACTGGCCATCAAACCTTGGCAAACTTGGTAGTCGTTTGTGAGGTCAGGGGTTCGAGTCCCAACCAAGAATATTTTGAATATTTTTTAAAAATTACATCATTGGGAGGCAAAACCCGAAACTATAATTTACCTTTGGAGAAGCCAATGGTTGTGCCGATGGATCGTGCGATCCTTGAGCTAGTTGAGTTGCTGTATATAAAGACATCTCGGATGCTATTCCAATCAACATGTTGATCTCTAAATCGCAGCTGCTTCAACACTAGGAACGAAAATAAAAATCAGCTAGAATCAAGGAACCGGTCATTTTCCATTAAAACATCCATGTTTCGTTTTATATAACCTCACACTTTTTAGAGTTAATAAATTTATCTCTTATCAAAATGTCAAGTTGTACAATATAAGGAGTGTCTTCTGAACTTTACAGACTACATATACAGTGAATTGTCACATGCACATAGTAAGGATGAACTTTTATGCGTCTTGCAGAGTGGTCCCAGAGTAGCAGTTAATAACTGTTTACTAGACTGCAGCAAGTCTGGGAACCAAACTTGCCCAAACATACTACCAACTGGGGAGTTGATGACCCGCTCCGTTCACAAGTACCCCCTCACCGGCAAAGGAAGAACAGTTAGGGGTGACCGAACGACGCCATCTTGCCTGACTGCAATATTCTGCCACGAAGCGCGGCCACTGCGTGTACATAGTACAAATCCCCTGGTGTACGTGCGTCAAACACAAGGAACGGTGAGCATGCATCAACTAGCAAAATGGATGTGTCCCGCCCATGGGACGTCGTTGATAGGTAAAAGGGCGCCCTCTTTTGTTGGCGCAAGGAGCCCATAGACCATTCAGGGCACATGATCACTGTACCCTCACAAAGCCCCCTTCAATGGAGAATCATCGTGCATAATATTGCACAACTCAATTGCCCCATGACGAATTATCTGAACAATAGTCAGCACAATGCCTTCGCCATTGAAGGGGGCCTTCGTGATAAGAATTGCTCGGATTGGTCTATAGACAATGTATCTCTTGGAGTACAACATTTTGGTCCTCAAAAATCAAGCAATTTGGATCGCTAGTTGGAACTCCAGTCACACAGTTGACTGTTTTGTAAAGGATTTATTGCTTTGAAATCTGTACAGACTGGGCCAAAAATGCCTGCCACTTCAGATGTAAGGCGAGGCGTCATAAATAAATTAACCGTTCGAACGCGTGCGCACGCTAGGAACGGGGCCTTTTGTTACATCTACCTCCCGTTCGCACGCGTACTCACGGCATCCCGTTCCGAACGCGTTCTTATACAACAAAAGGCCAGTCACGGTCTGTACACACACGAAGAGCTCATCGGCACTAAAAGTATCCGACAAACTTTCTCGTCGCTACAGGCTAGCCCGTACAGTACAGGGGGACGTATAAAAATACGGGCACCTTGAACGGGGAAAGCAGTCCTTTGCAAACTTTACTATCAGTATGTAAAAACCTTGAATATTCGATTTATAATTCGCTGATCGTGTGTACAAGGCCAGTTTATAACATCAGTCAGCAAACTTCTTACAGTGTTTAAACTTGTTTTTGTGAACATTATATGCAGTACCGTACCTGCTAATTTACATTTCCGTGCTTGTACCCAAAAAAAGAAGAAGAATACTCGCACTTCGTTTTACATAAAATAAGTGTTAAACGTCTCAATTATTTTTTGGGTTGGATACGATCTAGTGTAGTATGTCTGGTTTTCTCAATTTTTATTTTAAAACAACTTTTTCTTCTTCGTCTGTTTTCATTTCTGAACTGCAAACGCGTTGCCGTTGGCAATTCGAGAGGATCTTCTGGGCGCGGACGATAACAAGTTTGGCTCCTTGCCAAGTAAGGACAGCGTGGGAATTTGTCGATAGTATCACGCAGTGCAACAGCTAGCTGGGCAGATCGTTATGCAATGAAGGCGAAATTTACCACCAATAAGATAGTTCTGAGTATGTAGCTCACGAATTTTTTTTATTCACTCTTCCGATCTCCGCATTTTCTAATAGAACCTGCATGGACCATACATTTTTTTTCGCCCCGCCCTGCGGCCGACAACGATGTTATTGCTTTTATTCTGAGCATGTAGCCGCCCACCAAATATTTTTTTAACCCTTCCAATCTCCGCATTTTTAATATAACCTAGACCATACATATTTTTTCGCCCCGCCCAGCGACAGACAACGATATTTAAGGATAAAAAGGCATAAATCTTATCAAACTCCTCATACCTGCTCGTGCTGTCTAAACTCTGAAATGTTTTTTTTATTTAATGCTTGCTCCGATATCGGGTTTTCAAATTCCAAATCTGATTTAAATTCCAAACCAAAACGTATTTTTTTTCTGTACAAGTATATACACATAGTTGTTCTTCGCATCTTTGTTGTGCTGCTCCCGTTCTCGCACGCAAAGGAACGGTTGATTAACATAACAATACCCCCTCAGTGAAGCTTGCGCAAGCACGATCTACGGAACGCGTTCTAAAAGCCGTTCGGCACGGGAAGGAACGGGGGCCGTTCAGAACGGGAAGGAACGCGTGCGCACGCGTGCGAACGGTTAATTTATTTATGACGCCTCGCCTAAACAAACAGGGTTTTTCAACAGTTGTTTTTCTGCAAATGTAAGACATTAGGTAGATTTTCTGTGACCAAGACTATTGAAATAGGAAATGTAAACGATATACTGAATAATTCTGGCAAAATCTGGATGACTGTGCACTTTTAATCATGACTTTTTGAACCCATTTTGAACACATGTTTCCCACCTTGCTTGGGTCCCTTCTTCGGTTGTGTTTCCTCGGTAATTTTCTGCCCTCCAAACTCAGCAAAATGCTCCGTCTCTATCTGGGTAGCGATACCTTCCTCCAGTGGTTCTGAGTTGGCGTAGTAGAACCAGGTTCCTCGCATGACATCAACTTTCTCATCTGCGCAAAAATTAGAAACCCGGAATACAAGCTAGGACTTTTTCCCCGCAAAGAGAATGCATTCCATTTTTGCTATCCATATTTTTAAGTGTGCTCTTCAATCAATTGGATTTTTTTCTGTTAAAAAAATTCAAATAATTCTAAAATTAACTTGTATAATCCACATTTCAAAAACTAAAGCATAATTAGACACTTCCTGTATTTTTTATTAGGAACAGCATGAAGTTGCACGGAATTCATTCTCACTATACTTAGTATAGGGGCTAAACTATAACCCGCTGCCGCGAAAACCCGCCACCGCAAGAGGGCGCTATCATGACCAATATCCCTCATGAACGCGTCTGAACAACGTCTAGGCCAATTTGTACTGGTTGTGTAATGCGCGGGCACCTGTTTGGCCTAATGTATGCAGCGCGCATTCACCATCATTTGTCAGCCGCTAGTTTTCCTGTTTACGAAGCGCGCATGCGAGGATTTACGCACAGGTTAAATGAGCATGCACAGTAGACTAGCACACGGGGGTAATGCCTATGCACGAACATCGCCCTATAGCTCGTACTACACGCACAGCAATGTTTTGCCAAGTTAACTGATGCGTTCATATTACTCAAATTTCGGTGAGTATGTATGAGGTACAGTAAACAAATATAACATGGTTTATTTCAGCAATTAGTCGATATTATCTCCTCTCATTATTGGAAGTTGACAATATCGCCTAATCCCGACTATCCTGTATACTATACCTGACCAATAGAGAGACAGACACTTCTTCTCTAAGATATCCACTTCATACAGCCCTCCACGGACCAAGACTCTCTCAGCATCCACCTCGCCGACCTCCCCCTGCTCATAATGGATCTTCCTGTACTTCCACTCCAACTGGCACGAGTCGTAGCCGATAAACGGCACCCACTTCTTGTTGGAGTCGTCCTTGTAGAACCATCGGACTTTGTTGACTTTGAGCTTCTGAACGACATCTTCCTCTTTGCTCTTGGTGCTCCTTGGGGGTGGGGGACGCGGTGGCGGTGGTTTCTTCCTCGATTTGGAGGCGTCATCACCGTTGTCGACCGACCTGTGCTCGTTGCTGGATGGGGAGCTGTTCTGATCATCTTGGGGGATGAAGGGATTATACGGGGGTGGTCTTTGGTATTCGTCTGGCATGACATTATCCTCGTGCTCCATTGCCTGGGGATAGAATGAATCACATATTGGTTTAATTAAGTAAATTAGGTTTGGTTCTTTTCAGAGTAAGAGAGACAGTATTAAAAATCTGAACCAATTTAATATCCTCCAAATTTGGTTCTGCTTAGCTCCGGCAAACAGAGAAAATGAAGGGGAAAAAACAATTATAAACAGTTCTAACACTAACTATTGCCATTTCCTGAGTTTTGATTTACATCAAAAACATCTCCCCCAAAAAATGCAAAATGGGAAAGAATGTTGCATCCTGACGCCACTTTTTTCTTCACGTATCATCTCAATAAAGGTAAGTCATTGCGAAAATAGCGAAAAGACATGAATCTGAGACTGAGAAACATTTCCAATTTTGTTAGGAAATAAACACAAAATGTTCTTGACCCTCAATAGACTTTGTACACAACTGCGGAAGTGGCATCTACATTTGTCCCTACTGCAAACTGCTTACTAGTATTATCTAGTAATACTACTGACTATTCCTAGAACTATGCTCCGCTCACACGGAGCATCATAATTCTAGGAGTAACTACTGACTAGATTGACCTGAGGCTGCAATAATCTAATTCTAACCCCATAGATGTATTGTTAAAGGGTCTGGTGTTTTCGACTCCAGCAGTTCAGTGCTTTTCTAGAAGTCAAGGTGAACATGGTGAGACAATTTTATTTTTAGAAAGACACTGGTCACTGTTCACAATCACAGTGTTCATGTTTAGATTTCAAAATAGTTACATGCCTTCTAATTCTAGAAGCATGGAGGTACCTCCATGCTAGAAGCAAGTTTACATCATTCAGAATCAGAGTTCAGCGCTTTAGCAATTAATTAATTGGACGGTACAATATTTCATTTTGTTTTTAAAATACTTTGCATAACATTTCGAGCACCGTGTACACTTCAAAAATGCATTATTTGGAAAAAAAAATTAATGAACTCATTACTAATTTAATTAATTAATTTAATTTATTACTTTACTTTACAATTATTTTACTTGCAGGCTCAATTATTCATGTTAATGTTTACGTGCTTTAACTTAAAAATGCTATGCATATAAAATTGTAATTATTTTAAAAAGTAAATAAATTTATTAATGATTTAATTAATTAATTTAATTTATTAATTTAATTAGTTAATTCGAATTAATGAATAAATATGTTGTTTATTTAACAAAAATCCTAATGAGCCATAAACAATAATACACATCATGAATGCATAAATTGTTTGCATTACTGAACCCACACAGTCAACCTCATTAGCATAATACTGTAAAAAAAAATGTTTCAAAAAAGGCATTAAGGAATTGTATCACGAAGCACGGTGGTGCTATTAATAAGAGAAAAATCTGCTTTTAAAAATAATGTTACATATCTGCATGAGTTTACCAGGAAAAAAAAAAGTTTGGCGGCTTTGCATGCATGGGAAAAATCTATGTAGCGCGCAAGTTTAAACTTGCGTGCGCAATTTGAAGCATGGAAATTAATGCACGCGCAAGTTTAAACTTGCGCGCAGGTTTAAACTTGCGCGCAGGTTTAAACTTGCGCGCACAAGTTTAAACTTGCGCGCACAAGTTTAAACTTGCGCGGAGGACTCAAATTGCGCTCGACAGCTACATTTCTCAAAATAAAGCCTAACGAGAGGTGACTTCTAATTCTAGAAGCATGGAGGTACCTCAATGCTAGAAGCAAGTTTACATCATTCAGAATCAGAGTTCAGCGCTTGCTCATGCTCTGACCTGGTGCATGATGCCGAAGCTGAAGCCCAGGTTCTGCTCATCCACTGCGCCGTTTCCGGAGTACGCGCTCTCAAATGAGTCGCCAGATGTTGGGAAATTCATTTCATGCTGTGATTTATCTGCACTCACTGCTTCTGTTTGCTATTGCAGTTTCAACAACTGAAGTAAAACTTAACCCAGTGGCTACAGATGCGTTACATATCGGGTTTATTTTTACAAGCTCTACAAAAGGCTGTTTTTTGGTTACGCTTCGTTGCCCGCGTGACTTCTGTGTCACATTACTTTTTTTGTTACACGTCTTACTCCCCTGTACTGTATTGAGTTTCTAACACAAAAATGAAAGAAAGGTTGAGGCACCAGCCTCATTGTTCGGAAACAAATTACAAAAACACGACTATTGAGGGCGCTAGTAAAATATTGCGGTCTCTGATATTGCGGCAATCCGCGGTAGTGAGTGTGTTTTGTACATTCGTACACATGATGACGTAATTTTGTGATTTACTCAGTGGTACATGGTGGTATTTGTAAATTTGTGTGCAATGCATGCAAGTGTAACTTGAAAGTAAGTACGTAATGTGGGGGGGAGGGGGGGGGGCGCTGGGGGTGGAAGAGTGGAAGAGTTGATTACAAATACAAAATTAAAGTAAAGCTTAGTTTAAGCTAGTCCGAGTAACTTGGACCCAACTTATCGCGCTTTTTAACATTTGGACATGGTCTGGCGCGTCCAAATGTTAAAAAAGGCGATAAGTTGGGTCCAAGTTACTCGGACTAAGTTTAAGCATGGAGGAATATTTTAAGCTGTAGCATCCATCATTTGTAATTTGTGCATTATGTTCATTTGAAGCAACAAAAGTGCTCAAAATCTAATGAAGGGTGCTGAACAACTATCTGATAAAGTTTCAGCTGAGTGAATGCTGTATATTCCGAGAAAACAATATTCTAGGATCTCAATTCAAATCAAAGGTTGGTGTTAGCTGGAGTTACCCAGCCCTGAGTTTTATCATTGGGTTGTCCCCGTCACCTAGATGACAACCCAATGATAAAACTCAGGGCTGGGTAACTCCAGCTAGGTTGGTGTAGTCATGTTTTGACTTGGGCCTGAACTCGGCGTCCGAGACACATTCTCAATGAGCTGATTGCAGCCACTCGATGTCGCGCACTGAACTGACGGATTATACTAGCAACTGCGCCCGCGTACCCTTGTGCATCGTGTCAACGCTTGCGCGCGCTTCACCGAATAAAAAAAAACCCACTAGGTCCTACTAAAGGAAGTTTCCAACAATGCGTCTTTAGACACATCTTTGGAAAGGCCTTCTTTCATTGATTTCTTCAAAATGACAGCTTGCCAGAAAGACTAATTTCACAGGGAGTTTAGTTCCCTTACTATCTGTCAACCAAGTATGTTTTTCTACAATAATTACGTCAGTATCTTTTTGGATAGCTGCAAATGATGGACTGTACCTTTAAGCCATTTTGCTAAATTTTGTAACTTTGCATTAAAAATATTATCAATTTGATACAGACTGAATGATTGAAAACTAATCAAACAATTTTTCTTCTTGTTTCTCATTAGATCATCAAGAAAGTCATTGTAAAATGTACATTGCCTGTATGTTGCAAGATTAGGCCCTATTTAGGGTAAGGGTTTAAATCCAAATTATAATTTATAAATTAATGTCACTGACACAACCATAAGTCTGTTGAACTCTTTAAGTTTTATTTAATTTGTCCTTTTTTTCCAATTTCAGGAAACTTACACTTCTTCTGGTGTGGCTATTGATCATCAAAAACTTACAAGAAAACCAGTTTACAACGAAATCATCATGTGGCCAGTCATTCTAGCAGGTCTTCGCACCTACGCTCCTTATGTCACATTTCCTGTCGCCCTTGTAGTTGGAGCCTTTGGGTTTTATGTGGAGAGAACGTGGCGGAGCGACAAGCAGCCGGCCAGGGCAAGCATCACGGAGCAGAGGGAGGAACGTTTACTGGCGTCATATGCCGAGAAAGATTGCACAGATGTCGACAGTCTAAAAGATCGCAAATTTGTTCCAAGGACCGTGTTAGACCGAAATCCACTGAGCAAGTAAATTTGTTGCTTGGGACTCATGTGACATTCACGTGATAACAGTCAACCTAAACTATTTTGTTCCAAAATGACAAGAACCTTAACCTATTTAATCTGACAATCTGTTGGATCTTGTTGATTTAAGCTGTGAACAAAATCAACAAATGCATGTTCTGGTTGTTGGACTGTTCAGGTAGTGACGTTGCTGTTGGATAATGTCAGATTGAGATGGGTGGTATCAGAATGTGTAAAGGGCAAGGCCGATTCATACTGCTTCACACAAAAGTGAAAGCGAAGCAAATTTCATGACGTCAACAATTAAAATTTTCTTTGTGACCTTCACCACTAGCTTAGCCCTAACTGAACCCAACCCATCAAAGCCCAACAGCAGGTTTTGTTTAAATCTGTTGGGATAGGTACAGTACCCCTAAGTTGATGGTTTTTTATACTGGGTTTGGCATACCTCCAGAAATTAAGTCCAATTCACTTTTGCTCATGTATATGGACATTTTCATCATCATAAAAATCAAAAAGGCACCAAAATACCCTTAAAAATGGCAAAACGATAATTGAAAATAAGGTTAAATGGGACACAAAGGTGCATTTTCAAGGATTGCGTTAAAAAAATACATTGCATGGGCCCTTTAAAGAATTGTTTTCTCTATTTGTTCAAAAATGTGCAAAATAGCTAGAGGGAAAATTGGTGTAATGTATGTTTTTTAGGTATTAATGTGAGATTAATAAGTCATCATTGTTGCAATTTCCTCTGCCTTGCAAACAGGTTTCTATAAATTGTAACTGAAGGAGCTTTGTGTATTTGACACAATTTTAATTAACCAATGCATTTGACTTTGCCAATGTAGCTGTTGTAGGGAGTGCAACAGCATGCAAGTACAATTTACCAAATGTAGTCACCAAGTTTAGTGTTAGATAAGTTTTAAGTTTAGATTGCCTTTTATTTGGATCAAGTTGCAAATGTGACATAACTTTTATTGACAGTCTAATTTCACTGCCTGCCCATCCAAGATTTTATTCTGGTAATAGTGCCAGCAGTTTGCATGGGTAAAATGCATGAAACTTGTAGCAGGAACAGGTACAAAGTAAGTGGTGGCAATTTCAACCTCAAACTGAGAAAAGCATGGAAGAGTTAGTTTTGCAACAAACTTTTGTTCTTTGATTAATTTAGGTTATTTTGAAGATAATTTTGTATTAAAGCAATTATCTAACAATGTTAAAAATATTACACACGTGTTAACCCATTACGCCCCAAAGTGCCCTGCCTATTGCTCCTTATACTGCTGCGAAGGCACGAGCACTTAGTGATTTTCTGGATTTACCAAGGAGTAAATGGAATGTAATATTGCCACACACACAAAAGTTAGCACTTGTATGGTACAAGTGCTAAATTTACATGTGTGGCCTGAAAAATATTAATTTGCGTAAACATACATTGTATGCAATACCATTTTGTATAATAAATTTTGATTTTTGATCGAAAGGAGAGTGATTCTTCTTTTGTTCTGATTTAGTAAAAAGGTACATGTACTAATGTAGCCTTTTGCCTTATATAACTCAGTTCATTTTTTCTTGGGGGGGGGGATAGGTTTAATTGATAAAGGCAGTCAAGAAACTCTGCAAACCACATACCCTTTATCCTGATTTGACATATTATAGGAACATTTGCATTTATCCTCTAAATAACCTACCGGGTTATAATCAAATAGTTAACTTGGATTAAAAATCATACTGGTGCTAAATACCCCGTGAAATTATTTTGTCTGGCTTGCTGTCATTTAGAAGAAATCAAGAAAAGTAGGTGACTTCCAACATTGTCAATTGCCTGATTTTTCTAAAAGAGTGCTATAGACGAAATCATATTTTGTGATCAAAAGGTTGTGCACCATTTTTCTCTGTTTTCTCCAAAGGTTTAATATCCACTGAGCTGAAATTTCAGCAGGTTAGGTTTTGAACATTCTTCTGTGGATTTTGAGTGGTGTTATAATTGGAAATGAATAAAATGCACGAAAAGCAAATGATCCTACATGGCTTTATAATACAACTCAAAAGTCTGAGTCATCTCCATCACTGTCTTTTTCTGGACAAGGGAAGGTCACCCTCATTTTCCATTGTCCAACACAAACGAGGCAGTCCTTGCCTAATAGACCCTGGCTGAAGAACTGTACAATTTTATCTTCTGCCTTGTCTCCAGAGAGCAATTCATCCGTGCTGAACTCCAGTTCGTCCGATGTCAGTGAACAGTTGTCACCGTTTGTCTTCATGGCATACTCCAACGATGCCTCGCTTTTCTTCCGAAAATCAATAACGGTGATTTTGAAGAATATCGGGTCTTCATCGAAGCAACATTGGTGGAAGTGGCCGTCCGGGGGAGGGCCGCAAGATTTACCCATGAGGCCATACTGTTTGCCCATGGGCGTGACCAGCCTGCCTTGGAATGTGTTACCAGACGAATCGAAGCAGAGCATTGCTACGCCTGAATCAGTCCATCGTTCTTCATCTTTCTCCATCTCAAGTGTTGAAATTTGGCCCTTTATCATTCAGCCTCCTGATTTTCTGAAGAAAAGAAGGAAAATACAAATCATGAATGTCTGATTGAATAAAGTTCATTAACGTATAAGTAATTGTATGTGTGGATCACTATTATTTACAAAGCTGCTTTAAATAAAAGTTGATGGTTGATACTTCAGGACTGTAAACCAAAGAGAAATATTAAGTCTGCTTTGAGCCTGGAAATGTCTGAAATTGGCACATTTGCCCATTTTTATGTGAGAATATCAGACATTTTGGGGTCTTATTAGACTATTAAGACACGTAAGAGGTCACAGTGGTTGTGCAGAACGCTTAAAAATTCTTTTCTCTTTATTATTATTTATTATTATTTATTTCTGGTAATGAAACCAAGGATTCTAGGCACGCTTCGATTAACTCGCAATTCCTGAAAAAAAACCCTGTACTCCGGGCGGTAGAAAAGAGAGATAATGAGAAGCTTTTCTCTGATCTAAGAAAGCGCAGGTAAATCTACTCTTAATTATTCATATTTTATGACCAATGCACACCTATAATGACTTATTTTACGGAATCGACTACAGTGAACTCAAAAGTTATGATATAACTTTCTACAAAAACAAAAGTTGATTAGTTTTTTCAACTCCAAAACAAAAGTTGATTTGTTTTTTCAACACGAACTGCACGTGGGAAAATGTCTTCGGTATATGTCTGGATTCCACATACATTGTGTGACAATCAAAGCATAATCTTGGAAACTTTAGGCACCATACGAATTTGGTGCAGCTTCAGAGAACCGTGAGACCTCGAAATTGCGCGAGCTCGGAAAAGTGTGGAGAATATTCATTTTCTACAGATCTTACAGACAATAAAGGTCATCTTTTCAATCGACACGGTAAGATAATATACACCTGCGTACGCTACGTTAAGTTGAACGTGTTTTGAAGAATATATAGCCCGCCAAAAAGTAATCGGTTTCACCATGTTCACTCGAAATAAAATTTGGGTTTATAGTTCGCTGATTCTTGAACGAAGAGGGCGCTGTAACTGCAGCATTATGGGGGGTATAAATAATCAATAATAGATGATTCACGTCAGTTTACACATTTCTACAGCTCAAAAATTACAATTTTTCAATGTATATTTTTAGATTTAGAGCCTAAGTTAGAGCTAGACCCTTTGGCCTTATTTGGCCTTAAACTAGCTCTACTGAGTGGAGCGTTGAATTACGGGTACCCCTCCATACCAACGCTCCACCGATTCGCCATACTTTGGTAGCACCATCACAGTAGCATAGTCACAAACCCACTCGAGGACAAAAAGACCCCAAAAAACCGGTAAAGAGATTACAAATGAGAGAGACAGTTATCCTGGATTGATCTATACATTCTTGACATTCCATGAGACCCCTTATATTGTTCCCAAACACTGAAACAGCGAACATTTTGGAAAAAAACAGCAAAATAGTCTGAAAACTTACAGTTCAATGTGTTTGCATGGAGGCTCAGTTCTTGAATTAGCTTGTCAATGAGGGCGTCTGACGTGACGTCACCGTCGTTGCTCGATCGCGAAGAAAAACAAGTCGCGCTTTATCAACGACTGTTTCGTGTAATGATACGTGCTCCGATCCGCGCCGTACGACAGTATGGGCTTTGAACACACCCAAGGTGGAGACGGCTGAAACGTACACGTTCTAAACAAATTAATGACGTCTCCACCCTGGGTGTGTTCAAAGCCCATACTGTCGTACGGCGCGGATCGGAGCACGTATCATTACACGAAACAGTCGTTGATAAAACGCGACTTGTTTTTCTTCGCGATCGAGCAACGACGGTGACGTCACGTCAGACGCCCTCATTGACAAGCTAATTCAAGAACTGAGCCTCCATGCAAACACATTGAACTGTAAGTTTTCAGACTATTTTGCTGTTTTTTTTCCAAAATGTTCGCTGTTTGGGAACAATATAAGGGGTCTCATGGAATGTCAAGAATGTATAGATCAATCCAAGATAACTGTCTCTCTCACTTGTAATCTCTTTACCGGTTTTTTGGGGTCTTTTTGTCCTCGCGTGGGTTTGTGACTATGCTACTGTGATGGTGCTACCAAAGTATGGCGAATCGGTGGAGCGTTGGTATGGAGGGGTACCCGTAATTCAACGCTCCACTCAGTAGAGCTAGCCTTAAACGTGACGTCAATAACAACACGCTCACGCTCCTGACTGAGTCGCGTAGAAACACTCGAAATATATCGTTTTTAAATACACCATTACGCGACATGTTATTTTTGTGGATGTTAAGCAAGCACTTGTGAAGTTTTGTGTGAATTAATGTGAGCGTAGGATCTGGCATTGCCAAGAAATTTGAGGCAAAAAAACAAGCTCAACACAACAAACGTGAACAAATTTTGATTTTCTGAAGGAAGTGTATTTAGCCATAGCTCCATGATTTAGCTGGCTATAGTTTAGCCAGCTTTCTTTCAGTTAACCTAGTGGATGATGGCCTCTGATGGCCTAGTGGATAAGGGCATGCAGTTCATGAGTGAGAGATCCCTGGTTCAAATCCCTGCTGGTGTCGTGACCAGGGTGGTGTCATTTTCAAAAAAAAATTCTTATTTTAAATTGACTCCACATTAACATTTAACTACAGAGTATTACATTTTCTTTTGGTGATTTGTGGCCCTGGAGGATTTTTTTTAAAGGGAAATAAAGTCCGAAATTGTAAAATGGTCTGATTTTAATCTCGTGAATATGAAGTTACACCGACAATGTTGGCGCGGAACCACTGCGCATGTTCAGTGCTTAGCCGGCAAAATATCGGAAAAAAATGTTGCAACCTGATGCCACTTTTGTCTTCATATGTCATCTCAATGAAGGTCAGTCATTGCAAAAATGATGATAAGACATGAATCTGGGACTGAGAAACATTTCAAATTTTCTTGACTCCATAGACTTTGTACACAACCGCTGAAGTGGCGTCAGGTTGCAACTTTTTTTCCAAATATTGTTTACTTAAATTTAGCCGGCGCCGGCTACATATACACTGCCTTTTCTGAAAGGTTATTCACGTCACGGAACGCTGGTACTCTGAGTCCTGTACAGGCAAAATGGTAGGAGCCCTCGGGGTACCCGTATAATCGTGTGCGATGGATCAAAAGGGTACCCAGAGTGCGCCTACCATTTCGCCCAGAATATGATGGCACCTGTGAACATACCCACTGGTCTGTAATGGTGTTCTGCATCAGGTCGGGTTGACCAGGCCAAACCAACTTGAAACATGTAAACTGAATCCGAACCGAAACCGATCTGAACTCCCTAAAAATGACCTGACCCGACCCGAAAAAAATTCAAGGAAACCGAACTGAACCTACCCGAAACCAAACCAACTCCCCAAAATATGACGAATATCCGGCTTGGGCAACTGTGTCTGCTTTTTGTGCCTGGCTGAACTTACCATGTTGCGTGAAAATCTTTGTCTCTCAGTAACTTACGGCACTCACAATGTGACCTACTGGTGGGCCTACATGTTATAGACCATGCGTGATAGACCGCACACCATTTTGGTCGTACCGGCCTACCGGGCACAGTGACTCTGCAATAAATATAACACTGTGTGAATTTCCGAACTGTTCCGGTTTTTCTCGGCTTATGTCGGGTTTTTCCAAAAAGGCTTACCCGACCCGACCCGAAAATTGCAAATGCAAAACCGACACAACTTAAATGATGGACAAACCGACCCGACCCCAAAGTCGGCTTCGGTTTGGGTCGGTCTCGGGTCAGTTTGCACAACACTAGTCTGTAAGGCACTGCAACTATTAGAAATAAGAGTATTTACCTTTACCTATTTACCTTTTCTTTATGTTGTAGCATCAAATTGGGCTGTTAGCTCCCAGAATACACAACCATGGTTCTTCAGCTGATATCAAGGTATTGGTGGGCGGCTATCGTACCCTCCGGCATCGTTGTTGGAATGTACTTTGACAAACGAGAGACTGAAAGGCTGAGTGGATGGAAGAACAAGACGGAGCTGTACAGACGGGAGCTCAAACCAGGAGAAAACCCATGGAAGGCCTACTAGTATGTTGCGTGTTGATAACTAGGGATAATATGAAGGTAGATACTAATTCTGATTTATTGAGTAACGAGTGCATCTGTTCATCACAAGCTGTTGTGCATCTGTCATAAAAAACAAAAAAACAAATTGAGTTTGTAATTTCGGAACTTGGAATTATTTTTTGTGCACTGGATTTATCCTCCAAACGGCCAGCCATCAACTTCTAATGCAGTCTCGCACATGTGATTGGCAGCTTATCACAGTAACAGATGTGTTCCCGGGAAACATAGCAAGATATGCGGAGAGTCTGAGATCTTGAAGACATTGGATTCTGATGGTTGTCATGATTCTATCACAGGGATGTACCACTAGGCATCAAGTTCACCCAGTTGCTGAACTGACTCAAATAGCTTACACGTACTTCGTGCAGGATAAACGGCCTTGAACAGCCTCCGGAACATCCCAATGCATTTTCAGCATGCTAACTTGACAGCCTGTCATCTGACTGCACTTCAAAGTCATACATGACATCTTCAAGCAAACTTGAATCCTTGATCGTGATTGGTCGATCCATGGCAACAACAGTATGGTATTGTCCCGTTTATCACGGTCCATATCGCACTCTGCGTATCGCACTACTCTAAGATGCGTGTGCCATTCCTACTGCACGCACGTATGTGCATGTTCCATCTTAAGTGTGCATCAAGTTGGCTTGAAGAGAAACTCATTATCCCACTCGGGCTCGTGGAACATTGAAAATGTAGTGCGTCTGTGTTTATATGCCCCTCGGCCCAGATGCACTACATTTTTCCATGTTCCACGCAGACTCGAAGGATAACTAAGGCTAATGTTGTATGAACATGTGACATGATTCAGAGCCCAATTTCATGGACCTGCTTACCAAATGTGCTGAGCAAAATTCAGCTGAGTACTGCCGACATGTAGTATGCTTAGCATGATACAAAAATGTAGTTTGGTTGGGGTAACCAGATTTTCTCAGCAAGTATTTGCTGTGCTCAGCATATTTTTGTTTTCAGCAGTTACATGAAACGGGTCCTGGATCGTCATTGATAAGCTCCGTGCACGAACAGTAGATGGTAAATTTGAGACCACTTTCGAGAGCCCAGTTGGTTCCCGGGCACAAATCGTGAAGTACGCACGACTTTATGCTGAATGTGCACAAAGAATATAGTATCTTTTTGCGAGAATCAGGCGTCATCAGCAATGCGTACGTCCCTCCCAGTGGTCTCCCCCAACTCTCCCTTTGTAACTGTTGAGGGGGTACTTGTGCACGGAGTCCATATGAAACATACTTGTGGTGTTGTGAACTTGTGCAAATGATTTTCGGATTTTATCATAACTTGGGCCCAGTTTTCATACATGTAAGTCTTCTGAACACTTTGAATTAACCCCAAGGACAATTTTAAGAGAAAAAAAAATACCTACAGAATTTTTAGGCAACCTATTTTTTTTTTGGAGGAAGAATTGTAATTCAAACGATTTGATATTGTTCTTGAACCTTAGGGAATTACTGGTGAAACTAAAATTTCATACTAGGTCCAAGATATTGTACATTTACACTTTTTCTCAATCATGAATGATTGTATTTAAAGGTACTTGGGAACATTTGCTTTTACACAATTTTGGGGGCTAATGAAAGTAAAAAAAAAAAAAAAATGTGCCCATGGGTACAATTTAAAAAAAAAACACCTTCAATTAATTTGATTTCTTCCGAATGATATCAATTAATTTGATTTCTTCCGAATGATACCATTTCGGATGGAATAATTTCACAGGGTATTCAGTACCATCCCTATCTTCACTTTGAGCACGGTTTTTCTCATTAAATCGGTAGGTCCCTTTCCGGATAATTACAAATGATCCTGCGTACCTTTATGTACAGATTTTATCGCAAGGACATTTACCAAGTATTAAGTGCAGGATATTCTCCGGTACATTTCCTATCATCCTATGGGTGTTTGATTTTATTCAGATAGACAGACATTTAAAGGGAAAAAACATACAAAAACAAACTTTTTTGTTCATCGGAATGTACTTACAAATCATTGTAATGTTTGTTTGGAGTTGAAGTGTGCATTTAATCTAATAAAATACAGTTTGGAGTTCAGTAAAACATTTCAGTTTGATAACGTAAACATGAATTGTTATCACTAAAATGGATAAAATTGGAATCAGATCAGTGATTATGGTACACAAGATTATATACAGTGATTAAAATTTGGTGTCAAATGGGTAGATGACTCTTTTTCTGCAAAACAAAAAATACATGTAGATTGGTGCACTACAGACATTCCCAGATTTTTTTTGGATTTGGTTACATGTACATTGTATGTACAGACTGACTAAAAAAAATCAGTTTTGAATAGTTTGATTTCAAGTTATCATCTTGCAATTTACATAAAAAGTGTCCATATAAATGTAAAATTGTAATTTGAAACAGACAAAGTTTTAAAAACACTGCAAAGTTTTTGGACCTAGGCATTCACAAAAATCTACTTCCCTATAGTTGTACATTTGCATTCATAAAAAGACCCTTGTTTGCCTAAAAGGAATGTGGTTTAAAAAAAACACTAGAGGTATACCAGAATTAAAACAAAAACGGCCTTTACTTGTGAAGCTCTTTCTGTATAAGACCAGAGAATTTCACAACAGACTAATTTATGGAAAAAAGGTTCTTTGGTATTCCACTGTTCGAACAAGTCCTATTCAATATGCAGTATAAACAAGACATTTGCAAAACTGCACATTCTCAAAAATTTCACAATTCTTGAGCATCCTGTAACCAAGTGCTTTGTATAACTACAAAACCTTTTAAAAATTCCAAACACCAGTCTTTTCTGCAGGAGCACTGCAATCGCCAAGGCTGTCATCGACAGAATGTCCACTACATACTGCAATCGGCATGTCAAGAAGTTGAAGCGTGGATCAACGCATCATGTTCATTATCAGCTTGCTCTTGTACTTGGCGGTCTGTTCCTCTTTCTGCAGGGCCAGACTCCTCAGCTTAGCCTTGTACAGTCTCTCTTTCAGCTGTGCGGCCTTTCCCTCTTGGCGCTTCTCGGAGACCAGGCTAGGGTCGGTCGGTTTTGTGGGGGGTTTGTTCTCCTTTCCAGGGGCCTGCAGGGCAAAGTGGACTCGCTTGGGCGTTGTCCCAGTGCATGCTGGGTGCACGTCGTCTTGATAGACTGAAGTGAGGGAACAGATAAGGTTGGTTAAATATCGTTAACGCTTCAACAGCTGTGTTTATCTCCACTTGTGAAGTGGATACCATAAACCCTTTGTGTAAAAAAATTGTGTGAAAGCCATCTCCTGGGAAAGGAAGCACAAGGTTGCAGCAGACAAGTACAGGTCTCTCTCAAAGACAGCCATCCCTGTAGGAGAACTACAACTGCGTATTTTACGCGATCAAGCACGCATTGCGCAGTGTTGAAAATTTCCAAATACAGCGCAGCCGATGTGCGTTAATGCAAGTTGATGCCGATGCACGTGGCTGGTCTGTAGAAAATGATGTCATTTGAGAGAGACCTATTACTGACAATGCAAATTTCTTACAACCCCTGCGGGATGGTTAAGCAATATGACAATGGGTAGTTTACAAGGTGTGAAAGGAAAAATAATGAAATGAGACAGACTTCCAGGGGTTATGGTAGTCTCCGACTGTCAAAGTTTGCACCCAAATTCTTTATAGCTATTTTGCAGGTCTCTGTCCATTAGAAGTACATGTGTACCTTGGAATGCAAAGGTAACCAAATGCTATAATATGACATGCTATCTGGCAAATAAGGTTTTAATGAATGGGTCTTTCTATAAATTTGGGGTCCACTGTTACATCGGGCATAGATAATTTTAAAATTCTGATACACTCTTTAATGCAGTCATCCTCCAAGAGAATATGAAAAGCTAACTACATGTACCTACAGAACAAATAAAAAAATCATTTGAAGTCATACTTGAATGGCAAAGTGCTAAGGTAACTGGGACAGGAAAAATATCCCACTATGGACCCTGAATTTATAGCATGACCCGAATATATACCACAAAATATAAGCCACAATTGAAATGACTGGCCAGTTAGGGTTTTGCCTGCCCCCATGTCCTGTGCCTGCCGTAAGATCTGACACATTGGAAACAATTTCCAGGGCTTCTGTTCTAATGAATAGCTACATGGAACACTAGTGTCGATTTTACCATTATAACATACACATTGATAACTTTTAATCGGCAAAATTGCAGTATAGGTCTCTCTCAAATGAGGTCACTTCTTACAGATTGGCACGTGCATCAGCATTTTGGGTGTCAAATTTTCCTGACGTGCATCAACTGTGTTGTATTTTGAAGAAATTTCAAAATTTCATTTTGCACTATGCGCGCACTGCACGCACACTGATGGCGTTGAACACAAAGTTGTAATTGTCCTACAAAGATGGCGTCCTGTGAGAGAGATCTATATCTCGATAACCTGTGTCATGATTATTAATAGACAAAAATCAACTAAGTACACAAATGTGCATTGCACAAAATGTTTATTTATGGTTCAACTTTACGAACAAAAACAATACATCAGATCATCTGAACTGCAACATTACATGATCAAAAATGTGTACCCTAACTTGGGCAAATAGTTCAAAGCTTTCTTTCATATACCGGTATGGCTGACGTTCATTCAAAACTGAAATTATTTAGTAGATAAACAACATGTAAATTCCTCTTTTAAGCGAGTGCAATTTCTTGGCAGAAAGTGACTTCTTTAATTTTTTTTAAACAAAGTATCATTTACTATAAATATGAAACAAAAATAAATAACTAAATACAGTCTTTTTAAACCATTTCTTTGGTCTGACATATCAAAAATACACGTATATGATATATATCTTTCTCATATTTTTACAAATTTCTAGTGCGCATCATTTCCAGTCAATTTAAGTTAAACAAGTGAGTTCAGGATTTTTCCTGGTTTTAATACTCCTTCGTATAAGTTTTTCAGCTTATCTGTGAAACTTCAATTACATTACAGTGGAATACAATTAAATTGTAATATATGCTTCATCTGTGATGTTTGTCCTCAACTTCAAGACAATTTGCCTCCATACAACCGCTTATAAATTCCGCTTTCAACCTTTCAACTGTTAAATTATGTGCATGTACACAATAAATGTCCATAAATTTCTTAATGAAGGCTTACAAGTCAAATTAGTTTTTTGCCTTCACCAACATAGGTGAAGGGCAAAAACCTAATTTGATTTATATCACCCCGACGCAAAATTCCATCTTATTAGACTTACAAGGTTCTCTGAACTCTCCAATTATCGTAGACCCCGCATCCCTGTGCTCTTCAACAAATTCCTTTTTTTTCTATTAATGAAGGCCAATTTACACATAGGCAACACAGTCGTGCGACAAAGCAGCGCTTCTCCAAATACGCACAAATGAGTGAGTGATAAGATGCACGATTTAGTTGCGTAAATCTGAACGTGTTTATTGAATTGTATGGGACTTTGTCGCAGTGTTGCACGTTTTTCAAAGTACATGTACATTGTACATGTACTTTGAAACATGTACTTTGTACATTGTACATGTACTTTGAAAGACGTGCGACACTGCGGCAAAAGTCCCGCATGTGTAAATTGGCCTTAAATTTTCAACCTGTATGTTTTATTCGAACAAAAAAGAATATTTTTTTTTCTTCCTTTTTTGGACTTTGCAACCCTCTGAAACAAATTTGTTTTGCTTTGGACACAAACAGATCCGTTTTGTGAGCAGACTGACTCCTGATCTGTACATTAACCCTTACTACCTACTGTCTTTTACTAAGTACTGGACCAAGTCCGCCAAAGTCCATCAAGCACACTGCTCCCAATGCATGCTTTGCTTTAGGCCTCCAGGCCCAAGTCCATCATACTCCATCAAAACTGTCTTAATAGTCAAACAGGCCTGCAGGACCAAGGCCCCCAAAATGGGGATGGATTTTGATGGAGTTTGGGAGGTTATGGTTAAAGATACGATTGTTGGATGGGAACCAGCCTACCCCGCGATAACGGAATTAATAACGATAACATGTAATTCAATAACTGAACATGGGCGAGTTTTTTCCGTTGATGTCTAATTCAAAAATTTAAAAGTGAATAACATTTTTATTGGGGATGAAACCTGAAAGTAGCATGGGGAATGCAATTTTAAAATTATGGATTCACGATCTGGGATATTCTGGGTGCAGGAATGAAAAGGCTTAAATAATGATCTAAGAAAATGGACCAATCCATCAAGCCCCGCCCCATGTTTTGACCAATCACAGTCGTGATTGTGCATGCAAATGAGCGGCAAACATCTGACATGCGCACATTTATGCATATGTTCCGCTGGAACGTGGAGTGTGGCTTGGGGAGACACATGTCAAGTAGGCGGGGCCTATGACAAAATCTGGAGCACTCCATTGTTTTGACTTATGAGGCCATTGGAGGTTTATGACACACTGGAGGGAGTGGCTTTCTCCACTTCATAAACTCATTGTGGGCCATGCCCGAGTAGTCGGGAACAGTCAACTGGCGAAGGCCAGAACATTTACCTTTTTCCACTTGCAGTTCCTTGACTCTGTCGTTGAGCTGTAACCTGGTGGCTTGGTATTGGGTCAATAGCGTCTCAGCTCTGAAGTGTGAGAAGAAAAAAGAAGATTTTTTTTTCTTCAGGATTTAGAGGATTGGGGTGAATTTCTTTAGTGCCGAGAACTGCATGTGATGTCCGGCAGTGAGACGAAGCAGTGCAAACGCCCCCTGTAACGCGCCCAAGTAGTAAAGTATTGGCCCAACCTTTGCAGTTTCTCCTCGGTTAGCTTTTCCCTGGTAGCCATGCATTTTTCCTTGGTGTCCAGCAGCCGGGACCGCTCTTCCAGCTGTCTTTCCCGGAGTCTGATGGCGTCCTCCCTCCGCTGCACGGCCGCTTCGCGTCGCTTCAGTGTCTCCTCCCGTCTCTCAACCGTCTCTAATCTCTCCTGGATCTTATTCGCCGAGGCTTCGTCCGGCTGGCTGGAACGTCTGTCTTTCTTTGGGGCAGACAGCTCAAGGATTCTGGAATGCTTGAGGATGTCCTCAATTGATGGTCTCAAGACAGCCTGAAATAAAAAAAAAAATGAAGCCAAAACATCATTGGATGACAGCCATCTTCAACAAGCGTGCTTTGTTTCACAGGGACACATATCAGTGGACCTCTTGTGCATTCATTGTCCGCTAAATTAAAAATAAAAAAACTCAAAGATTGCTGCGGAATGCAAAGAATCTATTTCAATAAATGTGATTGATGTCAAACTTCAACGTTTTCTCACAATTTGTCCAAACTTAACCCCCACCCTATTAGATTCTTCAAAATCCACCGAAGATTTTGCAAAATGTAACGTAGAGAATGTAAGGTTTAAGAACAACAATATCATGGCATCGGTTATTTCATCATTATTGTGTAGTGTTTACTTTGTTCCAAATCCAATTCCCGAAAAAGGCACCTTCATGAAATTAACCCTAACCCCATGTTTTTTTGTTGAGAAAGCCTGTCCAATGCAACAACACGCAAGACTTGTCAATAAGAGAGGCCTGCCCAGCATAATGAGAGCCAACAGAAAAATTTCAAGGCCAAAGTGCTTCAGAGTCGGTGATTGCCAACTGCTACACAATACAATAGTGACATTGTTCAATGGGACTAGCTCCCATTGTCTCAGAATTGGCTGTTTATGCACTGGTGTTGATGGCTCAATGCAAGGTCCCACAGACTTTTACAACTGTTGCACTATGTTGCATCTGGCAGGGTTTACTCACGTCAATTTTCAGCATTCTTGAAATGAGTTCCTGGAGTTCTGCTGAATACGGCGACGGTAAGGGACGGAATTTTCCCTCCTTTATCTTGACTGCCAGGTGTTGCTGATTGATGGCTGTGAATGGTGGACTATAAAAAAAAATACAATTTGAAAGAGCAAACTCATAAAAACAATAGAAATGTCAGGTTTTTTCTTTTTGACCTTTTTTTGTAAAAACGTTTCCTACTGCATTAACAATCTCAAAGAATAAAGATTTAATAGAAAAGTAAATATTAAAGGAATCGTAGGATGCATTTCGCTCCTTTCCAATAATAACACTGCTCACAACCATAGAACTTTAGAAGAATGTTCAAAACATTTAGAAGTTTAAGCTCAGTGGATGTTTTGAGAAAACACTGCAAAGCTATGCACAACCTTTTGATCACGAAACACAATTTCATCAATAGCTCTCTTTTTTTCCAAAAATCAGCCAATGGACTGATCATTGGAAATCACCTACATTTCTTGATTTCTGCTACAAATGACAGCAAGCCAGACGGAATAATTTCACAGGGTGTTTAGCATCAGTAAGATCTTCAAACCAAGGTAAGGTTACTTTTGGGATAAATGCAAATGATCCTATATGCATTTAAACTTTGAAATTAAATTTAGACAAGAAAGCATTCCTTCAGTGACATCCAATATATTAAACATTAAGTTCCTTTCTTACTTTACGATAAATTATTATCTTGACAGAAACAGCAGAAACACTGTTTTTATGAAGAGCTTTGTGCAGCTTTGATAGCAGTTTGTCACCAAGTTTTTGCCTCAAAGATGCCACTTTTAAACTCCCAGCTTATATTATACTGCAGTTATTCACAAGTGAAATCCAAATGCATTTGTTATCAACTGTTTCAATGATATAACTCACCTCAATGAGCAAAGCTCATATATGAGACAGCCAAGGGACCACATGTCTGATTTCTCATTGTAAGAACAATGGTCCATGAGTTCCTGCATTCAAGCAAAATAAAAAGACCACAGCTGATGTTAAGAGGATTATTACATGTACATTTGAAATACATTTAGAACCAAGATATTCTGGTTCCATGATATTGGGTCAGAAATAAAAGTTGCCTACAGACAATAATACATTTTAATAGTTTTTAAGTAAATGATGGGAAAACACTTGCATTACGAAGTAATTTCATTGCCAATTACATTGTTCATTCCCTTGAACTAATGACAAATACCATGCCATACAAAAAAGACCAACTGCATGGAGGCTTAACATAAAATGTTGCCTAATACATTTCTGCTAAATTGCAGGTTTCCGGTAAAAATCCCAAATGGTTTTTACATGGGGCTGATTCGTTCTCAGCTGATAAATGTAAACAGCATTTCCTGCTTGTAGCAGCTACATCAAATTATGTCCGGGCCTTGGCCACATTTTGATGGAGCTGCTTGCAAATTTATCAATAAATATTTTTCTGCTGAGCATGTCCCAGAAATTAGCCCCCTTACACTTACAGGAGACATGTAGTAAGGAGTCCCCACAAACGTCTTGGCAAAGCTGGTGTCGTGATGCAGCACTCTGGCGAGACCAAAGTCCCCAAGCTTGACCTCGTGTGCGGCGTCCAGGAACACGTTGGCGGGTTTGAGGTCGCGGTGGAGCACTGCGCTACCTTTGACACGCTGCTGGCACTCGTGCAGGGCCAGCGTGATTTGGCGGAGAACTTTCCAGGCAAACTCCTCCTCTAGGTATTTCCTGCAGGGGAACATCATTTGAAAAATAAATTAGAGCAGAAAAAAACAGTCTAGATAGAAATGCTTGCTTTTTGGAGAACCAGTAACAATGTACCTCTTTATTCTTGCTTATGACACAAGCAACACTAAAGGATAGCCATAACCACATCTATCTTACATATAACACCTGGTTCGGACGGCAGACATACCTATACTTGGTCCAGCAGATATGGGCTCTGTGCGCCAACAAGAGAGGGCACTTTTTACCACTATCAGGAGCCCAGTGGACGGGACACACCACGTGTGGTTACTGGTTAAAGATAGGGTACATCATTTGTCATTCATGCATTTTTTTCGTTTGAAGCAACAAAAGTGCTGAAAATCTAAAGATGGGTACTTAACAACTAACCTGATGAATTTTTAGCTGAAAACAATATTTTAAGATTTCGGTTTCAATTCAAAAGTTGCAGTGTCATGTTTTGAATTGTGCCCCAAAACAGAATCCAGAACACATTCTCATTCATCCGATTGGAGCTAGCCTATACGATGTCATGTACTAAACTGACAAATAAGGGCAACCACGTGCGCGTTCTTTGTGTCAATGCTTGCGTGGGGTGCACCCATACACAGATTTGTCAAATTACAAACCAACTGCTAAAGGATATTTCCAAAAATGCATCACTTTACAAATCTTTGGAAATGGCCTTCTTTTGTTGTTTTCATCAAAATGACAGCATGCCAGAAAGAATAATTTCTCAGTGAGTTTATTACCATTTACTATCTTTAAACCAAGTAAGCTTTTCAACAATAATTTTGTCAGTTACTTTTTTGATAGCTCTGCAAATGATGTACTCTACCTAACGCACGTATAGCATGAAGTACGCATGACTAATTTTATTATGAGTATGCACTAAGCCATGATGTCTTTGCGCGCATGAGCATCAGTGGCATTCTGTTCGAATGTCTCTGCCAGAGGTGGCAGCAAGTCATTTTTTGCAAGTCCAAGTCAAGTCACAAGTCATTGTTTGCAAGTCCAAGTCAAGTCACAAGTCATTAGGTCCAGTCACAAGTCAAGTCACAAGTCATTAGGTCCAGTCACAAGTCAAGTCACAACTCATTTTGTCTAAAAACAAGTCAAGTCACAAGTATCTTTGTCCAAGAACACGTCAAGTTGTACATTATTTTGTCCAGCTGTAATAAGCTAAAAGAATTAACCTGGCGTGAACTTACGAGTTATTTTGAACATGCCTCCTTAATTCCCCTTTTTCAATGTGTTGCAATTACTATTCTTGTAGTTTATCACATATCCGTCGGATATTAGCCCTTTGTATACTTTAATAAATTTACTTTACATTGTAGAAATAAATGCTGAGATGACCGTGAAAAAAAGACTTCCTCACTCGATTATATGTAGTATACTAACACTTTATTGTTCAATTTTCATGTATACTAAACGCCTACCAATGGGTTAGGCTATCCGGTATTTTACATGCAATTGACAAAGGCCTGCTTTCTTTTCATGAAAGGTTCCTTTCAAAGTTTGTTCAACCAATACATTAAGCAAGAGACAATTGGTCATTGAAAACTGTAGTTTGTTGTGACAGTCTTATTGAAAACTTTTGAAACTAGTGGGAACTATTCCTTTTACTGGATTCAGTCACTGAGGTCTATTTTCTGGAATGAAAAAGCTAATTAAAAGTATAATAGCTTAATTAAAGTGTATTGGGTCGCTCGAGTAGCGTCTGACTTGGGTTGGTAACAAGTCGTTTTTTGCAATCCCAAGTCAAGTCACAAGTCATTGTTTGCAAGTCCAAGTCAAGTCACAAGTCAAAGCTGGTATTTACAAGTCAAGTCACAAGTCACAAAAATAGCGACTCGAGTCCGACTCGAGTCCAAGTCACATGACTCGAGTCAGCAACTCTGGTCTCTCCTAGCATCTACCCCAACTCTCCCTTTCTTACCGTTGATGGGGTACTTGTGCACGGAGTCAATTACCATTTGGTTTGGCGTGACTTTGAAACCCAGTCTGAAATGAGTTTTACCTACCTCTCTCTCTTGCAACGTGAGATAAGGCTCCCCAGGTCACCCCCCTCACAATACTCCATGATGATGTAGATGGTCGTCGTGTTCCGGTCCACGATGCGGTCATAGTAGCGCACAATGAACTCATGGCGGAGTCCTCGCAGTAGGTTGACCTCTGACACCAACATCTGCTTCTCTGTCTCCGACATGCTGCCATAGTTGATCTCCTTCCAGGCCAGGATCTAGGTGTTCCAAGATGCAAGAGGATTAAGGGTTCATGAATACCTTGAGTCGGACTGAAAACTAAAATCAACTTAAGTAAACTTACATCAGCAGAAGAGAGACCTTCATTTTCTCTTTTTATGATTCCTGTTGGTTTTTAAACAGTTTAGAGTGTACACTTTAGAGTGCATTTTAGTTACATGCAACTTCAGCAATCTTCTTGTAATTCTTATGACCCTTTTATTTATTATTTTGAACAAAACTGGTTTGGTAGAAAATCTTTTCATATCAATTTCTTTCAGTTGATGCCATGTAAATGAACTGGTTTTGTGCATTCACATTGTACATACATTGTATTTATATTTTTTGTTTTGTATTCACACAACTTGACTGTTTGCGAACTCAAAGCAAACCAATGTGACCATTGAGACAACACGTCCATTGTGACAACTCGACTGTTTCAAGAGAACTCTGTTGTACAAATCTGATTCCTCTAATGCCTTTAAGGGTTCTAGTTATCAGTGTTCACCTTGGAAATTGGTGTACTTTGCACGTTATTAGAGCCTGTAAAACGATGTTTATGTTGCGTGTTCATGTGCGTGCTAGACAAATTATCTAGATTGTTTGTATCATTTATATCATATTGTGTGTTTATTTTGTAAAAAAAAAAAGAATAAATGTGAAAGGCTTTGAGGCTCATTGTTAGAAAGTGTTTTCTTTTTACAAAATATGATTTTCAACGTTTGTTTATCCATGTAAATGGTGACTCTATTTTCCTTCAGGTCCAAAGGCTGCTCATAGGCTACTATGGAAAACTGCTTGGTGCTTGTCCTCTTCTCCTGTTTCTGTTTTCTTTTACGCCATTTTCTTTTCTTTTGCTTAAGTTTAAAAGAAATTTTTCTCCATCTTTACTTTCCTCATATTTTGAATTTGAATTTTCATATTTTGAATTTCTAGGCAAATTCTCAGCTCCGTCCCAGTCTATTTAACCTTCAAACAACCCAGGGTCCCACTGCTTTGCAATCAACCAAAACTCCAGTGACACAAGGTTAACTATGTCGCCTGTGTTCTTATTCCTCCAAGGTGTATCATAGACTTGGAAGTCGAGTTATCACAACGGACGAGTTGTCACAACAAACAAGTTGTCTCAAAGATCAAGTTGGGTAAAGGACGACTTGTTCGACATCCCAACATTCCTGTCTGGTTTTTGGTTTTTAGAACCGTTAATTATTATGGCGCTAACCAAGTTTTTCATTCATTGTGTTTGTGTAACGTTAGTCTTGTCAGTTGTAGATGTTTCTACAGGAATGGGCAAAAAGTCACAATACCATGCAATTGCTATGAAAATGAAATTGCAGAAGTTATGTTGTTAGGACAAATTTGCTTGACTTTCATAAAATTAAAAGAGGCAAGGGCGTAGGCTAAAACATGCTAAATGAAAATTTACGGGACAAAAAACACATCAAACATTTCAAACTCAAACCAAAGGAAAAGCAGAAACTATTTTATTTCCATTTCAATAATGTCAAATGTAATAAAAATACAATTTAAGAAAAATACAATTTATCATTTAAATAAAGTCACTCAGAAGAAAATGAAATAGGCCTAGGCCTAGCTGAATGTTTCAGTTTTAAAATAGCAAAAATGTCACGCAAATTTATGTAGCCTCTGCAGCGAAGAGGGTGGTTTAATACGCAGTAGTATTGAAGCAGTAGCATCAGCGTTGACATTCCCGGATTACGATTCGTCTAGCTTCCCAGAATCCCTGCCTGTAAGAAAATGTTTGTCAATTGTCATAGCGTTACGAATTATCCTACGGATTCATGGCATAGGCGTTTTATACGTTACCTTGCCGTCACTTCTTCGTTTAATTTTCTTGCATTTTCCATAGGAACCGACACCAATGGTGCAGATTACTTCGTAGTCACTTAACTTGGACGGCATCGTGTTTTGATTCTCAAATTACAACAAAATATGTTTTTCGGTTCCAAATTTCCTGTCAAATTTTTGCCGTCACGCACAGTCTAGTCGTCTTCCGCATCCAGCTCACGATGCATTTGCGTTGTTCGAAAAGCCCCCCAACAACAAAGATTCTCATTGGTCTATTATCAAGCAAGCTCGTAATTTCATTGGCTTATAATATGTGAGGTGAAAGGTCAATTAAAGGGCCAGGCTTGTCTAGTATCCTCTTCATTTACCTACTCCTTCACACACCAATGAAACCGACCAGATTGTAGTCGATGCCATTTATTTTAAGGTGGTGAATATCGTAAACAAAAATGAGTTGAATTCAGTTTGAGGCCTAAATCGTATATTTCTACAAAACCTGACCTCTTAAAAGTGTGATTTGTGTATTATAATTATACTACGTCCGCTGATATAAAATCCAATTTTTATTTTTCTGGACATATCGCTTCAACTCCCCCGTACTCGACATAAAGCAAATGGTACCATCTGAAATGGTTTACATTAAATTACAACGTCTCTCGTCAAAAGAGGGCGTATGACATATCAACATGGACGCAATATTTCACGAAAGGGTAACTGGATAAAATTTGTTTTCGTGTCTTTTCTGTAAATTTTATTTGCTTTTGAAAACTGAACTTGCACATCCGTAATGACTGTATTTCTGTTATACAAACCGTATAAATGACTCAATTCCGATGTAAGGGAGAGTGTTGTTTTATGACTTTGGAAAAGTTGTCACGCTTCACTTCATTTAATGAAGTGAAGCGTGACAACTTTATTTTTGACTTCTCTGAATTTCTGTCTGAATGAACGTTGCCACTGCATTGCATGCAATTTGCCAGCTGAACAGTACTAGTACTACTTAAAGGGGCACTGCATCCTGAAATCCCCCAAAATTTCATCTTTTGGGCACAACTATAGAAGGTAACAGGTCATCTCGTACCTTGGGCAACTCGTACCTTGGACAACTCGTACCTTTAACTCAACGTCATTATACCGAGTCGTAACTTGGACAACTCGTACCTTCGGCAAGTCGTACCGTCAGTCAGGATAATGATCTGAGGCTGAATAAAGTGGACCGTAACTCATTGAAAGTGGACTGCTTATTAAAATAAATGTGAATCTCTTTTTGGTATGGGCTCTCTTTCCCCCCAAAAGAGGAATTTATCTACTTTTTATTCTGATGGTACGAGTTGTCTTAATTGACGGTACGAGTCGTCCAAGGTACGAGTTTTCCAAGGTACGAGATGTCCAAGGTACGAGTTGTCCAAGGTACGAGTTGTCCAAGGTACGAGTTGCCCAAGGTACGAATTGACTCGAAAGCCTATAGAATACAGGGCCTCTCCACTCTACATCCGCGCCTCCGTATGGCTGCGTGGAGCCGTGGAGCTGCAGTCGACCTACCTCCGAGAATTGCGCCCTCTACCAGCGCGCGACTACGCGAATCCAAGGCTCCAAGGCTCCGCACCTCCAATTCTCCAGTGCCCCGTCACAAGCGCGCCCTCCCGTCCTTTGCGAGGAAATACTCAAAAAAATGTAGTCCTAGGATCATTTATATGGATATCCTAACGCCGAGAATTGCACCCTCTACCGGCGCGCGACTCCACGGCTCCAAGGCTTCGTGCCTCCACGGCTCCGCAGCTCCAGTGCCCCGTCACAAGCGCTTTCTCTTCCTTTGCGAGGAAATTAATTTGGATATGGATGCTTTGTTCTCAAAAAAATGTAGTCATAGGATCATTCATATGGATATCATACCGGCGAGAATTGCCCCCTCTACCGGTGTGCGACTCCGCATAGGTATGCATATCAATGCGAACATGCTGTATACTCTATGAATAATATACAATCAACCTGGAAGTGAGTTTTGGAGCGACCGCTGTATATTTGTACCCCAAGCCCATGCCCAGTACTTCTTGACGTATTCACGTTCATTTCGCTAACAAGTATAAGGGTTGAATCGATTCCGATGGTGCCAAAAAATGATGAAAACAGTCCCATTTCCGTACCGAAGCTATAGTTTGAGTTTTAACGTGCATGCGAAGCGTTGTTGGCATGATGTCAGAGTCTTTTGGTCTGGGAACCGACCACAGACACCGTCTTTATAGTGCATATCGCAGGCGGCGTTAGACGGGCCAATCACGAGGTGCCTCATGCTTGGCCCGTCTGACGTCACCCTCGATATGCACTATAGACGGTGTCTGTGGTCGTTTCCCAGACCAAAAGACTCTGACTATTCTGCAGAGTTCTGCATGCCCTGCAGATTACTGCCCACTTTTACCTGTACCATTTGGTTAACTCTGCAAATTTCTTTCAAATAAGCATTTTCAAAACACAATTACAAATTTCACTTTTGTAACGTGTCTTAAGTGAAGACACAAAACCTGTCCTCTTTATTTAAGGATGGCAGGTTTGATTTTGATTGTAATGGATTCTTCTTTTCTCTTTCAGCAAGAGGGATCATTATGTGCCCAGCACTGTCTAAACTCCCTTTTACAAGGTATTTTTCCCCCATTTTTCTCAATGGAAATCATTCATTAGGGAATTGAAACAGTCATTCATTGTAAACTTTGAAAACAATTTTGAATTTTTTTTTTGTCTTATGATTTCTGACGATTCTGAATTGTGATCGATGTCACAGGGCCTTATTTCAGCGCTGTAGATCTGGCTGACATCGGCCGTGAGCTGGATGAAGCAGAGAGGGCAACCATGGCAGAGGGTGACATCAACTCCCCGGAGTATCTCCGCTTCCTGCAGGTAAGTGGCAATTCCTATCTTAGGTTTCTCTCTTGTATTTTCCCAACGGCAATAATCCAAACCCATCCATCTCCTTCAAATTCCACCATAGAGTTTTAGTGGCTTTTGCACGATTTAGGAAAGTAAGGTAGAGTTCAGACCCTATTTGTTGGTTCCCAAGAAAGAAATCCTTTTTTTATACCGCTGACCCTGTCTGGAACCCATACAAGCAAAAAATACATAATTAACGCACAATATAATATTAATTGTACAAAAAAATATTGGTAGGATAAGCAATTTTCAAAATTTTCAAAATGGCTGCCATTGCTTGTTTTTCTACCTATATTTTTTCAAAGGACAAATCTGCGATGGCCCTATGGCCAAATATCTTTCTCACATCAAACTCTGACTGTGTGCCAAATTCCACGCTTTTATCATCAAATGAACATTCCCATCACCAATCTGCCGTACTAGGTGTGTTTCTTTTTCTTTTCATGTGTCTTCAAATGAGTTTCTTTAGGTTATACAGCTGATATGGTGTAACAAAAGCTATAACACTTAGTCTGACAATTTGTTGAAATTTCCAAATTGGCTGCACTACAGACTCTTGCACTTCTTGTTATATTGGGTAACGTAAACAGTATTGGCTGTAAAAAGTTTCTTGTTTTCAAGGTTAATTGACTCAGCTTCATTGTATTACCTCACAGCAACCCTCCAGCAACATGGATGACAGTGGCTACTTCTCAGTTCAGGTCATAGGTCGTGCACTCAAAGTCTGGGGGTTGGAACTCGTCCCGTTTGGGAGCACGGAGGCTGTCCAAGCAAATACCAACCCAGAGTAAGCTGTGTTGCATTCTGTTGCATTTAGCAGGGTTTTCATTTCAGCTGTGTTGCATTCTGTTGCATTGAGCAGGGTTTCCATTTCAGCTGTGTTGCAATCTGTTGCATTTAGCAGGGTTCTCATTTCAGCTGTGTTGCATTCTGTTGCATTTAGCAGGGTTCTCATTTCAGCTGTTGTGCAATCTGTTGCATTTAGCAGGGTTCTCATTTCAGTTGTGTTGCATTGTGTTGCATTTAGCAGGGTTTTCATTAGTTGTGTTGCATTCTGTTACATTTAGCAGGGTTCTCATTTAATTCAGTTGTGTTGCATTCTGTTGCATTTAGCAGGGTTCTCATTTCAACTGTGTTGCAATCTGTTGCATTTGGCAGGGTTTCCATTACAGCTGTTTTGCATTCCATTGCATTCAGCAGGGTTTTCATTTCAGCTGTGTTGCATTCCGTTGCAAAAAGGACGCCCATAGAAAACTACAGGGTAACTACTGAGGGTAAAACAATAGTCAGACAGCAGACACAAATCAGCGTTTATCATGTTTCCAACCAAATTTGATTGGGAAAATTTGGTTGTGTAATTGCAGTCAGCATGCATGCGACAGCTCATAATTGATTGTGGTGGGTCAGTTTTTGTGGGTCTTATTTCACCCTCTACATTCTTTTGCTACATACGTGTAAGTTTGTGAGGTTTATTCCGCTCAGAGCTTTGTATCGACCAATCACGGAACGCTATCAATTCCATCATGGAGGCCCCTTCAACGGCGAAACTCACCGTGCCAGCTTTTGTTCAGATAATTCGTCACAGGACAGTTGCTCTGCACAATAGTGTGCACAACAGTTTCTCCATTGAAGGGGGCCCATGCGTGTACAGTGAACACATGCCTGGATTAGTCTGTAATCAAATTCTACTGTGCATGTTCTAGTTATGTAATTTGGCATTTTCTTTTCTAAATTTGTAGACGTGAAAAGTCTTTTATATGCAACTTCAAAGATCACTGGCTGACCATCAGAAAGCTAGGCCGACAGTGGTTCAACTTAAACTCCTTGCTCACCGGTCCCGAACTCATTTCAGATATGTACCTTGGTATGTTTCTCATACAGCTGCAGAAAGAAGGTTGGTACCCTGCAAGGTTACATTATTGCATAGTTGTATTCTTGTAATGTTACTTCTTGAGCGATTTTCTTTAAAGGCATACAGGATGACTTGCTGTTCATCCATTTTGTTCGTTTCTAATACATGTAGTAACACCACTCAAAATCCAAAGAAGAATGTTCAATGTTCAAAACCTGTTGAAGTTTCAGCTCAGTGTATACTACACTCTTTGTGAAAACAGTGAAAAACCATGCACAACCTTTTGATCACTAAACACGATTTTGTTAAAACTCTTTGATCCAAAAATTAGTCAATTGACTGATCATTGGAAATCACCTACATTTCTGTTAAAATTCTTCTAAATGACAGCAAGCCAGATGCAATAATATCACAGAGTGTTTAATACCAGAACGATCTTTAATACAAGTAAGCTTTTTGAAAATTATTTTGGTAGGTTACTTTTGGGGTAAATGCAAATGATCCTTTAAGAAACCTGATTTTTCAAACTACTCTCTTCAGGAAGTGATAGGCATGCGTCTTGGAGTTTCTGAATGCAAAGTGTGAATGCAAAATGAATGTGACATAAAGTATTGTCAGTGAAATCAAAGTTGAAAATGTTCAGCGTTTGGGAATTCTCAACACGAGAACTTGGCGTGATGTCACAATGTTAAGTTCACATTCCCTTTGTAATGCTCCGGTAATTCCAGATATCCCTTGTCATCTCAGGTTACTCTATATTCGTCGTGAGGGGTTCCCTGCCTGAAAACGAGGCCGATCAGCTCCTCAACCTCATCCCTGCTGTTCAGACCCAGAAGCCCCGGCTGTTAACCGACCAGATCCAACCACAATCCGGCAGCACGGCATCGACCTCCACTTCGGGGGCGGGTCCCTCGGGGAAGGGGGTGTTCAGTCTGCAGGATCTTCAGAATGCTTTGAAAGCCAATCAGAGGTCGTTAGAGGGAGGTGGGGGAGCAGGAACGAGCGGCCAGTCATGGGAAGAAGCCATGAAACTCGGCATGCAAGGTAGGCTATTACTATAATAATTTTGTTGATCACAGACAGATTTGAGAAAAGTGTTATGCTGATTTGCTAGCTGTTTCTGGATTCAAGCCATCTCCCATAGCCTCAGGTCTTGAGCCTTTTTCATAAGATCCTTTGCTGTTCCTAAAAATATTGTGTAAATGACAGTTTTGAATGGGTGCTGATTTCTTTGAGGACTAGAGTTAAACAAAAATATGTAGCAATTCGAAAGACGTGTTTGAAACCATTTTGATTGTTTGTGTGTTTTTTGGGGTTTTTTTAGGGGTGGGTGTGGGGAATGCAAAACCGGAGGCTTTATTCCCAATGCCACCCCTTGCCTATTGAAATGCATCGCTGGAAAGGGGTGTAGATCATTATGAATTCTTGCCTTAACAGGAAAAACGTTGTTAGTTCACCTTTTTTTTTCATAAAGGGCACAAAGGAATTGACGAGGGTCCTCCAGAGGAAGTTGATGTAGAAGATCTCAGAAGAAAAAGACAAGCCTTCTTTGACAGGTAACTCCGCCTCCTAAACTAAAAAGCATTGAACCCATTTTGAGATATGACCCAGGTCTTGTTAGTTCTCATTAGACTTATTGGATCGGTCTACTATGACCTAGTACAGTGCCCCAGTACAGTGCAGCACCCTGAGATGTGGTTTGTATCATTTCGTAGAAGGGGAGTACAGAAACCCAGAAAGTTTAGTTCCTTAGTTTACAGAAAGTTTAGTTCCTTAGTGACAATCTCAGTGACAATCTGTAGAGAGTTACCCTATGCCTCAAAATCTGTCAGGTGACAGGTGTTAACAGGTCTGTAAACTAGTGATGTGCATCAGGCCTGGTTGACGAGGCCAAACAGACCCGAGACATTTATTTTATAAACCGAATCTGAACCGAAACCGAACTGGACTACCTAAAACCGACCCGACCTGACCCAACAAAAATTCAAAGAAAACCGACCTGAACCGACCCGAAACCCAACCGACCCGAAAAAAACCTAAATATCTGGCTTTGGCAAATGTGTCAGCTTTTCGCGCCTGAACTGACCCGCTTCACGTAAAACAAATGCCGGCTTCAAGTGACTGAATCGTGCCATGCGGCACTCACAACGTGATCTACTGGTGGGCCTACATGTTATTGACCGATCGAGACAGACCGCAAACCATTTTTAGTCGCACCCCATGCAGTGACTCTGCACTAAATAGTGCACCATGTGAATTTCCATTCTGTTTTGGTTAATTTTGGTTTATTTCGGGGTTTTCCAAAATGGCTTAACCGACCCGACCCGAAAATCGCAAACGCAAAACCGAAACCCACCTGACCCGACTAAAATGATGGACAAACCAACCCGACCACATTATTATTGCACAACATTATTGTAAACTGGCCTCATACTGGCCCTAATTGACAGGCTGTGGTAGTTTTGTTAATTGAGAGTACCATGCCTTGACTGACATTGATAGATGTGGTGGGTCAGCGCTGGTGAGTGCCTGTCAATGATGAATTTAGCTCAGTAACAATGAATGCACCAAACGTTCACTCATGCATTCCAGCCAAACAAAGGCATCACCCTTTAAAATGGCTGCTTCACTGATTTATGGTCAACTTATCTATATAACCACTTCAACAGGCTTTGACAGTTATACGGTTTCTGGTAGTTGATGACCAGCCTGTACAAAAGCTATTGAGAAAGGTAGGGGTTTAACAGTTTGTGACAGATAAACAAATAAACAAAGTATGCTTGATTTTCTATTTAGGCAACAAGCAAGTAGCGTCCCTCCTCAGCAACCGACGCCTTCATCCTCGGAAAACCCCGGCATAGCATTATCCTCACCACATCCTCACAGTCAAGCCACGGCAGGGAACCCCTCAGATATACAGGGACTGGAAGCCAGCGGTGGCAAGACTAACTACTCCGGTCCCGGCGCGGTGGGACGGTCCCCGGAAGCGGACGAAGAAACCTACGTCAATGACGAACAAATGACGGAAGAGGCTATGCTCGAATTGGCTATTCAGATGTCGTTGGGTAGGAGACAACAGGGAGAGCAACTGCAAGGCAGTGGCTCATGAATATGTATAAGGATTGTGGTCCTGAGGGTTTCACTTATGCAGACGATCTTCCTTTGAGAATGTTTGAGAAAAAACATCGGATTACATCTAGCAAGGTGCTTCCGTGAGCACAGCAGAATGATAAATAGATCGTTACGTCGGTCCGGTAGACTGTGGAGTAACAATTGAAGTAGAGAGGTTTTACATTCAAACGGATACTTGCACGCATTCGTTTAGCTATCAGCAACCGTTATCAACCATTCCGCTGTTTTGCATCGTGTACGCGTACATATATGCTTAGTTATCAGAACCGTCATCAATATAAGCAGTAATCAAAAACAGTAGGCTCTGATGAAAGCCTCGTGTCTGTGGCTAGTCCTGCTTTGAACACAGACAAATGACACATATATGTTCAGCAATTCATACTCTTTCAAGCAAATCATACATGATTAAACAAATCGACACAGAAGAGAGGGCAAAGCGACAGTTTACTACGCAAATGCCCAGTGATACGTAGTATGATATGTCTGTACTGTGTACACGTGTAGCGGATAGCGAGTTGTGTATGACGCTACTTAGACAACACAAAGTGATGACTTATCTGGCGCGCTAACCGTATCCGTTCGCTTGCGAAACCTCTCTATTCAAAGCTTTCGCCTGACGAGTATTCTGCAAGATCTCACTTACACCTTGTTCAGACTGCTGTACAAGAGTCCTGCCGAACCAAAATGTATTTGGAGCAGATCAAGTCGACCAGAATACATTTGGGTTACACACAGGTGAACTTCGTGCATAAATTTAAATTTTCAATGACTGTCGCACTGAATCCTTCACCTGAATTCACTCCTTATTTCATTTGTCATATTTAGAATAATTTAGTTCAGAGTTACTCTGTTATGCCAGTCTGAAAGCAGCGTCAGTCTTTAAAGAACAAATTATTTTACCGCTGTAAATTTCTGTTTTGAGGACAAATGTCACCCTAATTATTCCCTCATGACCTGACAACAGATAAATGTAGTATTTATTCATTGTTTTTTGTCTGCAAACCTCTTTAAATAATTTGTTTTTTTTAAATGAACCCTCTGCTCCACACTGCTTCTTAAAAGGCATTGATGTGGATGTGTGTCTTGTTGAAAAATTCGGTTTTCTTTCTAAATCTTGCCTTTTAAAAGTATATTTTTGTAACGGCTTACACAGACAGATATGCTAGAAGATCAATTTTTGCATTTAGTTTCCATTGTGTTCGTTTGAACAGAGGGATCTTTTAACCACACAAATCAAATGAACAAAAAGTCATCATCCAAAAAGATGGTTTAAAAGAAGCTTTACTAAGGGAATAAATGTGTGCTCCGGAGGTTTTTATCACTCTGTTTAATACCACTTAGAGTCTGGGTGCTGATAATTACCCGAGCCGGAGGCGAGGGTAATTATCAGCACCCAGACTCTAAGTGGTATTAAACAGAGTGATAAATACCGACGGAGTACATATTTATTCCCATTCATAAATACCTTTTCGGTAAAAAAAAATCATATAATTCGTTCAAAACATCCCGATTTTGTTCAACAAATTCACTTTATGCTTTTTGAAACATCCCTCTCGCAAAATAATGGAGTGTTCAGCTGGCGAGTACGATGAAAACAACCCTTTTATGGAGATTGACGCGCACGTATCATGTTCTACGCGATGTCGCGCAGAACGCACCTGGCGCGTTGCGTTTTGAATTTAGAACTATAAAATTCTAACTCCCTGGTAGTGTTGCGCATGCCTACGTGAGGATTGTGAACGTTCAACCAATGAAACGATAAGAGGCACTGGATTTTTAGGAGTCCATATTTTATTGACACTGGAAAAGTGTTTAAGACCAGCTAGCCATGTCTTTATCATCCGTTTAATACCGGCCACGTGACGGGCTCTCGACCAATAGGAATGGCTAAACTGTCTGAGGTATTTATGAATGTAATATATTTAATTGATGGTTTTATTTGAACACGGAGGCAATAATTATTGGTGTAGAGTAAAAAACTAAATGTTTTGGTAGTTTTTCGAGTCTTTCCTGATTTATTTAATGCAAGATTTCAAAGTGCCTTTTTTGACATGAAATCATTTTTTTATGAAAAATATAAACAAACCGCTATTTCTTTGTTGTTTCAAAAGCAGCTGCCATGCATTCCTGTGTGTTCTAAGGAAATTTGCTAGGAGCAAAATACAGTTTGTTTTCAGTTTTCTTGCAAATGTATTTCCCAAAGTGTATTATGGTAGTCACAGATCTGGCTAGCAATATTCAAGTAATGGGTCAACTTGCAAAAGGTTAATTTTCACACACAAAAACCCATACTAAGGATCATTTGATGAAAAATGGTAATTGTAACAGGTGGTATCAATATTCAGAAAGTAGATGCGTACATGTATTCAGTTCTTATGAGTTATGACTTTTTTGGGGGGAGGGGGGTGGGAAGTACACATATACTTGTTCCGTAGTTGTGGGGACTACATATGAGTTGTCCCATGGTACTATGGGGACCGAAGACACTGTGGGGACAGCAGAAAGCCCCATAACTCATTCTGAATTTGCCTAACAATAAAAAACTTGCCCATAACGCGGTATACTTTCAATATCCAGGTTCCTTTTTATTTAACCCATTAGCAACTCTACTACATTGTATTACATTGTGTTTATTCTCTGATGATTCCATAGAACCAGAGTTCTCAGTGATTGTTTGGGCGGTATAGGGAGTAATAAGCAGGGCAGTTTGGGCGGTACAGTGACTAATCAGTTAATATCACACACGTATTGGTTAGATATGTGCATTTACGGTTATTACAGGAATCGGGTACCGTATTGAAGTAAAACATGGGTGTACCCTAAAAGAAGTTACCAAGTAATTTATAAAGTTTATTACAGGTACTCGATTCCATAATCTGGAACCGTTTCCTGACATTAGCGGTTGGGTACTCGGGTACCTGGTTCTGATGCACACCCCTAGTATTGGTACATTTTGAATATACAGTCGAGTTCGTTATAACAAACTCGTTCGGACCTAGCCAAATTGTTTGTTATATCAGAATTTTGTATTAAGAGGACCATCAGTCCCATTCATTGTGCACATACCTGCACAGTCGGGACCAAGGCTTTATGTTTGTTATAACCAGAATTTTGTATTAACAGAGTTTGTACTAACGAGAGTCGACTGTAATGCAGAAAACAGTACAAGTGTCTTTGCATCACAACTCAACAGAAAATAAATATGATACACAAGCCATAAAAGCACCCACCCTCTGTTGCACTATATGCTCACCTATGATTTAGTTGCTATTTTTGCATTCACAAGTCCATGGTATGAATGTACATCTGATTTTTATACAATGCCTGAAGAAATTCCCGTCATCTGATTGGTGGGTCGTTGATCACATGTCATTAAATTATGTCATTGAATTATTCGTTCCAACCCACAGCCCTGTCGCAACTCAAAAATAGAAGTTCTATTCCACTGTAAACACAAGTTCAGATGACGTGGATTTATTCAAGCGGTGTATGAAACACATAATCAATGTTTCACATTCGTACAGTGTAAAGAATAATATTCGGTGAAAGATGGAATGTAACATTCCACTAGGCTTCGCCTTTGGAATGGAACATTCCACTGGGCTTCGCCTTTGGAATGGAACATTCCATCTGTCACCTCATGAAATTGTTCTTTCCATTGCACTCATAAACATTCATTATTTGAATTTGAATGTACTCTTTGTTTTCTGCAATAAATTCAGTCATTTTGGAAGCCAAACCACATGTGCACAACTGTTTTCATTCCTGGTTTTAATTACTGAAGTAAAGTCAGTATGAATAGGGAAAAAGAACACGCTACATTTGAGAAATAACACTCAAACATCTGAACATACATTGTTTATTATAAAGCCATTTAATCTTTAAAGAAAATATGAAAATATAAAAGTCTTCTTTAACAAATTCTTCCCAATTACACGTCTGCAACCAATTCCCGAAAAAAATGCTTATTTTATGCATAAAAGTGACAAGTGAATTTCATAAAACTTACACCCTGAAAAGTCTGGAAAAAAGTCAAGACCAGAAAAGTGGTCTCTATAAATCGTTTAGACTTGGGATTTTACATTTTGTCAATGTACTTTTAAGAGTGCACAACAAACATGAGCTGCTATTTTCTTATTTACAACGTAGAATACTCTTTTGCTTTTAAAATTCTTGCAACAGTTGCTAATTATTTGACCTTGATATCACCAGAAAAAAATAAAATCTTTATCAGTACTATTACAATTGGCTTTTGAAAAAAAATAAACCCTGTTCATTCCAAAACATTTAAAAGGTTACAAGAATTTCTGTTTCAATGTTAGAAGGTGGTTCAAATGTTGGCAATGCCAGCATTATGGAAGAAAATTTATTGTCTGTGACAGAGCCAACAATTCAGAGAAATGATCCAAAACTCCTAGTCTGTAATCTCCTTGACCATTACTAGATGATGGATGTATAAGATTTGAAAAAAAAATACATTTTCAGGTTAATGTCTGATTTGTACTGTCCGTGATGCTGGAACTGCTCATACATGTACATGTATATAAAAACCACCAATCTGAATATTTCAGCGGTCACATAAAAAAACACACTACATTTTTGTATACCAAAGCCAACCAATAACTGCAGCATATGCATTTTGTTCTGCTGTTACATCAGTAGTCTGGTAATTTCACTGCACATTTCTTGAAATCGAACTGCTATTTTCTCGATTTTTATCACACTTTCTTGCAATAAACTCTGTTCTTGCATACTAAAAATCTTTTAAAGATGGTCCACCCAAGGTTCTTTGAATAAACCTTTTTTTTTCAAATGCTGAGGTGGTTTCATGATAATAGCACCAATGATAGAAATCACGTAATACATTTTGTAAAAGCGAGATGTTGAACATAAATCTTTCGTTTTAAATACAAGAATGACTTCCAACCCCACACAGAGCTTGGGATAACTGTTCTTATCAGCAACAGTGGATACAAACTGATAATCTTTACTCATATGGCTGTGTTTGCAATGAAGCTGAAGAAGAAACTCATGAAGGATGAAAAGCTTAGGGCACATTTCTCCAACTTCAAGACAGATCTAGAACAGAAGGGCTTTGCAGAGAAGGTGCAAGTGTAGAGATCCTTGAAAATGGCCAACCCACTTTTTCATTTTTGTCTACCCCCTTGTTTTAATCATGGAGGTAGGAAACGACCTACCTCCATGTTATAATGTATTAGTCCAGACTTTGGTTTTACCTCTAAAAAATAATAGACTGAGCCAGAGAGTTGCAACAACACCAATGGACAGGAAGTTGGCCTCATTGTTCTTCAAGCAATGACCCTGCCAACATATGTGTAATGAATGTGTGCATTCATGATGCAACTAGAGCCAGACTACTTCGTGAGAAAGATTTGAATCTGCAAAGAGCGATAGAAATTTGCAGAGCTGCCGGAGCAAGCAAGTCACAGCTTGGGCAAATAACATCTGGAGGGGCACAGAGCACAGTCCATGCAATTCGCAAACCAAACGAAACTCACAGAGCAACGAGGACTGATAGACATGATAGATATGGATCGAAAGCATGTAAATACTGTGGCAGGCAACATGAACGAGGACATTGTCCGGCATATGGACAGACATGTAATAAGTGTGGTAAACAAAACCACTTTGCTGATGTTTGCATGTCCCAAGAAATATGCACACCTGGCAGAAAACATGCATCCAAGACAGTGCATGGAATTGAACATTCTGACTTTGACTCTGATACAGAAGATGAATTCTTCGTAGATATGGTGAAATTACAAGATCACCACACATCAGTCGATTGGATGCTTGACTTGAAAGTCGCGAGTCGCACTGTACGGTTCAAACTAGACACCGGTGCACAGTGCAATGTCATACCTGAGAGTGTGCATAACAAGCTATGCACCAAGCTACAACGCTCACGTGAACGGTTGATTTCCTTCTCTGGTGACAAAATGAAACCCAGTGGGAAATGCACCATGCTCTGCGAATACAAGGACAAAATGTATGACGTAGAGTTCACAGTTCTCCGTGGCAGAGTGCAACCAATTCTCAGGCTGACCACATGCGAACGACTGGGATTGATCAAGCGCATTGAAACACTTGAGAACAATACTGGCCCTGACATGCTCAACAAATATGATGTATTTGAGGGTCTGGGATGCCTTGAGGGCAAACAGCATCTCCATGTGAAACCTAAAGCATCACCAGTCATTCATGCACCCAGAAAAGTGCCAGTGGCTATGCGTGACAAAGTCCAGGATGAACTAAAAAGAATGGAGAAGCTGGGCGTGATCGTGAAAGAAGAGCAGCCTACCCAGTGGGTCAATAGCATGGTGGTGGTCCATAAGAAAGGAACTGACAAGGTACGCATATGCTTAGACCCCAAAGATTTGAATGACGCACTACGCAGAGAACACTATCCAATGAAAACAGTCGAAGAAGTTGCTGCAAGAATGCCAAATGCAAAAGTCTTCAGCACACTTGATGCCAATTGCGGCTATTGGCAAATTCAACTGGATGAAGAGAGTTCCAAGCTATGCACCTTCAATACACCGTATGGTCGTTACCGTTACCTACGCATGCCCTTTGGCATCAATACAGCCCCAGAGATTTTTCAGCGAGCAATGAATCAGATCTTTGAAGGCTTTGAAGGTGTGGAGGTCATCATGGATGACATTCTAGTATGGGGTGAAAACGAGAAACAGCATGATGAACGACTGGAACGCGTACTGCAGCTTGTTGCGAAGAGAAACATGAAGCTCAATCCTCGCAAATGTTGCTTCAAAGTCGCGAATGTCTCATACATTGGCCATACGCTCACCCCAGAAGGGCTGAAACCAGACAAGCAGAAAATACGAGCAATCACGAGCCTGCAAGAGCCATCCAACAAAACTGAACTGCAGCAATTCCTGGGTATGATTAATTACCTTGGAAAGTTTGTACCCAACATGGCTGGCATCACAGCTCCGCTCAGAAAGCTACTGGAGAAAGACATTGCATGGTATTGGACATCCGAGCAACAGTTCAGCTTTGATAAGCTGAAGAAGCTGGTCAGTGAAGCACCAGTTTTGCAGTATTATGATGTTGCTAAACCAGTGCTAGTCAACACAGATGCCTCCAAAGATGGTGTAGGGGCTGTCCTACTCCAGGATAACAAGCCAGTGGCATATGCATCAAAAGCCCTCTCCCCAGCTCAGCGTCACTATGCACAAATCGAAAAGGAGCTGTATGCCATTACTTTTGGATGTGAGCGATTCCATCAGTATTTGTTTGGCCGAAGCTTTGTCGTGGAGACTGATCATAAACCGCTCGAGGCGATCATGAAATAATCACTGGAACAAACGCCGCCTCGACTTCAACGCATGCTCCTCAAACTACAGAAATACCAGGTGGATGTGCGCTACCGAAAAGGAACTGAACTTGTAGTTGCACATGCACTCAGCCGCAATTTTCCACCATACATCCCCGACCCAAAGGACGACAACTGTGAAATCCCAGTATGCATGATAACTTGCCTACCAATGTCAGCTGAAAGGATATCAGAACTTCAGCGTGAAACCGCAAATGAGCCAGTTATGCAGCAGTTGGCAGCAACTATTCGTGAGGGTTGGCCTGACCTGAAGTCACAAGTATCAGCCAACCTTGCACCCTACTGGGACTTTCGCGAACAGCTCACACTTGAAGAGGATCTCATCTTCAAAAATGACAAAGTTATCATCCCAGCAAGCCTGACCAAACTCATGCTAACCAAAGTACATCAAAGTCACCAAGGAATCGAGAAAACAAAGCGGTTAGCACGAGATATCATGTTCTGGCCAAACATGTCTGCGCAGATAACTGACATGGTTAGTCGATGCCCGATATGCAGTGCTAACCAACACAAAAATCGCAAAGAGCCAATGATACCACACGAGCTTCCTCTCCGACCATGGCAGAAAGTTGGCTCTGATTTGTTCGAGATATGAACTGAATAGTACATGGTGTTGGTTGACTACTACTCTAACTTCATCGAGGTCAACAAACTTGCCAGCACCAAGTCTTCAGCAGTAATTACTTGCTGCAAGCAACAGTTCTCACGATATGGGATCCCTGATGAGCTCATTACCGATAATGGCCCCCAATTTACATCTGCAGAGTTCAGGCAGTTCACCAAGGACTATGGCATAAAACACACAACGTCATCACCGCTGTACCCCCAGTCCAATGGCAGAGCAGAAAAAGCAGTTCAGACAGCAAAAAATCTCATCAAAAAAGCAAAGGTGGATAAAGCTGATCCACATCTTGCACTTCTGGACTACAGAAACACACCACGTGATGGGCTCCCCTCTCCAGCACAATTATTCCTTGGTCGCAGAACACAAACCCAACTCCCTACCTCTGCAAAACTACTGGAACCGCACACGTTTACTGGAATACCACAACAGCTGCACAAGCACCAGATGAAGCAGAAATACTACTACGACCAGAGCTCCAAGCCACTCCCTCAGCTGAGTCCAGGAGACAAAGTTCACGTGCGGGAGGAGAAAACATGGAAACCAGTAGTAGTCTCCAGCAACGCGGATGCACCTCGGTCCTATATTGTCACCAAACCAAATGGACACACATATCGCAGAAACAGGAGAGATCTCAGCAAATCCTACCGCCATGACCAGCCGGACAACACAGCGAACTCTGGCCAACCTCTGAATTCCAACAATGACAATCAAGGGCAAATACAAACTGCCTCATCCCCCACAACCACTCGATATGGACGAACTATCAAATTGCCATCTTACTTGGAACACTTTGTTGCCTTAACCAAACAAAGCACTAATGCCAGTCACTTGTAAAATCAGAGTGCTTTCAAAACATATGCAAAAATTCAAGACAGAGATTGAATAATGTTTTGAAATTTGCTATAAAAAAAAAAAATTTAAAAAAAATTGTTTTTGTTTTTTGTTTTTGTTTTTTTCTTCTGGCAAATTGTTTTTGTTTCCAAGGCAATCTCATTTCAATTGCCATTCTTTGAAAGTCATATGCAAAGAATCTAAGCAAAGATTGATGGGTCAAAATATGTAAAAAAAAAAAAAAAAATGGTTTTTTTGCTTGTTTGTTCGTTGTTTTTTTCAAGAATTTTTTTTTTCCACAAAGCAATCTCATTTAAATTTCCATAATTGCTAAAAAAAAAAAAAAAGACAACAGATAACAGTTAAAAGAAATCTGTTCTAAAACAAACAAAAAGTAAACAGTTGGAACTTTAGTTAAAATGTTGAGGATTAAGAACTTGTTTTAAAGTTGTACTCTGAACCAGCTTTAGTTAATCTCCTTTATCAAGTGCATGTAGATAAGTATTTGGCTTAAAAGGGGAGATGTAATGAATGTGTGCATTCATGATGTAACTATGCCACTTATAATTATGCATAGCGCCCTCTATTGTCTAGAGCACATAGCCATGTGAGATTGTAGTCCATGTAGGCAGCCATCTTGTTCAGACTCAATACACTATTCTTAGCTAGCTGAAACATCTCAAGTGTGCTTCTTATTCAATCCGATACATCCGATCATTACAATATGTAATAAAGTTGTCCTGATGTATTCCTATATTCTTGCCTGACAACTCTTCATTATTTCTTACAGGGTCACCAACTTGATAACCTAATGTTACTCCCATAAGTGCCATTCCTGGTAATTATGCGTGTCTAACATTTGGAGGCACGAGAGGGGTGGGTGTTTCCTTTACCATCGTCAACCTGATGTAAAGGATGCCAGCGCTCATTCAGTGGTACGACCCCTGACCATGTCAACGGACAGATGAACCCAATCTAGTAGAGTTGGTAACCGGCAGTAGACAGCAGTGTGGGACGCACCATTGAAGCCTCAGTGAGTGGAGAAAGCTCAAGTCTCACGTCACTGAGGGACATATTGACTGAGCCAGAGAGTTGCCACATCAGCAAAGGACAGGAAGTTGGCCTCATTGTTCTTCAAGCAATGACCCTGCCAACATGATTTTTATGGAATCAAGTTGTCCTGACTTATTTCTATATTGCTGCCTGACAACTCTTCATTATTTCTTACAGGGTCACCAACTTGATAACTGAACATGTAACTCCCGTAAGTGCCATTCCTGGTAATTACAGGGGTTTAACACAAGTACCTGAAATAAAGCAAGACAATGAAAGAGTGTGGTTTATTCCTCTCTCAACATCCAACTACTGCCTGGCCCAGACATGACCAACCATATGCATGGTGTTGTTCTTCGATGAGATAAGAAAATGTGGCCATCATGGCAGACATCAAAGCCATGTTTTACCAGGCAAGGGTGACAGCAGGGGACTGCGATATGCTACGCTACTTGTGGGGGCCAGAATGCCACCTGCAGAGGGAACCAGAGGTGTATCGGATGTTGGTGCATCTGTTTGGTGCATGAAGTATCGTCACCAAGCTGTGCGAACTATGCCCTCAAGAAAACAACATATGACAATGAGAATAAACACAGAAAGGAAGTCACAGAGGCCATTGAGAATGACTTCTAAGTAGATGACTTTTTTACAGATAGTGTCAACTAAAGATGAAGGTATCAGCCTTGCACATAACATGAACGGAGCAACAGCAGGAGGCTTTAAACTCGCAAAATGGATCAGCAACAGCAGAAAGCTGCTTGCAATGATACCCAAAGAAAATCTAGCCAAAGAAGTGCAAAAAACTTGACTACCTGTGGAACCAGCTTTGGATGTACTGTGGTGCATTGAAACTGACCGCCTGCAATTTAATCAGGAACAGGTGAATCAGAAGCCCACCCAAAGAAACATCTAGTAAGTGATGAGCTCCATATCTGATCCATTCGGAGCTACTTCTCCCTACGTCTCAAGGGTGAAGATGATTCTGCAGTCATTGTGCCGAGAAAAGAGGGTGCAACGATCCCATTCCGGCAAAGGAACAAGAAGAATGGGAAGGCTGGCTGAAAGGCTTGCCTAACATGAACAAGGTGCAGCTGAACCAATGCTTCAAACCGCTCAACTTTTGAAAAGTTGTAAATGTGCAAATGCATCTGCCACATCTACTGGCCAAATAAGATTTCAAACAGAGATCTCTATAGAAAGACTGATTGTCAGAGCGTTGTGCAAGAGAGATCAAATGCCGACGTATCAGATGGCTAGGCCATATGCTTAGGATTGATCAGGTTTACATAGTTTACACTAGTTTACATCACGAGTCACATGTATCTCATTTGCTGAACCCTTTAGTAGAACTCTGACAATCAGTCCGCTACACTTCTTTTTAATTTGCATAAATTCTGACAATCTGTAGGGCGGAGCCTACATTAATTTGATTTGAGCTTGACGACAACTTCAATTTTGATCCAAAGGTAGAAGGTCGACACCAGCAATGGCTAGCAAAGAAGAGGAAACAGTGCCAGATGCAGATATTGGGGACCAGATAGCCGATACCATTGACTACATAGACTCGGTTAGTCAAGCAGGAAGACATAGTTCCAGACCAGGAAGTGTTGCATCAAACGTGTCAGCGGCGTCGAGTTCGAGACTTCGAGCAGCTGTTGAGAAGGCTGCATTACTGGCAGAAGCACAAGCAGAGAAAAGGAGGCAGGCCCTCGAAGATGAAGAGCTGAAGCTACAACAAAGATGCCGACAAATGGAGTTGGAGACACAAATCGCCGGAGTAGAAGCCATGGAAAAGACCTATGCTGAGAAAATGGAAGCACAGCCAATGCACAATGATGCATGCCAAGTACTCAACACCGTACAGCCAGCCAATCACCGGTCATCCCACAACACCTGGTCAAGGCACCAATACTGAGAAAAAGGGGACATTCGTCCAACATTGAACATGCCACCGTCCTTAATGGAAAGTACCCATGTAGGGGACATCTTGACACAGATGCTGAATAATAGAAAGCTTCAGCAACAGTCACTTGTTACAACAGTCACATGTCATGACAAGGCCAAAGCTCCACATTGACACCAAGAACCTTGTCACCCAAGACGAAATGAACCGTGGCCACACCTGTCTGGCATCATTTTGTCGGACACTGACATTGGGAAGTCAACCTTCTCATCAGCCAAGACAACCCTACTGCTCTCATACCAAAGGAAGTTCGTGAGGGCGGTGAAGGAGCACCCTATGCTACCAGGACTATTCTGGGCTGGACTCTGAATGGACCATTCGCAGCAGGGCCCTTAAACCACTCAATATCTCTCTTTATTGACGCCGACGCCGAACTGCAGTGACAAGTAGAGAAGTTTTGGAAGCTAGATGACACTGGCAGTGTGTCGAGCATGTCAATCAGCGACAAGAAGGTAGTCACTATTTGAAAGGAGTCACTATCCCAAGATAGAGGGCACTTCAGTATGGACATTCCCTTTAATGAAAGCCCACCATACCTACCTGACAACAAAGTTATTGCAGAACACCGGCTGCGTCTGCTCGGTGGACGACTGATTTGTGATGCTGATATGAAGAAGTACTCTGCAGGTGTTGCTGATTTGATTGCCAAGGGCTATGCAGAGGAAGTGCCTAAGGAACAACTAGACCGAGCAGATGGAGCCGTGTGGTACCTACCACATCATCCAGTGGTTCATCCCCGGAAACCAGGAAAGATTCACATAGTCTTTAACTGTGATTCCAAACACCAAGGTGAATCTTGGTTCTTGGGTTAGTTCTTCTCCTAAATACTCCACGTGGGAGTTTATACAGGAGGCCAGAAACACCGGGGCAAACGCCTTCTCTTAGCATACAATCCAAGCTTGAAAAAAAACCAAAAAAAAAAAACAAACAAAAACCGCGTCGCCGCATCAATTCCGGAACTTTGGTCTGACCAGAGACCGACTATTTTTTTTTTTGGCCTAAGCTCAATTTTTTAAGTCAGCAACGACAACTGACTGCCAACATTGGGACAGGTTGCTTGGTCAATAGACCTGATACCAGTGTACGCTGATGCACTATCCAGCACACCCAGGTTCCAATTCATCATTTTTCTTTGTTCACACTCAAAAACTTGTTTCGCTAAGTAAACTTTCCCTTGTTTTCATCTTTGAAAAAACAAACAAAAGCATTTCCCCCAAAAAAACTTTCCTGTGTCCACAAAGCACTTATAAAGATTATAAAAAAAAACTTCTCTCACTCCATTATATGGATCATAAAATAACAGTTTCTGGGCATTAGTAACTTTTAGGACCCCTATATTTTTTTGCCATTGCCATTTTTACAGAAGTTGTGCGTGCGTCAGTTGTAAACCAAATGGTTCTCGGATTTTAAATCCCTTGAAAAAAAAAAAATCTTCAGAGCCATAAATCAGAAAGAAAAATTAAATATGGCCTCCACCAGCTGTTACCAAGTTCTAAACATAGAGGGGTCCTAAAAGTAACTGCTCCAATATTTTGGTACTGTCACCTGTATTATGACATCTATTTCTGAGCGTATTACATGTAATTAGTTCCTGAGTTGTTGGTTCATACTTCCATTGGAATGTCACTATCCTTGACCTCGTACTTCAACTTGGGTTTTTCCGTCCTTGTATGCCACACATAAATCTGTGGACAAACAAGAAATGTACACTGTAAAATTGGATAAAATGCATAAAACGCCTAGTGCACATTTAAACCAAGATTTTGCAGAATCCAACATTTCTGCAGAATCACCAAGATTTCGCAGGGCCAAAAAATCTATGTTTTAGTATCCTTGATTTTTGGTTTTTACAGAAATGCAATAAAACTCGGTGCAATAGATAGATGATGCTTCAGTGAGGGACGCAACTTGCTTGCGCGTACTGGTTCATACGCAAAGTACGCACAGTTGATTTTATTCTAAAAGTGCACAGAACAGTGGTATCTTCACGTGATCAGCACCACGTGCTGCCGTAAATGCACTTGAATGTGCCTCGAAGAGGTCTCCTCCAACTCTGTCTTTGTAAATTGAGGGGGCATGTGCACAGAGTCCATTAACCAATGATCTTCTGTGAATGTCAGGACCGGTTTTGGCATCAATATATTTTGTCAAACTTTTCACACTTTGAACAGTCAGAATTCTTGATAGTCTTTCCACTATGATCAATGGGTTTAATATTTGACCAAAAATATAAAGGCGTAACAGTGACTATAAATATTGTTTAGAGTTTTGCAAGAGTTGTGGTGCGAATTTATGGTATAAAAATATTGAATGCTTCGAGTGGTGTAGTAAACTAGCCTCCCGAGGTGATCCATGGACATTCTATTTTCCCGAGGCGAAGCCGAGGGAAAATAGAATGGTCCATGGATCACCGAGGGAGGCTAGTTTTACTTCACCACGAGATAAAGCATTCAATATTTGTTTTATAACACTTCACCCACAGATTCTGCTTGGTTTTAATATTTTAAATGATTTAAATCTGAACACAATTAAAATAAAGTCAATTTCAATACAAAATTGGTGGGAAATGTATTTCTCTCTTCCAAACCACCCCTTCACAAAATGTTTGAACCAACTCTGTGGTGCGTTCTCTTGGGAACAATACGCGCTACGTGGAACGCTCAAACCAGCATGCATTTGCACACTAATACCGCGCCATGGCATAGTACTTTGGTTGCTACTGGTAAAGTACTTTTGGCCGTGCATGGAAAGATAGCAAAAATAGAAAGTACCGTGTGACTTGCTCTCGGCCAATCAAGGCACAGAATATGTGGGTGAGGTGTTATAATTGATACTGTTTAACTGATATTACAGACTACAATCCAATGTAACAGACGTGTAATTGATCAAGTCACAAATCCAATTACAAGTCAGGTTACGAGGAACAGGGGAAGACTGACAAATCACAGTCCTTATTACAGTCAACTTGAATAACTTGCGACGTGAGACTGGATGGCTTATGATAGGCTTATGATGATGTGTGACCGACTCAATTACAACTCTACAGGGTGAGTAAAAAAACACGAAACACAAATGGCAGGACCAATTTTTGAATGAAGTTTTGCCTGTAGCACTTTCTTTTAGTACAAGAATCATTCAAATCATTCATGTACTTTTCAGGTTATGGAATTTTGAACACAAACACCGTTTTAAAGTTCTGTCCACTGATCACAAAACAGGTGAGTGTTCTTTCAGCAAAACGAAAACAATTCACATTGCTGAAAGAACGCTTACTTTTGTTGTGATCCTTCGATAGAACTTTAAAACAGTGTTTGTGTTCAAAATTCCGTAACTTGAAAAGTACATGAGTGATTTGAATGATTCTTGTACTAAAAGAAAGCTTAAAGGGAATATACAACATTGGCAAACATCGGAAAAACTACAAATTTTTACGAAATACCTTACTAGGATGTTGGTAAATGAAAGTCTAAAGCATCCTGTAAAATTATGGAACCTGGTGTGAAGTCATGTTCAAGAAAAGTGGTATTGTAAACCGTACTATTTTTCAACTACTGCTCCAAATTTACCATTTTTTTCAGTCCAAATTTTGTTTGCTATTGGTTACATGTTCATGAACAGGTGCAGGCCAGCTAGATTGGTTTCCTTACCTTACAATTTCCCAGCATCTATAAATTGATTCATTTCATTTTAGTGGAGTCAGAGAACCAGACTACTTGAATATTTTTTGTTTTCCTTGGTTTTTCCAGCATTTTCGAACACAAACCTTCAAACTTGTCAGTGTAACAATATTTGATCTATTATACTAACCGCTCACATAGTTCATTTCTGAAATTTACAGCAAAAGCCAATGATGTACATTCCCTTTAATGACTGTGCTTTCATATCCTAGATTTTGAAAGTGCTACAGGCAAAACTCCATCCAAAAATTGCTCCTGCCATTTGGGTTTCGTTTGTTTTTTACTCGCCTGGTACTTAAACTAGAACTGAATACTTACTTGTGTACACATATTGGCTTTGGGTTCCAAGTCTTCCATCTTGACCAAGTTGACCAGCAGGGATGACTCTAGGTAGCCTCGCTTGGCCTTGGGTGAAAACTTTGCATAGGACTTCTCCTGGAGTAGTTTGAGATTGATGGCGAAACCGGCCATGTCCATTGGGAAAGGCCTCTGGGGCTGCCAGCCCACATTCCAGCCGATAACCTTACCGTTGCGGTCCACACGAGGGCTCTCATACATCTGACCTCCTACCAGGCCGACGGGCCACATGGAAACTTTCTCCGTGTATCTCATCTGTGGACAGAGTATTGAATGAAAACGGTTTGTCGGTGAATTTGCATGGAAAGACATAACTTTTAAAGGCATATAGGATCATCTGCATTAGGCTTGGGTGATTCCATGCCAACATCGATTAGAATCGATTCCAAACTCGGAATTGGAATTGCAATTCAACTTTTTTTGAGGAATCAATTCTCTAATGAAGCTGATTCAAGTCACTCCCAGAGTCTGTTATCCCAAATTAGTCTCTGAGAAAATCAGGGGCTACAATGTAACTGCTATACTATACCTCCTCAAATATTCGTAGATCATATGTATTGTCATCATCAGCAAAATAAACAACTCCGGGATTTTTATTGGCGTCCACATTTTCCAACAACCAATCAATGGCCGTGTTTCTCTGCTCCACGCCCCTCGGTTTCAACCAGTTGGGGTCGTTCTCCCCCATCCGGTGGGGCTCTGGCGTCCGGCAATTTAAATGGGTGTACTTCATGCCGCTCTTTTTCAGGAACACCGTGACCAGGCTGGTCTTTGTGTTGGAGTCTTCTACCACGATCCAGTGGAAATTTCGGACGTGGAGGAACGTTTGAGAAATTCTGGTCAATTCCGCTTTCTGCACCGGCCTCGTGTGAGTCGGCGTGATCGCGTAGATCGTGGGTAGACTCGCGTTCAGGACGTTCAAGTGGTCCATGATACTGTCCCTAGCTTGGGGATACTGTTGGCGTAGATTCACGACCACATTTTGGAGTATTTTCCTCTCTTCCTTCAGCCTCTTCTCAATCTTCACGAGTTCCATCTGTTTCGCTTTGTAGTCCTCGTTGATGACATGCATGAGGTATGGGTGTTTATGACTGGCATGTTTTGCCGACTCTGCACAAAATGAATCTGAAACAAAGAAAGCAACGTTTTTAGTCACACCACCAGATCAACTTGTGGGTACACACTTAAGCTAGTTCATACATGTATTTTTTTTTCAATCAGAGAATGACTTGGAGATTCAAGCACCAAACACCACTGCATATAGGGAGTCAGGATGAGTTTTGACGCAGTAGAGCTTTCCTCGCCTTCCACCTCTACGGCCCGGGTTCGATTCCTCCCCTGGTCCACATGTGGATTCCGTGGGTTTTCCCGTGGTTTTCCCCAAAACAATCTTCTGGGGTTTTCCTCCTTATCTAAAACTGTAATTGCTTCATTGCTTTGTCTTAATTTGGATAAATACTGAACTAAAGGACAAATTAAGTTTGACTGTTTCACCTCCCCATAGGTTTGTGCATAAACTGCCTGTTTGGCCCCCACCCATACCAAATATGGGAGCAACTATAGAATGCAGGGCCACGCCGGAGCAAGGTTTTTTATTTTGCTTGGAGGCGTGGATGGATAGGAGGCAAACCTGCAAAAAGTGCTAAGTACAGCGAATGTACTTGTCTTCTAAGCTTCTCATGAAGGATTGGAAGGGAGGGCGTGCTTGTAAATGTGTTGGGGGCACAGTACGGATCGGAGTCGCGGAGTGGCGGAGGCGCGGAGTGGTGGAGTCGCAGAGTCGCGGAGACGCGGGGCACTGGAGTGGCGGAGGCGCGGAGTCGCGGAGACTCGCGCCGATAGAGGGCGCAATTCTCGGCGGAATTTTTTTGAGAACGAAGCATCCGTATCCATTTTAAATGGGCTCGCAAATTAGGAAGGGAGGAGGGCGACGGCCGGGGCACTGTCTGGAGTGGCGGAGGCGCGGAGTGGTGGAGTCGCAGAGTCGCGGGGCACTGGAGTGGCGGAGGCGCGGAGTCGCAGAGACACGCACTGATAGAGGGCGCAATTCTCGGAGATATTGACTGCGGCCGCGCTCCATGACTCCACGATCGATTTTCGGAGGTACTAGTAGGTCGACTGCGGCTCCACGGCTCCACGCAGCCGTACGGAGGCGCGGATGTAGAGTAAAGTGGCCCTGCATTCTATAGTTGTACCCAAATATGCACTGTGTTGCATTTTGTTTAACATGTTTAATTAATGACACATGAATGACCACCTGTTTTAACACTAGTTTTGTTTTTTACTCACCATAATTCACGATAAGCCACAGTATCCCTCCCGTTGAAAAGATGAAGTACAAAAAGACAAAAGTCCGTGGACGCCAAATGCCCCTCATTTCATCAGCAAGAGTGACGAGGAAACAACTTAAAACACTTAGAATTCGGAGTTCATTTTTGGCATTTGCGTGCACCTGTCCGACTGTCGCCGATAGCTGAATAAACACATTTCGCCTCAAGTCAGATCCCTTTAAATATTTCGATACAGAAATGTCGCGTGACGTCTGGGAGCCGTGCAACGGTCGGCATATCGATCAATCGATCGATAACACACGTGTGTACTTTGTATGGAACGCCGCGCCGGTTGTTACATTGAGTGGATTAAATTATTTTACATGAGTCCTTTGAAGTTTTTGCAATGGTCAGGGTTGGGACGCATGGGCCTGGGTTGGGTAATACAATGCAAATTATTATAACCAGTACAAAAAATTAAAAAGAGAGTAATGTAATAAGAAATTTTTTGAGGGGAAGACAAGTGAAAATCTCTGTGTTTATTGAGTCCAATTACATCGGAACAAAAGGTCAGATTTGCAGAAAACAAAGGTCATACTTTCGGCTTCCACAGCAAAGCAGAACAAAGGGGATCTTCCCCCTTTTTTCTTCTTTTTTTAATGTGTAAATCCAATGTTTTCTCCCAAGAAATTAATTCAGTTAGCAAACATGAAATCTTTATTATATGAAAGTTGCGCTTTCCCTGCTATAATATGAGATTCACCGCACTGAATAAACAAATAAGTAAAAATAACAATTGTCAGTTTCAAATTATATGCGACCCGACAATTATTTGTTCGTTAGAGGCACAACAGCAACTAAAACAAACGCCTTTTTCAGGAGTTTCATACCCTGAAAATAGTCAAAAATTAATTTTTGTTGGTTAAATATAATTAAACCGGTGTGCAACCTTATTTTGAAAAATGTCATTGGGCTAACAATTAAGTTCGGGAGCAATAGAGGGGAGTGTAATGTAGCTAATCGGATGATGTTCGAATTCTTGGTCTTGGTTGAGGGGGGGGGTCGCCATTTTCCGAATCCTCCGGAAATGTCAAAAGAATTCTTTAGAGTACCTTTCCGTATAAATTTTAAAAAGAAGAAGTATGGAATAAAACAAAGACAGGGGTCTATAGGGCCTAACGTCGGCCTAACAGTGCTCACCGATACTTGAGCCATACTTTCGGACGTTCTGTCCTTCGATCGAGGATGGGGTATCTTTTATTCCATACATTTTATGGGTACTATCATCCTTTCTTTCTGTTTTCTTGTTGGATTCTGAATTAAAAAGAAGATATGGCCCCTGCCTTCGGCATAGCTCTATCGTGTCAGTCGTGTCAAAATATTTATATAATAACCTAAAGTAACAAAACAAAATTGACAATTGATACTCGCTAAATTTTCAATGCCCAATCTGAAATGGCAATCCCCCCCCCCTCCACTTCAACCCATGCATGCCCAGTATTTTCATGGTAAACTTTGTTATCAAATATGTTCACGGCTTAGGCGAGGTTGCCCGCTCATAAATAAGATCAGTAATCTATGAGGTTGAAGTCATCATAAATCTTGCACTTTTCCGCACATGCCTATATTTACAAAGGAAGATTAAAAACATTGAAAAACTTTGATCCCACTCGAATGAACAGGGTCGTACGCTTATCGTTCAGCTGTTATCTCTTCAACCGCAGAGACCGATACAATAGACGACCATTCCGACAATTTATCAATAAATCCTTATTTGCATAAGAAGTGGCTTTTATTAGCACAGAGAGATCGACACGGTCCGTGGGTTTTGGTAACCATAGCGAAGTCGGGACGCTGTTGAATGAACGAGCCGAAACATATACACTTCACATGGGGTATGGCCTATGCCCCCTAAACTAATCCAAAGGGCAGTGTTTTGGTGAACTACAGGGCTTCGAAGCCCATAAATTTCCGCATAAAATGGTTTCCGGGGCGACGTCGGAAAAGACGGCTAAAACCGGCCGAGTTCAACCGGCAAAGAGCCACATGAAAGCATCGAGGGATCGCACGAGTGTTATGGAGAGAGCAACGCCGTTTAAGGTAAAATAGGCGCGGGATTTTGGAGGAAACCATTTTGGTATACATCGAAGTGACACCAAATTATATTCCTACCATTTTCGCACTATAGTGCGGCATGTTAAACCTTAGGAACATCAGGAAACATGGCAGTACCTATCACTGCACACATTAATAATGGATTTAGATAAAGATGGACATAAAACCAGTAGTACATGTACATGTATAATAGGCCTGATCCTATTCCTAACCTTAATTTGTCTGGATGTGCGACATTAAATTTACGACTTAGTAAATGACATGGGCCCAACAGCTTTATTAAACAGAATACCATGAAAGAGCAACTTTTTATGAAAGAACAAGCTGTAGGCCTATATATTAAATGTTTTGACTTTTGTGTGAGGAGCATAATTTCCTTTAAAATAGGGATAATCTCGATGAGTTAGTCAGTTTATAGGCTGAAAAATAATTGTATGTTTAGGTCTACGGTTACCCGATCTACCTGCGGCCAAATTTCCGACCTCAAACTTTTTATTACCATATTTGACCAACAATTTAAAATAAAAACTGTCTTCCCTATATATGCGAGTATTTTTGGTGTCAATTAAACAATTAAACAGCATAATTAAACAGAATACCATTAATTTTAAAGTTACCCAAAAGTAAACAAAGTAAGACAGACTGACAGACAAACATAAAAAAGTTACAATATACAAAGAACCCCCCTTGGTTATTTCTAGGGCGTTATCGTAAACACATTTTTTTTTTCGGCTTGAACATTTTCCTCCTTTCTATATTAATAACATAATTAATTAACACGTCTGCAGTAAGGTTCTTTCTCAGAAAAAAAACCATCTCGTTTAACACCTAGTGGCAACCAATATGATTGTTTTAAACACCCGGTATTTCCATGGCAAACAATAGGCTCGCTAAACCAGTACTTCTGAAGAAACCACCAACATTCTGTTATTTCGGTTGTGTACGATGTGAACCTAGCAACCAGTTGTGTAAAAAAAAATTAAACAAGTTGTGTAGTATTTTACACAAGTTGTGTAAGCAACAGTTTACACAACGGGTTGTTCATATAGTACACAACCGTTTGATTTTTACACAACCGAAATGGAAGTTGAATTGGCCTAATAAAAATTCACCATTGTCGCAAAAGTGGGATATCTGACAGCATCTATTCACTTGAGCATCCAAGTTTGCAAAAAAGGTGTAGGAAAATAAGTTTTCTCCTTTCGTATTTGTGAAAATAAGAGTGATCTATATACATGTATATATATAACAAAAAATTATTTCTTATTTCAGGGACGCACGAGTCTACGAGAAAATTATGAGAAGAGTGTATCCGGTCGCGACCAGTGGTGGCGGGTCCACATTCGGGTACGTTGTGATCATATTATAAATTTGCTTTTTTTTTAACTAGTGTTAATCAGTTAATTATTAAAAAAAACTGCATATAGTGTGACTTTTTGTCCTTTCTTTCCCTGATAATGTTAATGCACTTAATTAAAACGAACGTTTGTTTTTCGATGAGGAATACTTATGTTTTCGGGGGTACCAACATTTGACTTTGCAAATGCCCCGTTAAAAGAATAATGGGCGAACCCGATACACTATACGAACACCTAGTTTGACTAAAACAGTCAAACTTACACCCAGATGACTATATACAGCTATAGGGTCAGCTGGATGCAATTGTTTTCTAGTCAAATTTTGTAGAGTGTTTTCAGAGAGTACCAGCATATGTCCTGTCAAGCGAATTGAAGTTTAAAGGGAAAATACAACATCTGCAAATATCAAAAAATAAAACTACCAAATCATTTTGAAATACCTTGCTGGACTGTTAGTGAATGACAGTGTAAAGCATCCTGTAAAATCATGGCACCTGGTATACAGTCATTTGGAAAAAAACTGTTTTTTTTCAAATACTGGCCCCAATTGACCATCGCACTTGTTTGCAATCGATTACACACCTATGAACGGGTACAAGCCAGCTAGACTGGTTCCCTGACCTTACAATTCCCCAATGTATGTAAACTGCCCTGTTTCTTCTTATATGGAGTCAGGGAACCAGACTACAGGAAAATGATTGTTTTTCTTGGTTTTTATAGCATTTTCGAACCCAAAACCTCCAAAAAGTCAGTGTAACTACATTTGCTATATATTTCCAACCGCCCAATTCCATCCATTTCTGAAAATTACAGCAAAAGCAAATGATGTATATTCCCTTTAACTTCCATATACCCCGAAAATATGATGCTTTAGCATTTCCCCCTAAAAAAATATTGGGTCTCCTTTTCTGAAATTTGTGATTCAACCCCCCGCGAGGAACTTGTTCGAATGCATGACATTTTATGTGTCAAAGCAGGAAATGTACTGCCTGGATATGCCGGCGAAAGATGGCTACCAGTTCGGAACACTCAATAAAGTAGTGCAGGTTTATTCGTGAAGAAACGTCGGCAAAATAATGTGTAGGACTCACCAGAAATAATCAGGTCGGTCACCTTTGAGGTCTGACACCGAAGTATGAAAAATGTTGCTGACATTTGCAGGTGCAAAATGCTACCAAAGTTTCAAGCGCCTTAACACTGGTATAGTTTGGGTTTTTTTGAGGGGTGCTTATATAGGCCTAAACATGCTTCGAATGTTAGAACACTTTCTTTTTTTTCACAGGATAGTGTCTTAAATTTTCAAAATGTGATTATCCCCTTTTTTTGTAGGAAACACCGGTTCCAGGCGCCTACGATAGCCGCAACTTCCTAGCGGACATAGAGGAGCGGCCGGCCACCTACACCTTCAAAGGCGAAGGTCGTAAGAAAGATGCTGACAGGCAACGTAAAGGCGCCGTTCTGTTACCCGGCGCTTACGAGGCGAAGGACTTGGGCTATGACCTGGAGCAGACGCGATACACGTACTCGATGAAGAACACGTCACGGGCTGAGAATGAACTCCCCGGGGTTAAAGACAAGGTCAGTGAAGAAACACATGGAAAGTATAAATATTCACTATATAATTTTTTTCAACCCATCGCCTCGGTAAAAACTTGCAGTGCGAGCACGGCTTCTTGAGTTAGAGAAAGTAGCGGGAAGACTGTAACATGAGGTAACTTTATCTAATCTTCAAAGGAGAAGAACAATGTATTTAAGAGTGTAAAAGGCTTTGAGTTGTACGGAATAGTCATGTTTTCCTCTTGCGATCGGCGTGGCGTAAATCACTTTGCTGTCCACTGCATGCAGGCAACGTCCCTGTCTCTAAGTGAATTGTTTTAACTTAGCGTGCTATGTATGCTGCAGATTTATGGTGATTACTTGGGAGTTGGAAAATCGTTGTTACTTTTACACTAACTTAAGTGAATTTTCTCGTTTTGTTTTCATTCTCGTCAGGGATGCAACGTTTGCCCAACGCAATACCCGATGGAAAACTACCTGTCTTGTTCCTGTGAAAAACAACCATCGAAGTGAGTACCGTGACGCTCCTGGTATATACGGATCCTTAAATCATCTTTTTCCCGAGTGTTCGGGCGACGTTATAGCCGTAGTTATATAAGTGCATAGAGACCAGGTTTGGAAGTTTCCGCGCGGGATCAAGTCAGATCCAGCGCATGAAAAAAAATCTGGGCAAGATGAAAAAACAACTACTCAGTATCCCAAACAAAGAAAAACACACAAACATACAACTCAGTTTCAAGCACCTAAAGACCTGCTGCCCCCTACGCACGAATTACGAAATTGTCTGTGTTCAGAAACACTAAACGTCCAAGATGAACTTGTCGCAAAGGTCCAAAGCACGTTGTCTTTAAAGTCTGATAAACGTGTATAGCTGTTGATCCATTGAGTTTGAAATACTATTTAATCAATTCACGGTCTTGGTCAAGCTAACATTGCGAAATGCCGTGTAATACCAGGTTATACATCGTGAACTCTTAGCGCTATCCTAATCGACTATTTACTTGTCTCCATTTACTACAGGCATCCAATGTTTAAATCAGCGTCACAAAGATTTCCCACGATATATTTCCAAGGGGTGAGTATACAAGACCAATAACGAATATCAAACTTAAAGGGTTTTTTTTGTACTGATAAAAAAACCCATTCAAATTTGAATATTGTTGTCAGAACATCCTTAGTCCCAGCGGGTCTCATTCCCTCTTTTCTAATTACTTCAAGAATTGTGTGCACGAAAAACGTGGATGATAAGTCTACTTCATCTTTCCTATACAGACGAAGAACCCCCCACCGGACCGGTACCAATCGTACACACCGGAAACAATGCACGTCATTTCATCCAGCTTCAAATCCAGAACACCGCGGTTTGCAACGTCACATACCGTAAGTTTGAATGACTGAAATGTTCCTATGTCTGACTGAGTTTTCCAACAACTCTGCTGACAGCTAAGTTTTGGCTCACGATTTCCCATTGTTGCAAAGTTTTGGCGCCAAACGCGAGCGGGATCAAGCGGTATCAATGGGAAATTAGCGGTAGAATCTTCTCTCTTTTTTTTAATAAAATAATGTTCAAACCGAATTAAAGTAAATGGAGTTTGATACCAGTTATTAATTTATATGTGCATGTACATAGCGACTGGGACAAAAGTGTTGAAAATGTTCATGTACATACATGTAGACCTTAATATTGATCGTTTGCTTGATCCTTTGATATTACAGAAAGTTCCAGGTCCGGGTTCATACGATAAGACGTTCCAGTCACCCATGCCAGCCACGATTTCCAGGATGGGAAGAAACCACGGCTTGTTCTTCACCAGTGCATTTAACTTGTGAAACCTCTTCAAGAACTGCACCACCAAGTGTTCATCTGGTATGCTTACTCGTCTTGAGATGAGCCTACTCATAGTAATGGAGCGTTCTTGGCCTGATTCAGCCATTAGCTCCGCCCACCTTTACATTTCTCACAGTACTTATGGCCAACTTTCACTGTCACCTGACTCAAAACCGTACTCTAATTGGTCAATACATTTGATTGACAGGCTGGAAGGGTCCATTTGGATGTCCATGTTATACACCACCGTAAGGACTTTTCCAAGATGATTGCACCGATTTCTAAAATGTTATGGTACATGGGAAATTTTCACTTAGAAAACAACTACTTTAAAAGGCATATATAAAGGATCATTTGCTTTTCATGCCCTTTGTTCGTTCCCAATAATACCACCACTCAAAATCCAAAGGAGAATGTTCAAGACCTAACATGTGGAAGTTTTAGCTTATTGGATATTACACTTTTCGGAAAAACAGTGAAAAACCTTGAACAACCTTTAGATCACGAAACACGATTTTTTTTTCAATAGAAATCCTAATTAAACAAATCAGTCAATATTGACTGATCGTTGAAAATCACCTATACATGAATCTTGATTTCTTCTAAATGACACCAAGCCAGACGAAAAAAAAATACACGGGGTGTTTAGTGCCAGTACAATCTTGAATCTATTAGTAAGCTAATAATTCGGTTGGTCACCTTTGGGATGAATAAATTTGATCCTTTGTTCTTTAATGTGTAACTGTATTTAGGGGCTCCATAATGTTGACGACCAAATCACACTTAAAAAAAGTAGCTTTTTCAAATGACCTTTATTCTTTTACTCACGACTGCAAAGTTTCAAAATTGCCTTGGAAATTATTTCAGGTTACCAACTAAGACAATTACAGCAAACAAAGGACTATGCACCAACAATGGAAGCAGCTTAATAAAGTATGGAAGATCTAACAGAAAACATATGTATTGTAGTGAGAGATCTACAGGGTTTTATTGCGAGTTAAAAATGGTTAAAAAGTTTGTATCTGGCTACATCGCAATTTTCTTTGAGCAAAATGAGCATGAGTGTGCAAGTATTAAGCAAAGTGTGTGCAGACTGACCGAGGAGATTATTTTCAAAGTTTGATATTACGCTTGGTTTCTGATGTTAAACTGTACACAAAAATGTATGCAGCTTGAAATGTTTGCAATTTTTAAGGTGTTTTTAAATACAATTTTTTTTTCGTGAGGCTCTACATTGTGCGATTTTCAAGGTTTCTTTTAATGGATTTGTGTGTGTATTGTAAATATTTGGTATGGAACGTTTATTGCAATAAATTAATATTTGATTGGCATTTCAAATCCTGATAGGCCTACAGATGTTATATTTTCATGTGTCCATAGTTGCATTGATACTCTATTGTGCAATAACCTTTAAACCAGTGTTTTTATTGCTTGAAATATTTCTTCCCAAAGCATTTTTATTGGATCTAAAAGTTGTTGCTCATAAAAAGAAGAAATTTTAGTTTTAAAATACAATTCAACTTTCCCCCTCTATTCAACTAATTCTATACAATTCAACTATTTCTACCCCTCTGAACAGAAGTTCTAAACAGAATTTTACCCACAAAAGTGAGTTAATAACAGCACATGCACCAGGCAGTGTTTAACTTATCACAGGAGATGGAAACAAAAACAGATTACTTGTCCACATTTGGAAATACTTGCGGGGTGGGTGTGGGGGGGGGGGGGGGCTGAAGGAGTTGAAGCCCCACTCCTCGTTTTAGCCGACCAACCCCCCCTTCTACCCTTCCCTGACCTCGCAACCTGGCTGACAGACAGCCTCAGACGGTGTTAAGTAGTCATCCCTATTATATTAGGCCATCAGTCTAGGGGTTTGGTCAGTATCAAATCGGGGCATAAATGATTATAGTGCGCATGTGCAAGGTATACTGCCCCTAGAGTGGTAACAAGCATTTTGATGGCCATTTTGAAGAAAAATAGGGTGATAACACCCAAAAAGCTGCCACCGTTGCAATGCTATCACATATTTTCCAACTCTGGAGGTGTATACCTTGCCAAAACTAGCTACATTGTATAGCAATTATTCCCCTCATTTGATACCGGTGGCCAACATTTTGGACCGAGGCTGATGGCCTATATAGCACCCTATACCCCCCCCCCCCCCCCATCAGAAGAAAAGAAATCTTGCCCTGGCACCATGGTATTGTAAATTGGTGCTGTATGCTTAATGGGGAAAACAATCCGACATCACACACATACACACACTAGCATACACTACTTTAACTGTTCATCATCATAATTAGAGGGTATTCGATCAAACGCAGCCTGGCCTTTTCAGACTTCCTGTTTCTCTTGCCATCTTGGACAAACTATGTATGTCTTAAGCAGTGTAAGCACTGACAGAGTTCAGGGGCTGATCCAGGTTTGAATCAAGGGGGGGGGGGCGGAGTGTTTCAGCTGCCACGAGGGGGGTTTAACTTTAACTAGAGTTCACACTGTCTGCACATCTGCAACCCTCCCAGACCATTTACAGCTCATGGGGAGGATCCACCCGAATGCATCGGCGAGATGTCCTCGACCACTCCCGTCTGGTTTAGACTGTCTCTCTCCAACAGACACTGCAGCTCCTCAGAGGTCAAAGGCTGCTCAGGGAACATCCTCCTCTTCAGTTCACTGCTAGTCCTCACCTCTGACCCCTCAGTCTCCTCCATGGAGACCATAGTGGAGGAATCCTGGGACACGAAGCGGTTCAAGGCATCCTCCTTGGATCTACCCAGAGACAGGAGCATGTCCTTGGCGTTGATTTTCCTGCCAGTTTTTCCTTTTAGACGGTTGAGCTTTGCCTCTGCACGATGCACAAACAAAAAGAATGAGCATATCAATAACAATCAACCTAAAATATATCTTCTACCTAAAAGGATATCACCAGTCATGATTGGTTTGCTTATTGTTTGTCATTTATAATAGAGCATGCAAGTTGACCTAAAAAAAATCAGTGATTTTTACAAGAATACAGCACACCCGGGAACCGTGTATAGGATCTACAACGTGTCTAACATCCTTTTTTTTGGCATATATTTTGCGTACTGAATGGGCCCATCCGATCAAAGGCAATAAATGTGTATTTCGAAAGAAAAGAAAGCATTACAATTCACAACATACTGAAAATATTGCGAATTGAAGACTATTACAAATTGTTGACCTCAACTTCTATTCAAGGGCAATAAATGGGTACTTCAAAAGAAATGAAAGCATTTCAATACAATTTAAAACAAATTGAAAATATTGTGATTTGATGACTATTTAAAAAAAAATTAATTGTCGAGTTCAGTCGATCAGGCAGAGAACAACTGGGTAAATTTAAAAATAATGTCAATGACTAGAGTCAGTGTTTGGTACCAAGATGTTCACATAAAAAGTGAACATGGACTGGCGAGACTTACACGTTCTATGTAAGTGTTGTTCGAAGCTTCGCATGGGAATGCATGGTGAAATGGTTAGTAGGGAAGCAGGGTTGCAGGTAAACCATGGACAAATCTCTTTTGAGTGTTGGCTCTCAAGAGAGCCGGTGGTGAGAGTAAACTCTCAATGTTTCGGACAGTATACTCTGTTTGTCTTCAGGAGACTGTCCTGTCTTCGGGAGGCTGTCCTTTCTCCTGACGACGTCAAGACCTTACTCTCACCACAAACTCTCTTCAGAGCCAACACTCCCTCACAAAAGAGATTTTTCCACGGTGTACCCGCAAACCTACTTTCCTACGCTCTATTTAATTCTATCACTCTACATTGTTGCTTGGAACCTTCCTGAATCCTCCAAATTCTAACACTGTGCAGAAATCCAACAACTCATTAGTCTTAAACTTTCAAGGGGCAACAAGCTCCATGTATTAAAAGCATAAGTGACTGGGCTAAAGACCATTATCATGTTGCAGCCATTTGACTTTTTCCCATTCAAATCAATGTAACCAAAGTGAGGCTGGAAGGACAAATAGTCTGGTTCCTTTTTGCACAAAAAAATATCATTCAGTACTGTATACAGGGAACATGACTGAAATGGTGGCAGCATGATGAAGGTCTATACCTTCTTAAATCCTGCAAAATATTAACTCTCTTGTAGATTTTTAAAGATATGGGAGATTTATGGAAAAACGAATCTTAAGCCCTTGATACAAACATCCTGTTGATATCAACAATGAGAATATACAATTGCGAAGAGTGAAACATATACTTTTTTAAAGACATGTTCAACATTAAACATACCATCTACTTTTTGATGCCAGTGATTTGTTTTTCTAGACTGCTGACAGACCATCCCTAAATTATCCCATCACTTGATCCCTTGGTACTCTGGATGTCAGTTGAGAACTCTGACGAGGGTCTTATGTCGTAGTTCTCGTCAAGGTAATCTAGGACGGAAGCGGTGCTGGTTAGAACGTTGAAGACTCGCTTGTCTGCTCTCATGACCACCTTGTCCATCATGTATATGAGGTGATGGTGGAAACACTGAAACGGGGTACCGAGCGCCAGGGAGATATCCAACCACTGCTGGACGCAGTGGGCTGGCGTCGTGCTGTACCCGGCAAACATGGCTGGGTTCTCTAGCATCCCCCTTGCCGCCATAACACCATCCGCGTTGGTCTGGTCACAGACTCGCTGCACGTCCTCCAGACTCCTGATGTCTCCATTGGCAATCACGGGAACGCCCACACTCTCCTTGATCAGTTTGATTGCATCCTGATTGGCAGGCTCAGCTCGCTCACGAGAGGTCCGTCCGTGCACCGCTATCCAGGAAACTCCCACGCTTTCTGCCTTTTGGCAAAGATCAACGGTATCTCTCAGATTGGGGTGGATCCTGATTTTGATGGAAGTGGTGAAGTCCGACCTCCCCACCCTGGCCTTTGTCTGTCTCACCATGTCTCTGATCAGCTCGGGTTTCTTTATCAGATGAGCACCGTAGCCATCACACATCGCCCATTTCTGCGGACAACCACAGTTAAGGTCGACCCCATCCGCATGAGGAGCTATCAATTCAGCTGCATCGGCAAGATCCTTACCATTATTAGCTGCAAACTGTACAATGAGAGGTCTATCTCCTTTGTTCGTCGTAAATTCATTGTCCCTGGCTTTCACTGATCTAACAAAACTATTGGACATAATCATCGGTGTGAATGCAAGGTCGCAACCGTACCTCCGAACCAATGTTCGGAAAGCCAGTTTGGAGTATCTCACCATTGGTGCACAGATTTTCAAAGGTTTCTTCTGCTCAAACAGTTCTTGAACTGACTGATATTGGTGAGGCATATTGCTGTTCTGTCCCTTATCTGCCATCTTGTACAAGATTTCAGGACTGTCAGTTAGAGTATCAAATCAGCCATCATCTATGAAAATCCACTGCAGTCGGCACCAGAATATATAAAAAATAATAAATAAATAAATAATAAATAATAAATAAAACAAAATTTGCAGAAATGAAGGCACTAACAGAACTGTAAACTTGCATAAGCCACATGATGAAAAGCTGATGCTTATCCTAGTGACTTGATACCCTTCGAGTTGGTTTCATCATAGAGCAAGGGCAACATTTTGACCAAAAAAAATTAATGAATAATGGCGAAGGCTGATGGAGACTGAGTGAATTTACTGAATCAATTATAATATTCAGCAAATGATTGTTCATTCTGAAGTTACAGTTTATCAGGTCAAACAATAACAAAGCAAACATGACTGGAACTTTTAAAAAAATACTACATGTCTGTCATGTCTGTGAGTTAAATTAAAAGTAGGCCCTATAAAATTAACTAAATTCATACATTCTTTTGGGGAGTCATCCAAATTGACAACCTCAGTCTTGTCCGTCAAATTCATTTTTTCCCAACATAATATATCTGCAAATACTGAAATAGTGACAAATATTGAATTTTTTATTACTGAAAAATGGCAGCATTTTCCCCCCTTTCATCCAAAGCAATGGTAAAACGATTTTCATTTGCTTCCGCCGCGCTTGACCACGTGTGTAAAATTTGTTTCGAACTCTACTACTACACACGCTCACACGTGTACGGCGTCGTACGTAGGCCTATATACGTATACGGCATGTACGGCGACCGTCACTGACTTACAAGCTTATGGACTTAAAAGCATTAACTTCACCCACCCAAAGAGGCCAGATAAGTGTCTGGTTGTTCAGTTGCATTGTCTTTCAACGTCGCTTGCATTACACGTGGAGGGTTTCCATTCTGTGCAAGTGAAAATGGATTAAAGTCATCGTGAAATCGACACTCCGGCCGGATTTCTCACTTCGCTCGTGTCGTCCGCCATCTTTAAATCCACGATTATCCACTAGTCTTGAATCAAGCCACCATTGTATGCATGTAATAAATTTCAACGTATACGAACGCATTTTGAAAGCCGGCGAAGTCTCGATGCGTTTTGTACAGAGACTAGTGATCGATACATCGACACGAGATGTCGGTATTTCATTTCTATGGCGCGCCAGCGCGGCAAAACAATATTGTGCATGGCATGCCTGTATAAATGTACCTCTTCGCGGATGTTGAAATTAAATGTGCTGCCGAAGCAAAATTGTATTCGATGGTATTAACAAGTTTTTGCGATGCGCGGAAGTTGAAATAGTTCTTGATTATCTGAAAGGTTCATGTTTGGAAATGTCTGAATAGTCCTGAGACCTAATGACGTCACACTTTGTTTACATGTGCACTTTCATATGGGAGCCAGGTGTGGACGAAAGCCAATCGTCCCCACCTGGCTCTCATACTGAAAGCGCACATGTAAACAAAGTGTGACGTCATAAGGTGTAAGGCCTATATTGTCAGAGAACTTTTGGAAGGTTGGGACGTTTGGTAACGAATTTATAATTTTTGCATTTTCAAGACTTGTGACAAGCGGCGTATATACTTCTGGGGGGCACCTGGGGTGCACCGGTTTTTCAAGGGCACGGAAGGCAACTGACTTTTTTTTGTGCAATTCAAGACTTTAAATGGGGGAGGGGAGGGGGCACAGAACTGCACTGCCCCCCCCCCCCCCCCCCCCCCCCCCCGTACTCGCAAGGCGCCACTACTTGTGTGAATGTGAAAGTTAGAAAATTCTTACAGAATTTATGGTGCCTTAACTATTAAGGAGAGTTTATCAAAGAAACATGATACCTGTTTCACCCTGGTTACATAATTGCAATATAGTATTGCATGAAGGGATTTAGCAAGAAAAAGTTTGAAAAATGTCTAGAAATTTGGTACGTGCATTTTTTAAAATTAATATCCTAATAAAACAGTCACAATTACATGACAAAAGTGCACAGTGTGAATAAAATAAAAAGCAAAAAAGAAAATGCAAGATACTTACTGTTTGTTTTGAAACAGACATGCAATGTAAATCAAGACCATTTGAATAAAGCAATACTTATACGAAAAAGGACGGATTTATTAGAAACACATTTTTGATGAAATACATTTGTACAAATAAATTTGCTTCAACTGTCTTCAACCAATAATTATAAAATCATGGTATAATTGGAAAAAATAAAAAAAAAATTTTGTGGATTTACAAACAAATCAATGACTTAGCTGTTAACAACCATAGATAGTCTATACAAACCCAGCTAGTTATGATAATTTACACAAGTGTACAAGCAAATTACACATAAAATGTATTCAATTTTCCAAGTGCTACAGAACACTTTGCTTTGTGGTCCACCATTGTGTGTGAAGAAACAGAAAGACACAAAATATATAGAATGACTTTTATCATGTCTAAGCTAGACATGTCAACAGAGCTGTAACAGCATGATAATTTCTCAAGAAATCTCCCCCCCCCCAGCACAATAGACTGATCCATTAAGCTGAGCCCACTAGGCACACAGGGAAACATCTCTTCAATGCCACACTGCATGTTCCAGACTTTTGTGCACTCCTGTCGGACATTAAACACGGCTGTGATTGGTCAGAACACAATGGGGCGGGGCTTAATGGATTGGTCCATTCTTCACAGCAGGGGTATGGGGGGGGAATCTGGCACAAAAATGTAACACACCACCCATTGGATGCACCCACTGCCCCACCATCTCAATACAAAAATGTTATTGTTTCCCCACATTTTTTTTTTACAACCAGTTTAAACCACAACAAAAGTGTCTAGCCTTTTGAAGGAGCACACTTGACATGAGTTTATTAAACTCCTAAAAAAATATTCGGGCTCTTTTTTCTTGGTATTTTTTTTTGCAGTTTTTTCCCTTCTATAAATTTGAAATGCCAAAGAATTTCAAAATTCCATTTGAAATTTTAGACAGATTGACTTAAACTTTGATTGAGCCCATACAGTATGTGTTACTCCTTATCAAAACTTGGGATCTTTTTCTCACTAATTCAGCAATTTGTTTTCCTTGCATCAAATTGGAGTGAGTTCGGGTGCTTAACTATATTGTTAACCATACTTTGAAAAAATTGGCTTGAATGAAAGATGGTTGGACTAGTTGACTTTTTTTGGAATCAGATCGTGGGGGGAGATCGACTTGCTCCCTAATTGCTACAGTACACCTCATCCAAAAGACTAGTTCTGCCAAAATATAACCCATACTGATCTGAAAGTAAGAGTTTAACTACATATCAATGTCATCGTCATCATCATCAGAGAAGACCTCTGTGGTTGCTTGAGACATGTCTGTATGCTGACGAGTCAAACCTCCTGTTAGGGGAAAAGACAAAAATTTAAAGAAATACTTTAGACTGAGAGGGAGTGAAGTGCACCATGTCTGAAATATAACCACGTTCAGTTTGAACAGGCTAAGTGATGGTCGAAAAAGATGCTTTGAATCGAGAACTGTGAATATATTTCAACCAAGGTCCCACAGTGCACACAATTTCTAATCCATTGATACAGAATTCCCATTCACTGGAATTCTTTTAATGTATTTGGTCTACATGATGGGCTAAATGTATCCCATTCATTGCTTCTATGGGGTTTTACTTAGTTTTTAGTTTTCCATTTTAGAGTTTTAAATAATCGCATTTTACATTTTAATTTAATTAATATTACTGTTTTATTTATATAAATTGTTTGATTTGGTCTAGCTAGCAGGGAGGGGGTTATTGTTTTCTGTTCTGTCCAGGGGTGTCTTTATATGGTTCAGGCTTTTTAATTACAATAGTGTTAAATTATCCATTTTTGAGTATATTCAATAATCACATTTTTAAAATGTAATTTATATTCTTTTATTTATATAAATTGTTCGATTGTAAAATGCCAGGGAGCATTTTTTAAATAGATTCGGCGCTATAGAAATTTCGATTATTATTATTATCATTAATATAGCCCGGCTCACAAGTGACAGTCAGGCGGGGAGTGGGGGAGTCGGGGAGTCAGTCGGGGAGCCGGGGAGTCAGTCAATCAGTACGTCAACGAGTTTGAAATGTACAAAGAGGACGCAAGGCTGGCTCTCTGGGACTAACAAAAAATATTTGTAACTTGCAACCTTTGTTAATTTTATATAAACCTCCGAAGGCCGACTTATGCGCAATAACAAATATGTCTGCCAGTTAGATGATTTGTCTTCAATAGTGAATTTGTTTTCTCAATAAAACTAACAGTGTTGTTTAAAATGGTTGTTTTAATCATACGACATGTCTTACCGTGATCAGGGCTTGGTGTTCCAAATTGTGAACTGTAAAAAGAAAATGGACATACAGTGAGAAAGAAACAACACCACAAATAATTGAGTAAAAAAAACAAAAAATTCAGGGATATTTCCCCTCTGAGAGGTGCTGAGAGAGTGACTTGGCCAATTTCACACAGGTGTTAAGCATACAAAACGGTTGTTTTGCAGATGACAAGTAACAAAGAACCAGTTCAAAGAAATACCGAAAAACCCAAATGCAATTTTATCAGTGACTCAATTATTGCCTGATAGATTTGTGTGCTTAGCAACTCAATGAAACATAACCCAGGACAATGTGTGTGATCATGACTGACTCTATGCAAGGTGATGAAAATGCAAACACGGCAAATCACACAAAAAAACAATCCATGAGATTGAAGTTGATGAATGAAACTGGGTGAATGTTCAACTTCCAAACAGCAAAGTGGAACCGCCTATTCTTGGATTCATTGTCGTTAATTTCAACTCATCATGACTACCTACACATGCTTGCACTTATGCTTGCAGTTCGTGACCAACTCTTTTGATAGGAAGACTTCTTCCAAGTTTCTTCCCAAGCTGAATCATGAACTCCGGGCATGAGCAGTAGACGGCACTTTAATTGCGACCACTTACAAGAGCCACAGTGGAAGGGACACACCACGAGGCTGTAGCTGGTTTGTATGCGTATGTGAGGTGTACGCATGGAGTTCACTCAATTGTCTTTAGATTTGAATAGAGGGCCGTTTTTTTATTGTCTTGAGCACAGCAAAAAGTAACTTACAGTAGATAAATTTGGACTTTTAGTTTAATTGTAAGAATTATAAAAATACCACCATCCCCGAAACCTTTCCTGAAACCACCAAATGGAACCAGTGCAGTGAATAAATATAAAACCTGAAAGTGTTTTCAATAACAAAACAATCACTTCAATGTGTCTGCTCTAAAGTATTCTTACTTGGTCCAAATTAAGGATTACTGGTTTCACTATTCATAAAAAAAATAAAAAGACATTGAATGTACAAAAAACAAATAACATCGCTGCTACACTAAAAGCGCAAAGTGTGCGTGTGTGTGTTAACCAGTTGCTCATGGTTGCTCATGCAAATTAGGCTGCTACAGTCGATCGGAAGCATGCGACAGGTGTCCCTCGCGTTGTGAGCAAGGCGAAGCCTCGTTTACAATAATGGGTGACATTTGTGATACCAACTGCTTATGTCACTAAAACACCAGTCACATTCAAATGCTTAGAAAATTGGATGCAACTTGTAAAAAGTGACAGAGTGTTGGAGGCTATCTTCATAGAGCCTTTCACACTATCCAATATGTCTGTGTTGGACCTGGGTTGAGCACAGAGATTTCATGAACCCCTTTCACACTAGCAAGAATCTGACACGGCTTACAGGTCCGGCACTTTACACGGGTAAAATCCAACTCTGGTTAGGACAAGGGTTGAGTGGCTCTACCCGGGTAGAAAATCCAAAATCTACATCGGACCAATGAACATCCAGGAGAATGTGTGAACATGCCTTGGCTATGGGGAGTCAGTTCGGCTGTACTTTCCTCGCCTTTCACAGCTGTGACCCAGGTTCGAATCCCACCTGGGCCAATATGTGGATTGGGTTTTCAGTCCCTACCCGATTCCTTGGGTTTTTCCCAGCATATCTTCTGGGCTTTTTCTCCCACCTCTAAAACTGTAATTTTTTCTCATTGTCTTCTCTAAGTTGGTGTAATGTTTCCCCTGGGATGCTTTGCCGACTATATGATACAGATACCCATGCTCAATGGGACCCGGTTTCACTCTTACTGGATCCGTGTAGATTGCAATACTGGTAGGTGAGACCATAGTGTACAAAGGCCTTATCTCTGCCCTAAGTTCTTCTAAAATTAGCTTGTCAAGGAAAAAGCTTGCAAGAAAAGCTGACACATGAGGTAAATGCGAATTTATTAGAAAGTTGTTGAGCTTTATGGAGCCAGAGGCCAGAGATGAACCCGTGTTTTTGACAAACTCCCTAAGGTATTGTATTTGGCTTTGTGTTCTTACTTGGTTTTTCCTTGGTCGTCATCGTTCTCTTCATCCTGCTCAGAGCCCAGAGGTGCCAGGGTCATCGGGTTGAATTGGTTGAGAGGCTCGCCGATGATTCCAACTCTAAAAACCAAGACAAAAGAAAAAAATACACATTTTTGGTACTGATACTATTTACAAATATAATGGAATGCCATTGTAAAAAAAATTACTACGTGATATGCAGAAAATACTTGACATAGACTAATTCAGACACAATTAGAAGCCATGCTCTTAAACGGAGCATGAAATTTTGCAAGTTGTTCAAACAAAATCAAACACATCCACATGAGCACTGCATGAATATGGTACCACATCCGGAATGGTTTTTAATTTTTGTCGCCAGATAAGTCTGTAAAAAGTTTTTTTTATGGGTTTATTAACCCCTTGTCGCCGGGTTTTCGAGCCTCACTGCACAAGCTTATAGGCATTACTGCACAGTAGCCTCTGCGTAGTAGCATCTGCCCACATACGGTATACAACGGCATACCCACGGGATACCGGAGCGCGGCTATAGCTGTCAGCCGGTGAGGAGGGGTTAAACAAATTGTTTACTGAATTGTTGGAGCTAAAAACAATTCTTGATAAAAAAAAGTCTATTGCCTAACTCACTTGTGGTTTAACTTGATCTTCGGGCCACCTTCATCTCCCTGTGAAGCGTTTGCGTTGCTCCTGAAAAAAAAAAAAATACACTTTGGAAATAACTTTAAATGAAAATTGTTGTTCTACAGGGTGGTGCAAAAAGAAGGAATCCCACTTTTGACGGGAATTTAACCTATTTACTTAACTTATTTGAACTGTTTCTTTATAATGTAGTGAAGTATAGCTCTTCAACTACCGTAATTTCCTGCGGATAAGGCGCGCGGCGGATAAGGCGCAGGTCCCTAAAATCACCCCAAAAAAATTCAAACGCCAACAGATAAGGCGCACCGCCGCATAAGACGCATGTTTGACCGCACACAGAAGAACACCAGGCGTCACCCGGTGTCGGTACATCGCCACAAAGGGGCCATTGTGTTGCCTAAGAACGATCACACTATTCGGAGGATGAATTAAACCGTAACCACATTGGCTGGTCACATGTAGAGCCATGAAGAAAAGACCAATGTAAATTGATACCGACCTTCATCCATTCAGCCAACGCGCGCTGTGCATGCTTGCTTGCGGTTTCCGATCCTGGCCTTCCTTGGCCTGAAATTTTACTTATTTTTCCATCCATAAATGACTCTGAGTCCGCACTCACCAAAAGACTTCACTTTGGCACAGAATCATGGAAAAGCTTACGAGTATGCGATTAGAATAGTGCCGATAACGCGGTACGTACGGAGGTGACAAATCTGAAGAATTGATTATAGAAAATTGGAAAATGATGTCGTAGTACATCATGTGACCGTTTCTAACCAATGAGAAGCTTCAGAACCAGGGAATCCCTTATCGATGCATTGGTTTCTGCCGTGATGTCACACAATGAGCGGCTCTGTTGGATTTCACCTGTTAATTTATGCACGCACGGATCCTCTACGGATCCGTGATTTATGTTGGTGAATTCGCGTAATTTTTGTCTGTAAATTCTGATAGTGCTGTTTGAAAACTGACCCATCCTGGCCTAGCATGCAACCATGCAACAATGGCACTCCCACAGAGCGCGCGTAATTCCGAACTCAGTGACCTTTCGGACCCAACATTTCCGTAAGGTGGATCAAGCATAAGTGGGAACGTGACTTGCGGTTTCGTTGCGGTAAGATAACGATCACACCAAAATGCCGGATCTTGATCCACCTTTTTCCAATTCAAGTGGGAACGCGGTGTATGTATATCCTGTACAATAAACTGTACAATAAACACCCTCAACGTTCACACAATAGAACTTGAGTGAATGCGATTTCCAAACGTTTAAGTAATTCTGATTGCAGCATTTTCGGAATGAAAAAACGGCCACAAAGAAAAACGTTTGTATGACGGCATTGTTGGAACGAAAGCACGATCACTAAGGGGGATCAACGCATTGCGGCATTGTTGGAATGAAAGCACGATCATGGGGGATCAACACATCGCGGCATTGTTGGAATGAAAATACGGTCACAATGTCTGGAGAGTTGAGCCTTGGTTGACCGCATTATTGATTGCGGCATTGAAAGAATTCTTCACACAAAGACCGTCACTTTGAACTCAAGCGACACCAGATAAGGCGCACCTGTAGATAAGGCGCAGCGATGTTTTTGTGGTCTAGAAAGTCAGATAAGACGCGTCTTATCCGCAGGAAATTACGGTATACGTGGTGAAAAACTCTTTTAATAAATCGCAAGAACAGTGTTATTACGCTAATTTGAATACAAGTCACCAAAATTGCTGTTGACCAAGTGTAAATCTAGTGAAATGTTTTTTTTCTTCAAATCAGCTCCAGAGCTCAGTCAAGCGGATGGAATAAAGCCATCCGTAGACAAACAGGTTTGGCGCATGAAATTTTTAAACTACCTATATCTCAGAGACAAAATATGCATTTGCAATCATTTTTTTCATCACTTATGTTAAAAGATCAATATTTTAATACCATTAAATTGAAGTTTTGAAATACCCTCAACAAGTAGGTGAAAATTGCTGTCAAAAGTGGGGTTTCCTTCTCTTTGCACCAGCCTGTACAACTGTTTCTGATGAGCCTTTTTTTTAAATTGTGTCAAATATTTAAACATGTCATGTTACTTTTCATTGGGTTTTACCTCAAAATTAATGTGAAAAAAGATCAAAGAAAAAAGTGCTTTCGGTGATAACTATACTTTCTGCAGTTTTCCATTCTTACCCTGTTGAATCCAGTGTCATCCGTTCAAACAAGTAGTCATGCTCCTCCTTCGGTGTGGGCAGTAACGAGACCAGGACTGGCGAACGCTGGCTGAAATAGACGAAAACAAGACTTGAATTGCAATCAGTTATGCCAGTTTTGAGTGAAGTTAATATTGTTGATTGTTGGTTGGACTATGACTGATATTTTTTCTTAATGTATAATTAATGATCCATCAACACTGTCTTTAGAGAACACAAAAAAGGTTTATGGTCAATTATAAAGCCGTTGTGAAACAAATGTTGCTTTTGAAAGTAATTTGAAATTTGCTTTTGAAAGTAATTCAAAGTTAACATTTTCTTCATACTAAACAATATCATTAATCTTTATAATTAATGAAAAAGCCTCAAGAAGAATTACTTTTCAATGCTAAAATACACTTACTTAATGATTTGTGTGATCGCTGGCCGTTTACTGAAACAAAACAAGAAAACAAAAAATATATAAGTTTGTTAAGTTGGAACCACGTACATGGCAAAGACGGTTATGGGACCACTTTTTACTAATACTGCAAAGGCAATTTTGAATGTAACAATATAGGGTTTTGCCCTTTACTGATGTTATTTCATAAGCATTGTATACTCAGTGCTGCCTGAAATTGTGCGAGAAATAATTCCTAGGTGGGACTCAATTTCATGACCTCCTGCTTACTACTCACACTGGAGCATTCTTTGGACCAAAGTTAGTCTGGTTCGAGTCCCACCCGAGTACGCTTGTTAGTTTTTCATGTAAGCTCTTGAACAACACTGAGTACACATTGCTTATAAAATTATGAAAGTGAAGGGAGGAACCAAATATGGAATATACATCTCCCTCATGCCAACAAACAATTCATGATACAAAAGAGCGATGAATAGAAATCATGATGAACCTACGGTTTCTTCCTTCTATATTCGGCCGGTGAGAGCAGCTTCTTGTTGAGATGGTCTGCGTCTATCGCCTCCTGACCCTTCACATCATCCTCCTCGTCCTCAGGGATGTTCTTAATCCGGAGGGCGGGGTTAAACACGTCAGACCGAAGCATCCTGCGAACAAGAGTGGAAGTGAAATTATGTCAGGTTTGGCTGGTAATTAAGAGACACATTTCTAATGTAAGATTTGCAGAATGCAACAATGCATGCAATCACATCAAGTGTTTAGTCTCTTTTCCAAAGAGGCCATATTTTCTAGCGAATGAGAGCGCTGTTATGATAGAGGGGCAGATAGGGGAAATAGGAGTATGTCTTAAGAAATATGTTTGGCTATGGGCTCCGTGCGCCAACAAAAGAGGGTGCGTTTTTACCACTTTGGAGAGTTCCGTGGACGGGACACACAGCGCGCGTGAGCGTACTGTACTGGTTCACATGTGAAGTACGCCACGACTTCCTGAATGTGTAAAAGCTATTAGCCACAGTGTCTTCGCGTGAGCGTCAGGCTTCATCGGTGCACGAATACGTTCAAATTTAACTTGCGATGGTCTCCCAGACTAATTACCCCCAATAAGTTTGGATCATTCGAAATACGCAGTGGATGAATCGGAAACCAGTGTAGGTCTCCCCCAACTCTCCTTCTCTGGCCGTTGAAGGGGTACTTGTGCACGGAGCCCATAGGGCCATCGCAGATTTGTCTAGGGTGATGTCATGGTTCTTATAAATATTTAAAAATCAAATCGTTTAAATTTTACAATAGCACCACTTAGCAAAGTCTGAGCTTCCCACCAGTCCCAAATGACTCAGTCAGTTTGAGGATGAGAGGTTGGGCCCTCGGGTCCAGCAAATATCGGATCATCACGATAGAAACGGGTACTTTCTCACCTTCCCATTTCCTTGTTGATGAGTTCATACTCCTTACGACGGAACACAATCCACACCAAATGCACACAGAATCTGTACAACGTCTATGGAGATATTATGAACATTGCTCAGTTTAGTCAAATGTAGGCTTAAAGTCAAGTAAACAATGATATGACTCTCTTGTAAAAATATTACAATGAAAAACTATGAAAACATTTTTTAAATTAGTGAACTTCCTCTTTCTCTCCTCCACTTTGATCCCTTAACTGAAATTAATCATATTAACTATCTAAGTAATTAGTGTTGCCATTTAACATAAACATATTTACCTCATATAGTTCTCTGTCTTTATATGTTGATGATACCCTGTCACTAGGAGAAATTTGTTTAAAAAAAAAGGTTTCATTGAACATAACAAAACGATAATTGTTACAAATAAAACATACCAAATGGAACTTCTTTTCAACTTAATAAAAGATTCTAAACTGTCTCAAATTCTAATAAGAAAAAAAGGACTTAACTGAACTAGGAAAGCATGTTTCTACTGAAAAGGGTCAGTCTTTGTCCACTGTGCTAATTAAGGGCGTCCCTTTTATTTTCTACGGTTTTCATATTTTTGTCCCTGAAGTGGGTCGGTCGGTCGGCAAAACATAATATTCTGAAGAGGACAAATATTGCATTTGCACCCATTTAGATGCAATGGCTAAATTAAATGATGCCAAGTGTGTATTGTCCTTAGTTTTGTTTATTGCAACGACTTTATCACTAATTGACATCACTGACAAAATAATAAGGCCATCTCTGGAAAGATGTAGGTGACTTACATTCATCTGTACCATGCAACTTTATGACGTTTTGGCTGTAGTGGCAACCAAGACATACCATCAGTAAAGGTTAACTATATATCCCAGATATGACGAGAGGCAGCACCCCCGCGTCGTCTTGGATTCAACTGGTTGCTATATACGCCATACTTTGAGTAAAAACTATCTGGTATTATTTTCCATTGCTTTTCGAATAGCACAAGGCCTGATTGCCTTAATTTGTTTTTAAAAATTGTTAGCGGGGTTCAAGACAGGGCCGGCGGTAATAAAATTTGGGTTTTTTTAAACTTCGGTTGGGATCCCAAAATAGGGTCGGTCGGAAACGAGAACCACAGAAATAGAAAAAGGATGCCCTAGTCTCTCTCAAAAAATCCTAAAGGAAATGCATTGGGTAGCAAGACTAGACGTATAAAAGGTCACCACTACAACGTCACCAATTCAAACAAAATCTACCATTTCACATCTCAAAGGAATCAAAGGATCATCAGTGGCCTTGGATAGGGCATTGAGTTCTCCTTCAACTAACCTGCCACATCCCATGTGATGATGTTCAGGCAGCCCCAGACCGAGGATCAACACACAGTAGCTCTTGGCCAGTTTGCGCTGCGCCGCCTCCATGTAAGCCTTGATCTCTGCCATGGCTTTCTTCTCAGCTTGACTGGGTTCGCTACAGCCAATCAGAGATTCAAAAGGGAAATAGAATAATAAATATGGGCTCATCAGTAGAACAAAACCAGAAACTATTTTGAAAGTTGAAGCATGCATGCATTTTGTGATTTATAGCAGTAGCAGTAGCGAGAATTGTACATTGTACCTCACTTTCATTCTAACTGATGTTATTAGATAACTTTATAAACTTACTGCAGGATATCCAAGGATATAACTAGCAAGGGAAATATTTTCCCTCACTTTTTACTAAAAAAGTTAAATTTCCCTCACCGCGCTGTAAAAAAACATTTCACTGCCCGTAGATCTACGGGTATATCTAAAGACACTGGATTTAACCTTTATTATTAGGACGATCAAATACTGAGTTTCATAGAAAAAAACTTCAATTGGTCACATTTCTGTACAGTTTTGTAACCACCTTTTGTGCATCTTTACATTTGATACATATTCACATTTTATATTTCATCAAATTCAACTATCTGGGAACATACTGCCCTTATTCATAAACACAAGGAAATGTCTTAAGTCTTTTTCTTGAATTAGCCACTACAACAGCAGTTGTCCGTAATGAGTGTGGTCGTAAGAAACAAGACAAAATGAAACAACATTCATAATCCTAAAGATAATCCATTGGAACTTACGTTGTCATTGTCTTTGGCTTACTTTCCAAGACGATTTGCTCAAAAAATGACGAGAAGTAGTTGAGCAGACCCAACAGGAATTCATCAAACTGGTTTAATCTACAAACAGGAAACACAAATTTAAACTTTTGTTTTTAAATATTTAATATTTTGAACTGTTAATTCGAATGGTAAATCTAACAGCACTGGATACTAAGTAACATATACAACAAAGTTTATTGGAATAGATACAGGTTCGTTGCCAAGAGGGGCCAAGGGTGACACCCCCCCCCCCCCCCGACAAGCAACTGGTCCCCCTATCGGCAAGAACCATAAGCATAAAATCTATGTATAAGTGTGTTTTTTCTTGTGGTGTGCTTCGCTAGTTTGCACTGTGCCGCCCCCCCCCCCCAACCCCAATGCCCAGAGCTGGCGACAGTGTTGAATAGCTAACAAGGACTCCTCAAAAACGTGAGCATCAGAAAATTGGAACCATAAATTATCACAAACAGATTAGTTCAGAAAATAATTTTGATTCTACCAGATGATCAAATTAGACATAACTTAAGAACCAACTTTGTTTCACACTGGCCATGAAGCAAGCGTTTATTTTTATCTTTCAGTCCCACAGGTATATTTCATTTCAAGATATTTTAACATTTCATTTAACTTACTCAAACAGGCACATCTCAAAGGAATGGGTCTGAATGTTGACTTCAATCAGTGAAGACAGGACAACAGCTGAAAGAACAATGGGATTTACAAAAATAAACAACTACTAAACTTCAATTGATGCAATGGTTTACAGATGGTTCACAATCTTGTTCTACTCCATTGATTAGAAATGAGCTGATCCTACATATTTGAGAATCCCAAAGCAAAATGTGGTTCATTACCACTTGGAATAGGCAGACAGGACTTGTGATGGAGTTGTGAGGACTTGTGAGGACTCTTATGAGGACTTGTGAGGACTCTTGTGAGGATTTTTGAGGACTTGTGATGACTCTTGTGAGGACTTATGAGGACTAGTTAGGACTTGAGAGGACTTGTGTGGACTCTTGTGAGGACTTATGAGGACTTGTGAGGACTTGTGAGGACTCTTGTGAGGATTCTTGTGAGGATTTGTGAGGACTTGTGAGGACTTATGAGGACTTGTGAGGACTCTTGTGAGGACTTATGAGGGCTTGAGAGGACTTGTGGGGACTTGTGAGGACTCTTGTGAAGACTTATGAGGACTTGTGAAGACTCTTGTGAGGACTTCATTAAAACTCCTCCAGTTAGCATTTGAACATTATGACAAGCATATTGAGAGTAACTAACATATAGAATACTGAACATCTAAATTACTTTGTTATAACAACAAATGAATTACATTTGACTCTTTGTAGAGTGACCGTCGTTTCCTTGGTGGCTTTTGACCTAGCAGACTTGGAGGTCAGCCCTTGCCTGGCTGGTCCCTTGCCTTGGCCCCTATCTACATCATAGCGTCCAGATGGTGCCCTGCAAGTGTCAACAACAGCATTGGTGTATAAGGGAGAGGGAAAGATCAAATTAAAAAACGTCAGGTAAAATAAGGAAACAAAACTGACAAGGAGATGTGGTTACATATTTGCTTTTTGTTTGGACTTTGGGACTTGGTTTTATTCTCTGTGCTTTTAATTACATTAAAAATTATGTACTTTTTGGATGTAGCACTCTGAAAAATAATATTCAAATGGAAAGGCTCATTTTGTAAGCATCAGATGTAATGATCTTTCAAATCTATCTGTTTGTCCATGTTTGGTAACTGATTAAACAAATTGACAAGTTTGAGTAAAAGGAGCATACTGTTTTGCTTATATATAGAGTATTAGTATAAAATTGAAAGCAATAATTTTGGAAGATCAACAGAGTTGTAAAATGGTGTCTTTGTTAGCGTTCGTGACTCATGATCAGAGGGTCATGGGTTCAAATCTAGTCACTGGTCATATGTTGTGTCCTTGGGCAAGCCACTTCACCCACACTTGCCCAAGTATAAATGGGTACTGACATTAGCTGGGGAGTAACCTGCCATGGACTGGCATCCCATCCAGGGGGGAATATATAGAAATATTCTATGTCGATTTGTACCAAGGAAACCAGAATAAATGCCGGCCTGATGGGCCATATTGGCTCATGATAGACTTTACTAAATAAGGTAATGAGTGTAATAAGTGCCTTTAAAATTGAAAAATAGTTTTTCCTGCATTATTCTTTCAGAACAGCATGGATGTATAAACTTCAAATAGTTTTTTTAACTTTATTTTCACCAGCTCAAATTAACTGATGTATTCAATATTTTCACAGCAGTGAAGAATTCTCAAGGAAGTAACACAAAATAAAACCAAAGATTTTGAAATGCAGCGTTTCTTTTCCCAAAAACAATATTTCATTCACATACCCTGAAAGTGGAAGTTTTTAAGATGGGTAACGACGTAAAATGGAATAGGACATTTTACCTGTCTTTTTTCCCAGGATGGTCATTGAAGGTGATGTTCTTCTTCCGATGACCTTTCTTATCTTTGGGATCGATTGCAAGGTTGGTGCTTTAAAGTATAAAAACATTCATAAATGTCAACAATACAACGAGATAAGTAAAAAAAAAAAAAAAAAATTGAACAATTGCGGTTAATAAAAAACAATGAAAGACTGTCCTGAAATAAAGTGTTCTAAATATTCATTGACAGGTTCTGAATGTTCGAAAGTGAGGATGTACACACATTTATGTTGTTCATTATGCACACTGTTGTATCACAGACAATTACAAAGTTTCGGTGAATGTACAGATCGATGAAGTTGGAGTGGTTGAATGAATTGTGTGGAATGTGAGGTGATGAACAGACAACAATGATGGGTTGAAAATTTTTAAAAAAATGATTTGGGAAAAAAGACTTGAAAGTAATATAAATAGCCCCATTTCAAAATGGCTTAACAAAATAACAACTGAAATGTCATTTTTTGGCAAGCTTTTACAGACTGAAAATGTTTGTCAATTTTTTCTTTGAAAAGACTTGTTGGTATTTTAGTACCGGTACTTGTATTAATTTCAAGCCTTTTTTTTATAAGATGATGCATATATACTGTATACGCTGCATATATGTGTTATTTATGAATGGAGGTGTAGACAATTTAACACTACTCAAACTTCATAACTAATTTATCAATCCAGCTTTTTTAGGTGAAAACCAACTTGAAATATATCATACTTTGTTATTCAACAGACCAATGGGTTTGAATCTAAGTAAAACAAAACAGGAGGACCAAAAAAGCAAGCAGACTAACATCCACAATCCACCCCAGCTAATACTTTCTAATTTGCGGATCAAAATTTTAGGAAACCCCTATACCCTCAATGACCCACTTCCAACCCACCCCCCCCCCCAAAAAAAACGGAGGGAAAAAGAAAGGCAAAATGAAAGTGAATACGGATTTCAGAAAAATAAAGGAGCATAAATCTTTTTGAGCAAATTCTTTATGCAATCATTATCATGCTACAAAGTTCCTAGCACCTGCTTAAATGAAAAAAAATATTCCCCGATATTTCCCTTTTTCCCTGAGAAATTTCCGAAATTCCCAGAGAAATACTTTCACTTTTGCAAATTGGCTGGGAAGTCAAGAGGTGGTTGTAGGAAAGAATATACATGTACATATATTCACACTGCATAAGGCGAAGTAAAAAAAACAACGTTTCTCGTCCCTGCCCACTTCCTTTTTGGAGGCCGCCTGGATTTTTTTATTATTTTTTATTTTTGAAAAATGCAGTAAAAAAAACACCGAAAAAGTCCACAAATTCATCAGAAAATAACATGTTGACCAATACAAGTCTAAATGACACTGTAAATATGTTCAGTTCTCTTGTCCAACTTATCTTTCATTTTAAAAGTGTCTTTGAACAGTGGAAACACCAACAATTGCAGGAAATCTTTAAATGGCGGCCATCTTGAAACAAATAAAAAATAAAAAATGAAAAGCCCCGCTTCCTTCTTTTTTTTTTTTAAAACCCGGACGAGAAACATGTTTGTTTATTTATTCGGCCTAAGCACTAAAAAGCCACGATAGCCAGTCAGTCAATGGATACCACTTGGACAAATGGCACAAGACGAAAACTGGCACAAATTGGCAAACCCTTTTTCTTCCGGGACCACTGTCAAATTCCCTGAGTTTCCCCTGATTTTTCAATTTTTCTATCCCCAAACTCCCCGAGTTTTCCCTGACTGGAAAAATGGAAACTCATTTTCAAGGTTTTCCCTGATTTCTTGGCCAGGCATATGAAAGGATGCTGTGCTCTTAGACATACAAGTGAATGTGAAAAATATTAATAACACTTGAAACAATGCGAAAAGAAATCTTAACACTCTTCACCTGTTCATAAACAGTGGCGTTCGACAACTACCAAGATGCATTCAAGAAGAAATCAACAACAAATGAATTATTTTACCATTGATGAATTGTGCATGTAAAACTTTTGTCTGTCAAGAAACCAACATATGTCCAAATCTTCAAATAATTTGTTTTTTTAGTCAAATGATTGGAGCTCAAATATTTTTGAGATAGCAGCAACTGTGAATGGGAACATTTTTGGAAAATGTGACACCCAATGCTTTGACGAGAATAATCTATGAAGAAAATGACATGGGGTTGAAATTTAAAAATATATTTAATTGAAAAAAAAGTATGCTGTAATTTGTTTGCTGTAATTGGTTTATACATTTTCTAAAAATTAATATGATTTAAATTAAAGAAACAAGTAAAGCCTTTGACTTTATCATGAAGTTGAAGAAAAAAGGACAAGAGCAAAACTAGGGCCTATATATATCCTGGGGAAAAAAAACCAACGGACCAACAAAAACCTAGGCTACCCCTAGCCTACCAGAAAAAACAATCCTGTTTGTTCAAAAACAGTTTACTGCATAATGTAGGTTGGTGAAAGATGAAGAAAAATATTTAACACTTTCTTTTTCACTGGATGTAATTAAAAGTGATCAAACTGACCCAAAATAAAGAAAATATAAAGTGATAAAACAATTGGCTTCGCCCGGGTTCGAACCGGGGACCTTCTGCGTGTAAAGCAGACGTGATAACCACTACACTACGAAACCCATTCGCTTTCCAAACAGATTCTTATCAATATAAATTGTGAGCACCAACCTTGCCTGAAATTCCAACGTATTAGTGTCTTCTTTCCAGTACCACTTCCCAGAACTTGGCATAATAACCTTCAAAATGAAACACAATTTTATTTTTAGAAATTTGAAACGGTGCAAAAGCTTTTAAGTTTTATTTGAAGTTCAGAAATGAGTATCGAAATAATCTCGCAGCCGCTGGCATAACCGGCGCGGCAGGAAAGCTCAACGACAAGGGCTATTATCTTTGTCAATTATTCAATATTATAATGCAAAATTAAAGAGCAACACACCTCCTCTGGTAGAGTCACCGTTTTGGCCATTTTTTAATCTCTTAGCATCCTGCAAAATGACAAAAATCAACTTAAGAAAATCGAAGTTTTCGTTTCTCCGTATTTTCGTTCCGCGATAGCTTTTTTAACACTGGTAGACGTCACCGCATCAATTCGTTTTACACGCAATGTGGAAGTACCAGTGAAATCACTTGGAAACGTATGTCTTTCAAGTTCAACAGAGGGCGGCAAACCACATTTACGGTATGTCTGTGGCGTGTGTCTAAGGTCTGTGGGTGCATGGACTTTTTTGGTGAGGTGCATGATATTTAATGAAGGAGATCGTAATTTGCTGAAAGTGATAACAAAAACACAGAAGTGCGCTGATAATAAAACGAGTTGAAATTTTGCTTGTTCCTTGTTTGTTTTAATCGTAAAATTAAATAAATTATTTATTTGTTTTAGGACAGACTTGACACGATAACTGGCGAATTATGTGAAGACGATCGTTTATTTTTATCATGGGTGAATGATGTTTATGGTGATGTTTGGCACCAAAGTTTCAAAGCCGTCTTCCCGTGCTATTTTCGACTTTCATCACGAAAATAGATGCCTTTTCGAAATCCGTATTTTTTTTTCTAGCAATACAAAATTTGTTCACTTTTGAATGAGACATCGACCGAAAAAAAAAATCGGCCCATGTTTAGTTACTGAATTGTTGCGATTTCAAATTGTTTGCTGCCAGACAATAATGCCGTTCTCGCGGGGTAGGCCGGCTTTCGCCTCATAATGGTTCCAGTCGATAATGTACGGACCGGGAGCCAGCGGCAGCGCTCGCAAATTTGATCTGTTGTGCCCACAAACTTTTTTCAGAGGGTTGCAGACGTCCAAAAGAAAGAGGAAAAGAGCGGGTTTCCGTTGGTGTTGTTGTCGTTGTATGTTTTGTTTTGTTTAAAGGGTTCATGCGATTAGTTTTTCTCAGGAAAACATTTTATGCAACATTTTACTTCTTTAAATGTATGGAACCTACAGGGTGAGTCCCAAAAAGCGGAACCCAAACCCTCCAAAATTATATTTCATATTTAAAAAAAATATGTAGCACCAAGTATAATAATGACTGGAAAGCCAGTCTCATAAGGTAATTTTAGAAGAAAAAAAAAGACTGAAATTGGTCAATCCGTTCAGAAAATATCACCATTTAAACACAATGACCCTAAAACCTGTCTGGTCCCCCAAAAAAATGCGATTTCAAGAATCACCAGCTATAACATCTCAGTTTAAACGTTAAACATATTTAACAGAATCCCTGAAGGCCCGTCCTCCTAGATTTTAGAAATCATAACGTTTGCCTAACTAGGATTGTTAATAAAGATATTGTGTACTACAGTTGGTGACAGTTGTTGAAACAAGTATCCTGTGTCATTTTCTTTGCAGTTCAAAACACACAATGAATTGCTTTTTTTTTGGACGAGATAGGTTATAGGGTCATTGTGTTTAAATTGTTACATTGGTCATTGTGTTTATTCTTTGAACGGATTGAGCAATTTCAGTAGCTTTTTATTTAAAAGTAGCTTATGAAATTGGCTTTCCAGTCATTATTATTTTTGGTGCTACATATTTTTTTTAAATATGAAATATATTTTATGGGGTTTGGGTTCCGCTTTTTTGGTGTGGACTCACCCTGTATTTTGACATCTCTTTCTGGTATGGGCAAGAATTCTTTGGCTTGGCTGTTATACATGACTTTGTAGCCGCGACAACCGTACCTAGTGAGTGATGAGCACTTACTTCTTTAAACATTTAAGATTTTCCATGCTATTCAAGAGTACCGAGGGCGCTGTTGCTGTGATGTCACTCAGAAAGACACTGTTAAGTTTAGGGGTTTTGAACCCAAAATTTGCTCCTTGAGAAAACATTTGTGAGAAAGGGTTGCTCATTGGCTTGTACACAACAACGAATCACTAGAGAACAGTTGAAAAGGCTAATTTTTAAAAGTCATTTGGAACCTTTTTCTTTTGCTTATTTGAGGTTTGGATGATTTCTTTTTCAGGGAAAATAAAGTCCGAGAACCAGTGACCTGCAACTCGACGTTTTTCGATACATACTCGCAGACTCCCTTTACCTAGTGAAGCGCCCTCAGTTAATCATTTCCAGTTAGGCCTTTCACCCAAAATTCCGTGACCGCACAAGATCAAGAACTTGAACTTGAATTTTCGACACGCCCCTCCCTTCCCCCAAATAAAATTAAAAAACTAAATATATAAGTAAAGAAATGGGCTGGAAGGGGTGGAAGCAAATACTTGTTTACCTTGGGTGTATTCATATTATAGCATTTGTATAGTACTTTTTAAATCATAATCAAATTTGCACCATTAAATTGCGACCAGAATCCAAGTCGGCAAGATTATTGCATGCTTTTTACAGCAGCAGTAAATCGTCACATTTTTAATATTTTAAGAACAAAACATTTGGATAAAAAATAGTTGAAAAGCTAAAACAAAGCCTCCCATTCAAGTAAAGCAATTAATGATTGAGTGTTAAGAAGTGAATAATTTTAGCCGCTCAAAATTCGTCATCACAGCAGCACTGCCTGGGAAAATAAATTGGTGTCTCCTGAGGTCACGTGACCATTCCGCCATGTTTACAGTGCTTTTCAGCCTACAGCGCGCGATGGCAGCAGTGTATCGGGAAAGTGGGGAACAGTCATGATCTATTTTCGGTCAACAGTTCGTCAAGAATCAAAGCGCATAGTCACCGGAACGCCCAACTTCATGTAGAATTAGGAACCCCTCGGCTAGAAAACGTGCATGATTTCACGACAGAAGGTCCGGATCAGTGAAAATCGGCGAGCGAAATGGGCGACGAAGTGACGAGTAAGACGTCGAACATGTCGAACGCTGGCAGCACCGTGCCGTGTTTCTCGATCCAGATCGGGTTCGTGCGGGAGACGTTCTCCATACCGGACGAAGCCGGGGAAAGAAGATCGGCCATAATAAAAGAGAAAGTCAACGATATGGTCAGGAAAAGAGTGAGTATTTGGTCCCGTGTGTGCAATGCTACAGTGGATTTGATGTACTTAACCAGTTAGCGTAGTTCAATAAGTTTTAAACATGATGAATATGCGCTGTTCTATTTTGACTTTGTGATTTTTCTTGTCGTCCATGTCTGCACGTCTGTCGCCTGAAGCTGAAGCCTGAAGGGTGCAAGATTGTAAAATGTCAACATGGTCTTGGCCTAGATAGATACTATGTGCATTTATGTGGTTTGTGGTTAGCATATTATTACAGTTACACATGACATGTTTTCTGAGCCGTGCATTCCATTTAAATTTTTTCAAGGCTGACATTGAAGGAAAGATTCCCATATCTGGCCATCAGTAATTTTTCCCTTAAATGACCTATATCAGCCATCAGAAATAGCAGGGACAAATTGTGAATTTTGAAATTTTCAGACCAGTCCCATGTGTTTGTGCACAGGGTGACAAGTGATGGCCAGATATGGCATGTATGGGAATCTTTCCCTGACAAATATTCTGGGAAAAAATGTTGCAACCTGACACCACTTTTTTTCTTCATAAAATATCATCTCAGTGAAGGTCAGTTATTGCAAAAATGATGATAATCGTAAGAAATGAATCTGGGACTGAGAAACATTTCCAATGTTGTTAGGAAATACTTTTCAAAATGTTCTTGACTCTCCATAGACTTTGTACACAACCGCTGAAGTGGCTTCAGGTTGCAACATTTTTTTCCCCATATTCTGCAACTCTAACCTGGTTACATACAGAATAGAATGTTGCATTCTGACGCCACTTTTTTTCATCATCTCAATGAAGATCAGTCACTGCAAAAATGTTGAAAAATATTGATTTATTCGGTTGAGTACCGGGACGAATTAGAATAAATCTGCTTTATCATTGATATGTAAATGAGACACGGTAGAGTGGTTAAGGGCGGGTAATTTGAATAGGGAGTGGCACAGGAATGTGTGCGCGGTTGGATTGAAGGTAGATCACTTCACGCTTGCGAGCAGCAACGACAACACACAATTTTTAACACAGTTGTTAAGTCTGGTTGTAATTTCATAGTTGTTCAATGTCTCAAACAGTATTTATAAGAGACGAACATTGCTACCCTTGCCTGAAGGAGTTGTCTTGCATAGTTCAGGTGTACGTTTCCATTTTTCCAAATATGGTTTTGGTTTTTCGTATCTGGCAGTCAACACAGCAATGTTAGATGGGGTACAATTCCAGAAACAGCCATAATGTAATAGACGAGTGGTATCTTGCGATTATTCAATTAAGTTTAGCTAAAGACTCTGAAGCCTAAAGGAAAGTTCTGTGAAACTTAAAGGTTCAAATGAAATCCACAAGTGACAATCAAGGTATGGTCGGAGTAGTTTCTGACGGAGGTATAAAACGAGATTTGCAGGTTGGCAGTAAGATTCATAAAGATCAGATCTACTAGATGAGATGCTAGAATTGTTCTAGCGATCTAATGCGTTCAGAACGCAAACAAGTCTGAATAGACTTGCACCAAAGTATGCGTGATTTATCCTCAGCGGAAGATATCTGGTATTGTACAAAACCAAAAGAGATAATTCTGAAAAACTTGCCTTAATATATCAAATGTGGAACGATTATTCAGAAATAACCATGACAATTGTAAAGAGGAGGGAAGTCTCAAGGTTAATTCTAGTATTGATTACGCAAATATGATAAATGAAAGGCTCTTACGCCTAAATGATAGACCCTAGTTCTGTAAATATTGTCTCCATCAAGACGTCTTTAAGGTTCAAATTATTGAATGACCGTTATTAAAACACTGTCGTACCTGGTAGTCATCACAGCGATGAGACTAAACATAATATCAACTTACGAATAATTAGAATTAATCATAACAATTGCAAAAAGAGTGTTGTCTCGGGTATAATTCTGTATAATTAATTGATCACTTAAATGTGTCTATAATGAAAGGCTCTTACGCCTAGATAATAGATGATAGTTCTGTAAATACTATCAAGTCTTTAAAGGTTCGAATTATTGAAAGATGTAATTAAAACATTGGGTCGTCGTACCCGGTTGCTGCTGCAAACACAAATACCAAAATCAGGATGATTTGATTGTTTATTGTGTAGAATGGTGTAGAAATGATAAGACATAAATCTGGGACTAAGAAACATTTCCAATTTTGTTAGAAAATACACTCGACTCTCCATAGACTTTGTATACAACCTCAGAAGTAGCGTCTTGATACTTCATGCTTTCCACAAAATCCTGTAAGAAAAATGAATTTCACCAGTTTACTATGAAACTTGGTAGGCCTAATTGAAAAAGTTTAATTCATAATCATACTCTACATGCTCTACCAGTATGTACCATAAATGTCCTGGGATACAATGCAATATCGCCAATTTCTTTTCACCATGGTCCATATGTTGGGGGGGGGGGGTGGAAACAATACACAGTTGGAACTGAGAAACATTTCTGATTTGTCAGGAAATATTGGTAGAATGCCATATATCCTGGTGCCACTGTCTATTGGTATGATCAGTCATTACAAATGTAAAAAAAAAACCCACAAATGTCAAAAAAAAATTAATTATAGTACTGTGAAAATAAAATGTATTTGTTAAAAAAATAATCACAAAATGTACATATCTCCCAGTGGTCCCAAAAGACACAACGCATGTATACACCAAAGTTGCATCATTCAGGATACTACATTATTTCCGAAAGGAACTTTCAGCAAAATGTTAAGGGAAAAAAAAACACAAATGGCAAACAACAGCGTGGATGTACCAAACCTTCACAATCAGTGCTGCTCAATTTGCCAACACTTGAAGGCTTCAAACACACAAGGATTCACTTACAGCCAAGGGTCAATGTCTTGGTCATTCACCCATCCGCTGATTTGATTTGCCAATGGTTGAAATTATTTCCTTGTTTCATTCCTATACAGAACAAGCATACTGACAACTCGCGAGCATTTATATCAAATCAATATCGTGTTCAGCAGAAAGGAACTTAAGATTTTGTTTAGGCGAAAGGCAAAATCACTGAGTTAAAAATCCATTCAGTTTGGACATTTTCACCTTTCTGTGGCGATAATGTCACCTCTTGTATTGTGATCCACGCATGGAGGAAATGCCACAACTCCAAAATGTCAAACCCCATATCGGATCGGTCCCCTGGGTGGGGACCCTGGAAAGGGTAGGTTAAACCATTTATGGGTGAATAGACACTAACCCTAACTCTCCAAGGTCTTTGAAATCCAAAAAGTGAAGTTAAGTCTGTCACGAGCTAGTATCGCGCATAAGGCTGGTGTTATCTCAGGTTTCCTAGGCACGAAACCGATCAGAATTTATTTCTATTCCCCCTAAAGGAGATGCCACTCCATCGCAGGTTACTCCCCAGCTAATGCCTATGTGTACCCATTAGTTATATCTTTTGGAGAGAGGCAAGTGGGGGGAAAGTAGCTTGCCTAATGATACAATATACAGCCAGCAGCTGGATTTGAACCTCTCACCTTCAGATCATGAGTCACGAACCCTAACCACTAGGCCACACTCCCACACTCCACACTCTAAGAAGAAGAGGATTTGGAAAGTGTTGTAGGGGATGGTTAAATCTAGTCAGTAGTGCACACTTATGGACACAGAAAAGAATACCTATTGCCATGCATTGTTTTGATGTAAAATAAACTTTGCAATATATGTATGTAATGACATTTGAATTGACTTAGGGCATATGAAATTATAATGCATCACAAATTCACAACTTTTGATCAATTTCTTGGAGCTATAGCATACATGTAAATTCGCTAAGCACAGTAAATATTTGCTTACCAAAAGCAAAAGCAAACGAAGGTTACCAGCTAAAATATCACAGGTTTTATCATGTTTATGTATGGTTCTCCGCTGATTTTTGCAGCTTATAAATATTTACTAGCTCACCAATACCAGCCTCATGACATTAGGCCCAGAAAATTGCTTGATTTTTTTTCCAGCTATTTTCTCTCCCGCTTTCAATGACACTGTGTGTAGTGTATTGTACCATGGCAAATTGAATGTTCAGCAAACTTTACCAACACCAGTATTTTTTTCCAGTTTTAAAATCACTCTCTGTATTTAAATTAAATGTGACATCCATTTCAGCCTCAGCTTTTCAGGGCTGCTTGCATTTAATTTTTAATTAATGCTTCATTTTTAATGAGTTATTTCTCTTTGCCATTTGCTCTGGAATGACCTTCAAATGCCCATTGTGCTGAAAATGTCATGAAACCATGTCCAGGCACCATACAGGTGTAGGAGGTCAAGGTCATGACTATGGGACATGCTGGTTGATTGATACCTGAAGTGAACACAGGATTATCATATAACATGCTTGTTAGGTGTATGTAACTGTCTTTAATCACTGTACAAACAAGTGTTAGATTACTGCACCCAGACTACATATTTGCGTAAGATCTTAAGAAATCTTTAGGTTGTTGAAGTATAGAATGTGCCCATTGCTTGGACTTGATAAATTCTGTTTGACTTTCCTATATTGATACTAAATGAATCCTTAATAAAAAATTTAAAAATGGCATCAATGAGAAGAAAATTCTGAAAACCTGATGTACATTTACTTGCAAGAAATGGGGTATTCCAATAGAAATATGTACGATCAGGTTCAGGGTACGATGGGACGTAATTTTTATTGAAATTTTCTCTGAGATTACCACGCGACAACAAATGATATGGATAACGGGACTTTTTGATGTCAGAAATTATTCAGTATCACAAGGTCGCCAACATACATTCTCACCAGATGGAGCGTAACACAGCGATGGGGTTTAATGTACTATTATTGTGTGAAACGGTTTTTATTTTCATATTGAAGAAATTTTCATCAAACCATAACAGGGATAAACAGAATTCAGTGACAGTTCACAGATTTTCACCTTGACAATTATACACATCACAGTATCAGTAAAAAAAAACGGGGGGGAAAAAAAGGTTATTTCTTGAACATTACAATTGCATTAG